GTGGCCTGGCGTTCTTAGGGTGCAATATGACGCAAACTCGCCTGCCAGGCCTTTTTTTTTAAAAGTCGGATCGATTGGATGCTACTTGGCCAACTAAACATGCCAATCAACTGTCTGGTTCGTCGGCAACGACTTTTAGTGAATCAGGCCCTTGCAGCTCCACCTGAACTAGCATAACCTTTTTTGAATAAAGATCTAATTTTTTGCTAGAGCCACCTTCATGATGACGTACAGACACCACCTCTGATTATCTGTGACAATAATATGTCATTGTGTTAGCCTGACTCTTGATAACTAACGAAATGTTAAGATGAAACTCGTGAGCTGTAATCCCTTGTTGGATTCAGGACGCTTATTAGGTACTAAAGCTTTTGCACAAACCCAAGGGACTGGGGGCGGATAATGACGGTCGTGTTTCTAGAGCTTACTCTTACAACCTATTTCGTCGTGTTATTTGAAAAATCTCATGTTCGTTATCAAAGCCAAACGGTGAGCCGGAGCAGAAGACATCCTCTAGGTCCCAGCCACCGTCTTCAAACTTGACATAGCACTCTTGTGTTATTCTTTTAGCAATAGCGCCATTAGTGTACCGCCAGTAAATGTCCCGAGCTATTTCAGTTGTGTTTCAGATGCATAGCGTAGCAAGGGCCGAGAATGAATTTTCTTCTAATTGTAACGTTCATCGTTCCACCCATAACACAATGCCGTTATAGCCAACCGACATTCTCCTCTCGAATGGTACACCGAAACTAAATATCAAGCTAGGGTATCTAGAAATAGGTATCATTGGAAGCAAAAATTATGGCAGTCCATTAGCCAAGGTATACAGTTAACCCGTTCCATCGCTCTGAAGTTTATGAGAATGTCGCACACACGACGATGTCATTAAATTACACTAAAAATCAAATACGCGTGTTAAACGGTAAACTTCTTCAAGTATCAACTGAAATGGAGTGCAGTGGGACTGCAGTGGCCCAGAAAGCATAAAGCCTATGCGTGCGTTGATCTTAGGCTTGATTCTGGAGTGTGTCTCCTAGTCGGTACTAATGTTAACTTATTTGTATGTAGTAGTACTTAATATCAACGTATTCGTATGGCATATAAGAGTCGTTCCAGAAACCTGTCATTTTCGTACTGGTTCTAACGTTTTGTACATCTTGTTATCTTTCAATTCTGTCTGCTTCAACGAAACGATACCGCATTTTAGAAGTATTTAGAAATACTCAATTCGTTCACACGTGTTGACTGACACACTTTGACGATTGGGCTTCACAAGACGACTCTTTTAGCCCGAATGTGTGTGTTTAATTGTTACACCAGGTCACTAACAAGAGAAGTGCTTACTCGAGTTTTTTTTAATTGTCAAATTCACATTGATATGAAAAAAATACTGACAATCGTCTTACACAAAGACGGACAAAAACAATTTCTTTAATGTTTTGGTAAAATTGCCTGCGTTAATGCTTACAGCATTTGGTACCCTTGGTACCCTGGCCACTAGAGTAAGTTATTTCAAATTACGTCTTCAACAAGGTAATTGTCACTTTTGAATTACTTAAATATCTAGCATAAAGTAAATTCACTGCAGATATGGAGAAGCGATGACCAGTGACCTAATTACGCGTGACAATCTTTCGTGCAATTTACGTTGGTTTGCCCCTTTTTATAAAAAAGAAATAAAAAAAAAAAAGAATGCCGTCAATGACCCTCGGTGATCTTTATTATGCCGTCAATGACCCTCAGTGATCTTTGTTGTGCCAAGTCGAGCAAGTTTACAGGCACCCAATAGCCAACCGCCCCTGCGTAGCACACAATAGTTCTTCCGACTCGCTGAGGCCACTTCGAGATCGTGTCATATCATCAGATCAGAGAGGTACGACGGAGGGACGCGAACCTCGAGATTCACCCAGTGATGTTGTAATGGCATTGTACATCTCTGTCGTCACAGTTTCCGTGAGGACAGAATCGACATATCGCTAGTGTAGTAATCGCTAGGCAAGTATTTCGCGATTTCTCATGCATAGGATAATCGCCTTCTCCAAGGCACGTTTGTACCAGAAATGTACATACTGAACCAGAACAATGCATATAACTATGCGCTCTTCAATGCCCATATGCATAGAGCATAAATTTTTCTCATGTGTTGCGCACATCGGCTCAATGGACCGCCTAGCTGAGATTGAGGTCAAGAAGTCTAATAAACGATAAGAAAAGAAAGAACAATACAGAATCCTTTCGCTAGTCGAGAATCATCATTGAGAATATAGCAAGATAGATTTTTTCCAGTTTTCCCGGAAGCGTAAACTTTTTTCAGGGCACTAGCGCCCATTCATGGAGACTACAGTCTTGTTGGTGTAACACGAGCTCTACTTTGTTAATGAACGTCTCCGTGTATCGAACTTGCGTACAAATGCTAGATTCACCATCTCAATTAATCAAGCACACTTACAACTTCTTGATTAGTATTCTCGTTGTTCAGACGCTTTTGTTTATTATTATTTTTCAATAATTTTACCGCATTTCCCTTTTTGTAAAAATAAACGCGTCTGTCCAAAGGCAACGTCCTCCCCGACAATCTATGCCCAAAGCATGCGAATGGGCAATTATGAAAGAACCCACCACTGGCTCAATGTCTTCTTCTTCGAAAACAGAAAATGGGTCGAGATGGAAGCTGGCCATATTTCCCATATCGTCAACGCCTGGAAGTAAATGCATGAAGTCGTTCGCCTGGTCAAGGATGCCCGCATCGTTTTCGAGAATTTCGTCCATGAGTTCTGAGAGACAGAGTGATTCGTCGCGTCCACGTGCGGCAGGAGCAACTTCCCGCTCGTGGTCCGAACGCCGGAAGTCTACAGTGGCCGTCATCGTCGATGTGATACGTATGCTTAAAGATGCGCTGGCGAGCGGCAACGCTCGCCAAAACGGTTACCGACCAGCGCCGCTAATGTGTGCAGATCCTTCAAACGTGTTGCAAGCAGGATCGCGATCGAGGCCGTTGACACGTGAGAACTCTGTGAAAAAAAAGTAATTCATCGATTTTTCACCTATAATTCGGAAATAGAAGCTAACTACTTACGATTCCAAACATTTTTTTCAAGTAGAAAAATCTCTATGTTATTAAAGTCTATACTTTTTGCACCTGTAAGAGGCCCTGCAATAAGAAGTTGTACCATAAATTAAACATCTGCCATAAAATTAAACATATTACAAACGGGTGACTACTTAATAAACTACTACCAAACTAGTTGAGTGCTATTATTTGCTTTGCGTCTTTAAAAAATCGTAGGTTACATAGCTATCACTCGTCTTGAGTACGTTACCTAGAATACTGCTAAAACTAACTGTCTTTCTAATCGATCCAAATCGCTTTGGATGTTTTTAAGCTTCAGGCTTTATTTTAGGGGGTAGTCTGCTTGTGCAATGACTCGATTAAAAGGTATTCCTTTCCCTCGAAAAGAAAGCTAAACACATTCAGCACACTTCTGGCGAAACAGCTTAGCCTATATTTTATCGAAACATATCCACTGGAATAAATAAAGCTAGAAACAAAGATGACGTGAAAAGCTGTATTTATATTGTCTCGTATTCGACGACTATTTTGCTTGGCGTAACGGGATAACTGTCGGCGTGTACCTAAGATATTCTTAACGTTAGGTTAGGTGTACAACATTAACAATTCAGATTATTAAAACAAACTAACGGCGAAACATGCGGTAAGCAAAGTCTGCGGATCCGAGGACCGGGATTCAAACTATCATATACTATGTCAGTTGAATTTATAACATATACAGTGTAACAATACCAAACACGACGAAAAGAGCCGTGTGTTAATTGTATCAACATGTCATTATGCTATTACGTTTTTGCGAGGCAGAGAGATAAATTAATTAATGATCAAGTGAGTGCGAGACAAATCCAACGGGTCTGTCCAGTAATATCTACATCACGAATATTTGAGACAGAGAAATTTATAACCACTACAATAGATCTATATAAAAGCGCTCAAAAAACTAAGAAATTTGCTGTTCATGTAATTGAGTACAAATATAATTAGTAGTTATGTTCTAAAAAATAGGTAGTGAAAGAATATTCGTCCGGTTATAAGTAATTCTTCAAAATACTTCCTGTAATTCTAATGCCAAATATTCACAGTTCAAACCTTTATTCGCTTTATATTGACATTGTTAGTACTTGTTCTTAGGGCAATGGAGAATAAAAAGAAACTTCAAATACAAAGAAATAGCCCTAAGGTTCTGTATGCTAGCTTAACTCCAGACCAGAGCACTGTAAAATGTTTACGAATGTAAATCAATGTACCGATGTACGAGAGACTAAGTACGTTCTCAAGCGCATTACATTACCTGGTAAAGTTGAACTCATCCCCTTTAGTGCAGCCTTACAACTGCACTATACAGATTTCCACAAACAGGTCAAAAACACCCTCGTCCGTGTACTTATCTGCACTTGATTCATTTTCCTCATCGCAAGACTACAGTTTGCTGCAACTGGCTCAAAAGACTCAAAATGGACAATACAATCTTCTGTCGTGATCAATGTACTGCCTCTTCGGTTGTAAACGTATTTGGATTGGATCTACTATAGTAATACGCGGGGGAATAATAGTTAATAATGATACTGAATTTTTGTCGGTAAAGCCAACATAGCCAAAGGACACAGTTTCCAGTTACAATAAAAGGGCCGTCGTTACGATACATAACTCTCATTGAGCCTTAATTCGTAATGTGCTTAACTTATATTTAACAAATGCACTATTTTATCATAGCGTTTAATTTTCCGCATTTCAAACGCATGAAAAGACAACCTAATCTGTTGGAGACTAGACTAACTAAAACCCAGTATTTTAGAATCAATGTATTACAACTTAAAGCAAACAACCCACCAATACACAAGCGTGCTTGACACCTACTTTTGGCAGCCCTAAGAAATCGAAGAATATGTTTTGCCTTTGAATATTTGGGCCATATGCGGACCTCTTAAAAATAATTTTAAATCATGTAGACTAGGCGAAAAAAGTACTGTATCAGCCGTCACGAAAAAACTAGTTAGGAGCGTTAAATACGTGGAAAATACTTTTTCAGTTGACTTATTATCAAGTCGAGCAGCTTTAGTTTTTAACACGGAGCGAACAGTTTTATTTTGAAACAATTCTTAAGTTATATCCGTTCTCACCGCAAAGTTACATAAGTTACGCGTAAAGATACAATCATTTTAGAAATCATCGTTTCATAGACAATCTATTTCTGGTTTCAATCAGTACGTGCTGCCCGGGTGGCCACTTCATGCAAGAAGACATACACAGACATACAAATACGCACAAAAAAGCAAACGCGTATTATCCTTATATCTTAGGTTAATATTCGTCTACTGAGAAAGCCTCGTAATAAAATCCTTATGAAATATTTACACCTCACTCACAAGAATTATATCAGCGAGCAGACACACCTCGTGTACAATTAAATGTCCGATTACTTTATTCAATTCCTGTGTCGGTAAATTTCCAAGATGTCGTACTAAGAATAATTATTCTTACTGCGTATACAAAAACTTTACCTCAAACGTAAGAATACTCCAATATAAAGTTCGAGGACAGACGAATCTTAAAATCGGTATAACATCTTAGTCGTAAATACGGGTGTTTTACGGGACGGAAGGAGGGAGTATGTAGAATTCTTGCTTTCGCTAGTTTGGGGCCGTAAACGTCGATTTACAACTGTATCGGATACTACGGACTCTCATCTTATCTGTGAATCAAAAAGACAGCAAATCAATAATGGTTTCCAGGCCGCGTTTTGTTCTCGTTGTGATTTCTATATTGCTACCAGTATGATTTATTGTCTGCCACTACTAGGTGATCTATATAAATACGGCTGTAGCATAATGTGTGGTAGTGGTCTCCACACAGTCAGGTTGCTTCTGTACTGACTTGATGCAATCATCTGTCGCGGATTGATAACGGCAACCAGAAATGCTACGTCGAGACAAAATAACCAACAAAGATCAAACCATAACTATAGACCAAACTGGCTTCAAAACTAGGTGTCCATATTTTTCTCAATGACAGTTACATGATTGTGACTACATAACAGTCTGAAGGCAGAATACATGAATAGCTGAATAAAAGACCGGACCTAGTTTAGAACAGCAAATTTTTTGCGGGCTGTGGAGAAGTGGAAACTAGAACAGATTTCTTGACCCAATAGCAGATTAGCTTGGCTATCAGCCTTAAGCAAAGAAAATCACACTCTTGAGAACAAAAACACAATAGGCTGTACGCGACTGAATTTTCATGCAACCAACCAAAGTAATAGATGAAGATTTACTACAAACACTTTACGAACATCGTTTGTTTAATACGAAAACACATACCACACAGAAGTACACGTTAACATCCAAGTTTTCAATAATACTCAAAAAAACATATTCACATCTGGAATTCATCTACATACACTTCGATCGCATATTGTGTCAAGAAATGTCATATTAACTAGTGGATTGTTTGCGATGTCAGTTCACTCCCAATTTACAAGATTCCATTACTTGACATACTCAACAGCTCAACGACGGAAAAACGCTCGCAAGCCTTCAACCAGGAGGTTTACAGCTGTTATGTCTATGTCGATATTCACCGATTTGCAACCTTAGAAATTCTTCATACAACGGCATCGTTTTGAAGGATAGCTCTATCTTCAGTGAATATCGGTCGCAGACAACTTCAAACATGACAACGAATTAGTAAATTGTACTTTACGTTCCGTAGGATTTTCAAAGCATGTTCACATCTATATATATATATATATATTTGGACCATTAATATGCTTATCAAGCGAAATCACAGCTTGGTTTGACCGCAGTTTTCTAGTAACCTCGGACCCTTTAGAATCTGAACAAACTCGTTGACACAGGGACTGACACTTAGTCTTGTGATGAATCGTACTCAGTAACGCGTATGTTAGCAACCCGTGTGCCCCTTTGATAACTGCAGTAGCGGCAGTGCAGCGGTTCTCTTCCCTATTTTCAACAATGAAAAGTAATCTGATATAACCGAAACCTGTTATCAGCGACAAATTCCGATTAGTACACACTTTCTAGAGAATGTACATAAGAAGTAATGGATTAACAAGGCTTATCCAGATTAGTTATTGTAATATTTGTTAAGCAAAAACTCTATGTAACAACTAGTACCAAATCTTAACCGATGAGTACGACTTCTGGCAATTATTCCGGTAACTCACACGAGCCCATAGTACTAGTTAATGGAGAACCCGACTGGCAAGTAGTGCTGCGTAAACCAGAAAGAATACACACTTAGTTGATATGATCTCTACTAACCCTAATTGTCCTACTACTGCATAAACCTAATGAGATAAAATAAAATGCGCCTCTTCCCCCGCTAAGCTAACTAAAGGGTACCTTGAGCTGATATCAAAAATGAAAAAAAATTGTCATCACTCGCTGCTGCTACAAAACGCACCATCCACTAGATGTTCTTTTCGTATAAATGTCTCGTTGCCACTGTGGTTTTTCAAGAAGAAGAAGGAAATTTATTTCCCATTATATATTCCGCAAGCGCTAAACAATGTGGAGCTAGTGAATAATCCGGTAAAGGAGCATAAAACATGATTTTTTCCACTTACGTTTCATATTTAGCATTTTGAGTATAAAATCTATTTTGTGTTTGAGGTAGTTGTCCTTCACGATGTGGTGCGAGTACAGTGTCCTGCTGGTTAAATGTCGTTATTAATACGTCTCTTAAAATAAAGATTTATTACAGTAGACGGAGTAAGGCTCCAACCGTTAGAATAGTGAGCTGATGGTTGGTTTAAGCCTGCTAAAAATAGACAGTTAAGTTTTATACTTGCCTATCACAAACTTAACAAGTTAACTCTGGAAACAACGAACAACAAGGAAACGACTAAATTCGCACTGAAATGTCAATTATCGCAGTAACTATAGCTCTTTGTGAATATCGCAGTGAAAATATCCTGGTGAAGGTCCTACACTACTATAGCAAATAAAGAGAAATCGAGGCCCGACATCCATACACAAGATCACGCACACACCTTCTGAAAAAAAGAACGAAATGGCGTGGGATTCAGTCGCATTTGTGCAGCAAGACACAAGCAAATTGTCGAACCCGAAGTGTCGAAGGACTGATCAATTTATGGATAAATGAAGTGGGCAACTAGGCTCGAGTCAAATTTGCGAGATAACTGTCAGTACTATCTCAAAGAGCGACATGCGGGTGACGCAGTCGGTGGAAGCCCAAGCAAAAAAGAACCACGGGTTAAATGACTTCGTGCTTCAGTATCTAAAATATCGTGGATGCATTCATGGAACCGATCAGCATCTGCTTGAACTGGTAGACCCCGTTGCGTACATAACGCAATTTGTTCCTTGTTCTCCGGTTGTAGACAGCACTCATGGAGAAGTTCCAATGTACTGAAGCAATAAATACGGGAGCAAGGGTTATCAATGGGCAGCAGCGATTACATGCTCTGTTTCGTGATAGCATTTAGTTTGAGTTAGTCAGTCCAATCAGAATCGCACCGTGTCATCATTGTTTTTGGCCAGGACAACGGAAGAGGACTTCTGGCTTCGTGGAAGCTCAGATGGCTTTGCTGCGTAGTCAGAACCTCATGACATAAGTCCTACCTCTTTACTGGTGGCAGGGTGTCGTTGATAACCTGGTTGTTGATTGATATCGATCGCTATATTGTTGTATGAGACCTATGTGTGTAACTTTGCTCTATTGCTTAGTGAAATTACCGCCGTGCTGGTTCGACCAATCCTGCACGTAGCCTGAATAACTTAGCGCTATAAAAGAAAACTCCGTCATCGCCTTTAGCTAATGGTAAGTTTCGTGGTGCAATATATACATATAGGAGTCTGCTGTGTACTACAATGGTTTAAAATACCATTGAATGTGAGATGGCTATTTCACCATCATTCACCATGTGACTTAATGGCAGGCCGATGTATCCATTATCTAGATCTATCTATTAGATAGATAGCACAAAATAGTATAACGCTTAGCTTCTCTCAAAATCTAAGGAAGCTATACCATGTCTTATATCGTTTATGATAAATAAATTATTGACGTATTGCTTTCAAAAGGATTTTTGACAAAGCATGCCAGACCATTCATGCTTATGGTTTTATATACGCTGTTTTATATATTTTCCATTCAGTTTCCAGTTAATAATTAATAGCCCTATAAAACGCGTGCGTCTAAATACATACGATGTAGTTAAATAACTTTCATACTGCACCTATCAATAGATGTACGTTCAATTGACCGTTCACAGTTCGACACATACTATTCGTGTATCGTGATATCAATTACAATACAATTAATATATAATTGTATTGTAACTAAATATATTAGTTTTAGAACAGGATTAAAACACAAGATACACTTAACATCAATTACACTTTAGCATTGTTGAACATTCGGGTCTTCTGAGCAACGAGCGCCAGCTTGATTGGTCTAGTAACACCCTCCAGTAGAAAACAAAGGCAGATCCACTAACCGATATACCCAAAGTAATAAGCCTAACGGATCGTTACAGCCAGAACATCGTTAACTGGCAACAGAGCTTAGTATAATATAGATGACTGCGGTAGACAAGAATTACTGCATCGCAGGGAGAATCAATTCCGCTACAGCCTCTTGACAATTTATTGTGCTTTATACCGTACTACCTCATATTACAGTGCTTTTTGTCATTACTCCGATAATCATAAACCACCATCCAGATGACTAGGCCACAGCGCAATGAGGCAGCTAGCGCCGTTGACCAAGGTAAGCAATACACATAGGGCGGTTAAACTCACGTGGAGGGATGAAGTCTCTACACGCGCAGCACAATGAGGCAGCTAGCGCCGCTGATCAATATAGGCAACCTACGTAAGGCGCTTGCCTAATTTCACATAAAGGGATGACGTTCTTACACACGCCATGTGCCACAGATAGACAACTCTTTAATCTCAGTATGTTAATAGGCCAACTGACCGGCAGGCAAGCGAAATAGGACTGTTCAAACGAACTGAACAAATGGCGATGCTAGTAATAATTGGTAGCACGCGTAAAGGACGCATACGAGGCCAATAAATAAACTTATGCGTTTGAAATCTACAAACAGCCTACAGATCTCTCACAGATCCTTTCAGCGACTTGAAGCATATCGGGTGACGTGACCAGAATCAGCGCACAATAAAATCTTGGCTATTCGGGCTATTCAATATGCTAGTTCATGTCGGCGGGAACCGGCTCGTGTGTATTGCAGACCAGACTGAATCGATGAACATCCGTGACATTGATATAATACGCCTGCTTGCAAAATAGCTGTAGCAGTCGCAGTGCAGCGTGCCTCCGGAGTCCGCCTCACACCAAATAAGGGCTGCTCGGGACTAGAGACATTTCACGGCTACTTCGCAGTGTTCGATGCACGTGCTACCCAATGACTGACGCTACTTCTACTTCTACCGGTTAACTGCATTCTATAATTCTTTGAACCATTGTAGATCTGTTACCTACGGCAGGGTCTTCACAGATCAAGTAATGTATCTAGTGAATTGAACGGAGGGAAAGGCCGGCTATCGAGCCAAATTGTTAAGGACTGCATTTAAATGTTTTCCAAGAAAGTGTCAATTTGCGCAAAAGTCGCTATCTCTTTATAATACTTACATGTTGTGCCTTAAGACATGCGAAGATATCCAGAAGAGGTAACGACACTAGGATTCGACACGATTTCCCACAAACAGATTTTCTACAACACAGTATCGGCACTGCAGCACACATCACCAGACAACTCCACGTGTGAACGAACGAACACCAGTTAGCCCATAGCTACAGCGAGTCGCTAGGCCAGCAGGATTCACGCGGCGGGCTGGCGGCACTAGCGGACGACTACAACATAACGTAACAGATGAAGGTGCACTTTGGAACGAACCAATGCCGGCCGGTTCTCGCCTAACCCGCCAAACCCTTCGTAACCAAAACTTTGCCGCCATGACGATACATGTTCAAATTTAGTTGCACGGATTACCTACGTTTTTTTAGATCACTGTGTTCTAGATATTTCTTTGTGGCCTCGGAAGTAATCATGTGAATTTGGTAGTAAATGATCGAGAAACATTTGGGAAAAACGCCAACGGTAGCCCGCTAAGGTCCCGTCAAACCTACCAAAATGTTATTCGAAGACTCGGAAGTCCGCGTATTAGTAAAAACTCGGAACGAACACATGCACTGCAGCTGAGTCGATGATAGTACACAAAGTGGAAGATCGATTTTCACAATGTTTGTGCGCGGATTTGCTGGTGTGTCAAAAGTTCTTTTGAATTTTGAGAAATTATGTGCGGAACCACGTCGCGAAATGGGGCATCGATTTCGTGGTCACATGCCTAATCGGCATCGCGACCCCAAGTGGAAGAAATACCGTGCAAACCAAACATTTCGCTTGAAACTTCCTGATTATGAAGAGATGCGGAAAGATTTTTCACATTTGAGCCCTGATGAGGTAAGTTTATATGGCGAAGATACTCAATTCAATACCTCAGAATCAATTTCAAAAGTTACCAATTGTGCCTATGTATCTTGAGAAATAGGTCATATGGCTTCTGTTTGGAGGAATAATAGGTCATATGTTATCGCTCAGTTTAACGTAATAAATAGTACTTTATATACAAAGTACAATATAGTCTCATAAATTTCAGCTGCTTAACATATAACATTAGGTGTCTTGTGAAATTGCAGTTTTTTTTATAAGTTTATCTCTAAGCAGATATCGGATAATTTTCGATAGTCCACTTCCCGGACGTATCTATACTTCAGCTTTGCTCGCTAAAAAAATGTCCCCATGAAGTACTTTGCAATTCACTTTTTGAAATTATATTTGTTACGAGAAGAAGTGATGCGGCCTTAAAGGATTGTTTTATCTGTATATAAAAAGTCATTATTTCGAAGGTTGAAAAGCACGCTTCACTAGAGCGCGAAACAACGTGCCTTTATTATTTGTTTTAGAAGCAATTCCATTTTACTTAATATGTAACGTAGTTATAAGCGTAGTTCATTTTCGTAGTACTTTGACGTCAATTATTTTTGGATCATAAAGAAACAATAATGCCTTATATGAAGATACATATCGTCAGAGATAGTATAGCCAAAGCGCCAAGGACACAGTAAAATGTAACAAGAATGAGAGCAAAGTATTATAGGAAAGAACGATGATTTAACCGGTAATAAACTTACAAAACGATGTGTGTATAATATGTGATCTCTACAATTTCCGTTGGCATCTATTTAATCCTTCGGATAGCTAATGCTTTTAATAATAATAGTGATAATAATAGTGGTGTAAAAATTTGAAATTAAGAAAGATGAAAAATGACACGTACATTAAATTTTAATTATTAACTAATGAAGCTTAGTATCATGACATTCACTAAGGCGTAGTACAAGATTGTTATGACGAGTATACAGCATGGTTATTAGCGGACGACATGTAGATGGTACTCAATATTCGATATCGTTACACATTACGGAACAAAAAATAGGTTTTACATAATTATATTTAATTTTTTTTTTAAATTATATAAGATTTTAGAACAATATATGTTTGGATAAATTTAAGTCCTGTACTGCGTGTATAACACCGTTCATACTTTTCATATATATATATTTTTTATTGATATAATTATGGGTGTTATATTCTACAATACGTCTACGTGAGCGTTGTATGCTTGTTATTAATTGCAGATAAGAAGTCTTATGAAGGAAAAAGGCATTGTGCCAGGCCGCCTCTGGATTGAGAAACCGGTGTTCATGTCCTGTACTGGGACGGTTATCGACGCGTTTGTGCCTCCAGAAGGTCCATTGTATATCTTTACCAATCATCTGCCACTAATCAGTTCTCTTGAGAAATTTTAGAGAATTTATTTTTTTATCCTTACAATGGATATCGCAGTTCGTGTTTCAGCTCTGTAGGTCTCTTATGTGTGGGCGTATATAACTATACGCCTATATGCATGTAGTTTACACGCTTGTCGTATCTGCTTTACAGGTGATGGTAAAGCTACAATTTTATCCAAGACAGGAGCACTGCAACAGATGAGGAAATTGGAGAAAAAGGGAAAATCACTTATGCAATTAAGAAAAATTCGTCAATTTGATGAGGACTTCGATTTGGAAGAATTTGCGCAGCAAGCGCACACTATCTACGAGGAAGCTCATCTCGCTCTCGCTAATGGTGATAAGAAGAAATTAGGAAATCTGGTGCGTTTTTGATATCGTAGATAAGGTGATAGATGCTATTAGTTAAATACCTTTCTCTTTAGCCAAAGGCAGAGGAATCCGACGGTTCATATTGTAAAGAAAAATTGTCGAGCATAAATTAGGTACTACGAATCTGAATTTGATTTGTCTAAATGTACTTGCTTACCTGATTTTTTGTAGTCATGTAAATTATTCGTCTTACAAATAGTAATTAGAATATCACAGCGATACTTAATCTCAACTAACACAAAAATATATGGATTGACAGTCCAAGAAAATGTGATCGGTACTTTGAATGGAGATGTTCACCTGTTTCAATACTGGTCCGTTTTGAACGTGCTTGGCGCAACTTACTGCGGGAGTGACCCCTCCTTGACGAAAATAGTGCTATCGTGGCATTTTCTTTTACAGTTTGTGTAATTAACTATCAAAGAGCACTTGGGCAAATAACTATCGAATAAATTACGAAACTCTAAATTGTGAAGAAAACTGGTTGAAAGTAATTCTACATTGCTCAATGTCGTTGAATTCATGAGTACACAATCGTATTATATGGGTGAATTTCACAACTACCTGCCTACATCTTTAAATACTAAATTTTTAATAAGATTTTTCTCATTTTGGTACTTTAACTTAATTGACTTGAGAATGAGCATACAATAGTGTTATCTAGGATTTCCTCTCAGTCTTTGATATACCAAGGTTACCGTATATATAATACTTAGGAAGTTCAATACGCTTAAATTAAATTTTGTTTCGTTGACTGTGAGTTAGGTGACAGAACGCTGTTATCCGGAAATGCTTGCTAACACGGAGCTCAAGACACTTCGCTGGTCGCTCATAAAAAGCATTGAGCCCGCTCGAGTGGTACATATTCGTACTCAGGATTTACTCAACAAAGATAACATCTTTGCTCAGGTGCACCAGATCACCCAGGAATATCCGGCACATTTAATTTTGAAAACTCGAAGCAAACAACATCGTTTGCATATCAACGCGAGCGTTTAAAAAATACGTAGTACGAGCATTTTTGAAAAGAGGCGTAACAAGAGCATTTTTTAACAAAAGACGTAACGTGAGCAGTTTAGAACAAAAGACATAACGCGAGCATTTAAAAAAGACGCGCAAGGCAAGCGTTTAAAAGATGTAATGTGGGTTTTTTTTTCTTAATACGTAATGCAAACATTTTTTTAAATACCTAATACAAACATTTAAAAAACTACATAACACGAGTGTTTTTAAAAACACGTAATGCAACCGCTGAGTGTTTTTTAAGAAAAAAGGTCAGTCTTACAATATCGCTGATGTCTTGCATGCATTGAGTATTTCGCGTTATCGTTTACAATCCAAGTTAATCGTGTTCAGTGTGGTTCTCGCTCTAGCTACTCACGTGCATGTTAATTTGTTTTGTTTGTTTTAGGTGACCGTTCGCTTGCACACCCAGCAGACGCTTGCAATCTATGATCGTTTCGGAAGGTTAATGCACGGATCGGAGGCGATCACGAAGGATGTTCTAGAGTATGTCGTATTCGAAAAGCATATGTCAAATGAGTACGGTCAATGGAAGCTTCATGCAAAAATCATACCGGAGTGGCAGCCCGTAAAATCCCCTGAAATTCTAACGAATATAGTTGAAGGCAGCCCTGTTAATAATGAAAATTTGCCTGCAAATTTGTCTGAGAAGCTATGAAGCAAGAACAGCCACAACTGGCTGCCACTTAGTTATATGGCTAAAAGTAGGAAGGGTTGAACCAGTGTGGGTGAGTGGAGTGGACGGCCACTGCTGTGACAAGCGAAGGTGATTTAGAGAGTGAAAAGTTCCTTTCAGGGAAATACTAGACGCGATTACATTTTTATCTTAGCTGCATAAAATATCGGAGAAAAGATGAGGGAACTTATGTACACGCAAAATGAATAAAGTAGAAAGAGCACTTATGTACACGCAAAATGGACTAAGCGACCGCTTCCTTTTTATACATAAAAATATTTTAATATTATCTGCTGAAAACGGCTTAATGACATTAACGACGTTAGATCTGTATGTATATCGGTATACGAGCTATACGACAAATTCTGTCATGGCAAAGTTTTTCAAAGATAAGGTTGCTTATTTTAACCGACAGTGCGATCCGTTGTATTTTGTGGTGCTTTGCATTCTTGTTGCCCGTAACGGCACTCGTAGATAAGATATTAATGCGGCGGATATTTGCATCATTACGACCTTACTAACTTACAAAATTCGCTCGGAGCTGCTTCCACCATTTCTTTCAGTCATTTCAAGTTCCTTAGCTTACTAGCGAAACGAAAAATCAGATATTAGATTTCGCTTATTATACGACGCAAATAAGAATAATCTGCTTTTAAACTTCAAAAGGTCTAAACTTGTGTTTAAATAAAAACGAATATAATAAATGATAATAAGTTTCGAGGTTAGCATTAAGTTCACACACTTTCATTACGTTCATCAAATTTGAATGTGCACGATTATTTTTGCTAAACGAGTTTTTATGTATGTTCTACCTTATTTAAGGGTATCTGTTATCCAAAATCGTTTAGAATTTTTTGATTCAAATAATTACTACCCAGTGTCTTATTATATTATATTATTATATTCTAATATTTTGCAACACGCATGCTCAATTTTGTAATAATGGAATTCTAAAGGATTTAGACAATAGCGCCAATATACATATCTTGAAGATTAAAGTAAAATTGGTTACGTTTTGTTACTCTCTAAAATAAATGGGTAGGATGAAAACACAACGGATTTATTTTTTCGTATTTCGAGCATATTAGAAGTTCATTTTTTAACCAAGGTAAAAAAAACGTTGGTTTTTAATAATATCAACTGTCGAGGTTTACACTTTTTGATTCGTGTAGCGTTATCGCACCTAACATATGTGTTTGTAATGCATGGGACAAGTTGCTTCCGTCATCCCAAAAATGCAAGCTTTCTGATGCAAATTCCGAAGTGCATCTTTATTTTTTCACTCGTGTATAATCATCAGTATAATAGAACTACTGTATATACATCTTGCTTTAGAGTGGAGTTTTAAGTTGGACACGACGGTATTTATTCCGGCCAAATAAAAATCATTAAAATACTCGAGATCAAGGCTCGGTACCGCTACTGACCAATGGAAAACTCCCTGCTAAAGCATCCTAGACCCGGCAGTTGTCTGACTTGCTTACAAACATCCGCCCCTTTTCCCCCATACAGTTGTCCAGCCTTCTTTACCTTCTGTGAAGATGCCCATACTCGCTATCTGGCACGGAGTATCTATTTCAAAGTTGCCACCTTATCTGTGCGGTATGAGGCTTTCCCAATTACTCCGATTCAGAACGTATCGGGGCCTAGCGACTGACACCATTGCACATGTGATAGAAACGAATTTCATAAGGGGCGTCCTTAGCATGAGTCAGAGGTTACTTAAATCTATTGTTTGCACTCTAGAGTGTTCTTGTCAGGCCAAGCCATCCCTTTAGAAATAGTCACGACTATTACTGCAGTTTTCGAGATGTACAAACGCATATATAAGCATTGTGAAATGGAGTCAAATGAAAACAGTAAGGTGAACTGGAACAGTCAGCGGATCTATCATATAACGGATTTTAAGCCTCCTTCGTTAGAGTTCTCAGAATAAAAATGCTGTGAGCGTTAGTGGCCTCTGCTGCTTAGCTGTTCGACATTATCCGGCACCGGTGTTACAGTTTGAATCGACTATTAATAACTATAACACTCAAATAGTTCATGATACTTTCTTACGAAACTTTATTCTGATCAATCCGATTGGACGTACCACCGAATCAAGGCAAGTGAATGTAGTTTCAGAGATTTCTATCAGCTACAGGATGATGCCGAAACGAGATATACTTGATAATCAATAATTTTTCCTCAGGGAGATGTTTCCGGATCACTTGTATACGTAGAGTACGTCGAGTAGCGGTAGGGGTCACAGACATAACGCTGCAGGTTGCTCGCCGGCTGCTGGAACCAGGGATGTCGATGTGCCTAGAAATAAAGTTCTACAATTGTGGAAGAACCGACCCTTCCTGCCTTAGTTACGTAAGACACATGCAAGCTTATGTGCTCGTTAATCTTCAAGAGTCCGAATATTAATTCTTGCAATTAGTATGCGTTCAAAGATGGCGGTATGGAACTAAAAGGCGCCTCACGGCGCGGTCGGCTATTCGAAGCCCATAAAAATAGCCTGAGGTCAATTTTTAAGAAAAACAACTGGCAAAAAGCTCGGTGAATTGGCAGAGGAGGGGCCCTGCAAATACTTGACCATCATTGGATATCTTGAATTATCGGATTTTATCAAAGAACAGTAGCCTAGGTGCTTCATAACTGAGTGAAAAACCCTATAGGACACTTATATTTGCCTTATTGCCTCTGAATATCTCGCTCGATTTTGAGCAATACGCAACAACAATGACGGATTTTTGTACAGAATTTTTGCGGGTACCCAAAAGTGGCGTCTTTATATGAAACTAAAAAAGGTACGTCTAAACCTCAAGTTAAGCCAAAGTTCCGTTATCACAAAAAAAAACTGTTTTTGCGTTTAGTCTTACGCACTACGAAGTGCTTGGGTATAGTAAGACGGTCAACAATCACGTCAATCAACAAAAATTTGTACATAGCTTAGTTGCATGGCGTAAAAGAGGCTATCCAACAGAAAGAAAACCAATAGACAAGGTAAAGTCGACATTCCCAAGGCAGTGGCAGGCAGCATATGGCTAAGGTCGTTAAAACCACTTGTGTTGCAGGTCTTTTCGCATCCATAAGTGAATCTCCAGGCTTCGCAATAACAGAATACCCTCTCTTTCGATTATAAAAAAAAGGGAATTCATAGCAGTACGTAACTATAATAATAAAAAGGGTGGAAAGAGCTGACTAAACAACTTCTATACTGAACTGAAAAAAATTTGGTAGGACTTGAACAATTGAAACGTTAATGTAGGCGCAGGGAATGACGACGTATATAAGGGGAAGTTTTTGATAATTTGGGTGAAATTCTGTGTTTTTTTTAGTATTATAGTACTACATTTTAGTCACTCTTTTTTTTCAGTAGCTTTTTTTCTAGATTGATGATTTTCGGAAATAGAATTGTCGCAAAAAATTTAATGAGAAAAATCGAAGGTTGTACTCAGGGGCACATTTTAGACAGAAAACGTCCAAAATATCATGTTTACCATTCAACACTTTTGAAGACTCAAATTAATATTACTATTAATTTGTTATCGACAAATCAAGACGTGAATCGGCGCCGAGTTGTCATTACCTTTAGTTGAGTGTTAATATGTGGACTAATAAAACTCATGAAATATCTGCGTACTGCAATTCCTTTACACCAGTTTAGTTAGGGACTTCATTCTGCTTACTCATTGTGGTTTTTAATTTTTTCTATAAATACAGTATCTCTTAATGACTTCGTAATTGAATTCTGGCGTGCTTAATCTCGATCATATGTTTTGAAGCGAAGACAGCTCAAGATGAATTTCACGTGACTATTAATACCTTACCTCATATATTAGTTTTCGCATTCCCATCGCAATGCTAAGGATGTATGAGTACTTCGAGATCCTGCAACTATCAAGATACAAGACCGTGAGAAAATCTTTTGGCCTAAAATTGATGCTAGATATCAAAATACAGCTGTGATTAGGTCGATTTTCGGGTCGAAGTTCTAAATCATATCTATGCTAGGTTAATAAGTCTACACCAAGCAGATATAAAGTCGTCCTTGATGTAAAATGTTAGCATACTTGTAGCTTTCGGATGATATTTCAACAGTAAAGTACCAAATATAAGGCTGGCCTAAGATGTACCAAAGCCTAGATTCGGTTTCCTTAAGAATCACAACGTTGCCAGTAAATCAACAAAAGGAATTCGGACCTGTATATATTTCTAACGATCGTCGATATTTCACAAGGACAAATCTGCTAAAACTTTACAAGTGAAGGTCTTTTTATAATCTGTCTTTATAAGACTGTCAGTGATTGTCTTTCGGTACAGTGATTTCAGATACCATATTTATGAACCAACCTGAAGGCTCTAACGACGGGTCGGGACGCGTTTATCTCCTGCATAAACTTATGCGTGAAACAGATTATATGGGACTGATTATGCACTGCGATATCGTTTTCCTTAATCAAAACATTGTACAGTGTAAACTAATCGGGGCAATCAACACTCAGGGAACTCTTATTGTGAATACTAAAAACCTAAACCGGAAATCCTGTCTTATCACGTATAAGAGCTAGCCATGCGTGGAGTTATTTGCCCCCATATATATTTATATACTTGCAAAAAGTCAAGCAACTTCAGCAATCTCCATTTTCAACAGTGGGCATTATGGGATGAGGTACGAACCCTGATACTAGACTTACATTTATGGCAAACCATAGTAATACTCCTGAAGTATTTGGTTTACATCGGCTGAGAAGTAAAACAAACAATTGTGTCATTCGTACTTCAATCATGAGATAAGCGCATAAAATCAGTGGTTGTTTTACTAAAGTATAGCGAAATTCGCCTCATATTTATTGTATTTAATGCTAGGGCCATACAAAGAAATTCTCGACACATTTTTAGGATCTTTATTGTGTTGCTGAATCGATGACAGCTTTTTCTGAAAAAGCGCTGCAATCCTGTGTTTATCAATAAAAGTGTCCCTAGCCGCATTTCGTTGGACCGTACCTACATACCTAGATACAAACACGATTATATGGGTGATAACTGCTCTTTTATTCTTCAGTTCTTTCTAACCTCTTTTTTGTTGATGCTGTAGCAATACTAATCACGGAATTTACAGAAAAAAACGTCCCCCACTGGGGTACTCCTTTCTGGGACTAATCAGTTACAACGAAATAGGGTCTAATGTAACTCTATTATTAATTTATAGGTCATCGAAAGAAGTTTTTCGTCTTCTAAAATTTCTCAATTCTACTTGACTACTACTTGGTTTATTCTTTCACAACAAAAATATCACTAGAATCATATCAAGATATCATATAACGGTTCAATACGAACCTTTTTAACCTTCAGAAGTTGTAGATCTCCTAATTGTGTCCACTGCGCGACAAGAAGTTACTCGTGTACGAAAAGTCGCTGGACTAATCTCGAACTATGGATATCATTGTTTTTTGTGTATGATCATGTGCAGACATTTGACGCGAGCAGTAAACGGATTTATAATAATGCTATATATAATATCATATAATGCAGATCCTAATTTGTAGCTTTGACGCCCGAACAAAAGAGAAAAGTAACGTGTTATTGGGAGTTCGAAGTCCTAGTTGTCTAAAGATCACCTTGACCAAGAAAATCAGCCCAAATATTGAGGGTGTTGGACCAGGTTTGATAGAGGCCGCGGCTCTTAGCAACAATGAGTTCTAATTATAACAAAACTTCAAAGGCTTCGGTCTATGTTCTGCGAACAGAAGATGCTTCAATATCTAGTCGGTCTATACGTGAACAAGCTACGTATCTCAATAAAATATCGTTCTCATTACATGAACTTCTCCTTGTAGGATTTGTTAATTGATACAATGCCTTCATGACAACGTAATGCAAAAACTGCAGTTATAATACACTTTTGAGATATTATCAAGCATATAGCATTTTAGATACGAACTGTTTTTGTTAGTATCCGACTCAACTAAAAGTATATTAAGACGAAGCGTATCAACAGATCTATGATTAAAAGAAGTTTCATAGTAATATCTGTTTGAATGCAGTGAATAGACTGCAAAATAAGTGGCGCCAACATTTAAAAAAAAGTATGTTTAATTATATTGCGTAGTCATGTCAATATTTTAAAATAAAAAGGATTTTTTTTTTCTTTCTAATAGTGATCTAATCTAATGAAAAAGCCAAAGGTTGTATTGTATTGCGTATATTTTTTGGGCATTAATACCTGGTATCTCAGCTTTTACAATTTTGTTTCCACTCTAGACGTTTTTTCTATTCACATTCTTCTGTTCACTTTTCCCTTTAAAAGCTGAAGTTTCAATTTCTAAAAGGCCCCGTATTGCGGGACCCACGCGCGATCTTTAGCTAAAACTCATCAGATGAGACTTCTGTGTACTTATTACAAGTCTTGAGAAATAGTTTTTCCGGATCCAAAGCGCAGCTTTAGAGAGCGCAGATTAAACTGATTATTTGATCTGAACCTGGGAGATGCGGTGCGGAACCTGCACCAAATTCGACAATTGAAAAATTAGATTTTCTCGTAAGACGTAATTAGTTGTACGTAAACCGAGCGTCTTTTTCTTCGAGTTCCCTCTTTGAAAACAAGTTCATAGTATAGTTTAGAAACACCACAGTGGCCAGAGCTGATGTGTCGTCACATATACAAATATACATTTTGGAAAAAAACAGTGCTGCGATGTGGTTCAACAATCTTATAAAACAAGTTATGAGGTTATAACAACAAAGGAATAATTGAGCGCTATTTGACGTTGCTTATATTATATACATAATTAGCTTTTTACCTCTGGGAGGAAAAATAAAGTGTGTTTATTGAAGAACAAGCGTGGGGGGAACCCCGGAAGGCCTTTCTAGTTTACTGCTAAAACTTTATATCTGGCAGCTTGGGGAATCCGAATCTGCCCGTAGAATGGCTTGATTCGGCCGTTTTTGTTGTGAGTTGGAAGAATTTCATCCGGAAAGATCTACGTTTAACACGGAATCCCTTTTCCCTAGAAAGTGAGGTGTTTTCTCCTTAGAAAGTGTAATGTTTCTTTGGTACTTGCGCGACAACCAATGAGAATTCGAGAAAAGTTCACTTCAGATGGGCGCAGTTCTAAAAACTTCATCAAAACCTCTAAAAAACATTGGATCTGGGGGAAAATTTTAGATTTTCCATCAAGTGGTGAATAACTGATGACATATTAATAATCTGAGTACATTTTGTCAACACTATAAATACTTTTTCCGAAGGGACGTTTTCTCCTTACAGAGAAGCATGATGATAATTAAATCATGGAATGTTTGATAAGATCTGAACAATTTTGGCATATATAGTGTATACCCTCCAACTGGATAATTTTTTTTAGATCGTACGGATGATTGAAATGGGAAAACGGGATAAATGCAAGAGGGTATCGAGTTTAGGCTGTTCCACTTGGAGAGTGGCGATAACTGTGGAAGGGCATGAGGTCTGAGATAGGTAAGGTCGCACACTTGCTCTGTGTGCACGACAGCAAGCTAATTTTACATGTAGAAGTTGAGTAAAATTTATATGGCTTTATATTGGCAATTCGGAAATCGAGTTTGGCTATTTCTTCGAGCAACAGAATGCTTGCCATGTGTAATAGGTAGAAGGTTACCGCCATATTCTAACAAGGAAGTGGAATCAGTCTAGCCAAAGAACCGATTGCTGTTTGGACAGGGTTATAGGGTAACTGCATTAAACTAACGAAATCATTGGCCCCAAATTAGAAATTGACCACATACAAATGATCATTCAGTAACTAGAGAGTTGCAGCGAAATAACAGAACTAATGTAACAAAAATTCACAGAACTTGCGACCGGATATTTGCGAAAGCATAGGTCTGAAATAGAAGAGCAATAACTTTTATTAGAGGTGCCACACGAATCATATATTACAATGAGGTAACTGCAGCGCGGCCGTAGCACTATTAGAATTATTTGAATTAAGGTTATACCATTACTATAATGGAATAGTTGCAACGAGACTGGTGTCAAAAATTTGAACCCCATAAACTGTAAAAATGTCAATCTGCAATTGAATTTTGGCTAGATGCTGGGAAAATCAAATTTTTTTTGCTAGTAGTGTCTCCTTGACTATGGGGTTCGTCCTTTTAGCCGCCTTTTCGAAATCTTTTGCACATGTTTACGAGAAAGCTACAGAAACTGATGTAAATTATATTTCTAAGATAGATTTTTCAACAAAACGGCAATCCAACATCAATATGGAGGTCTATGCAGAGGGGTACTTCCTGGCATTAATCGAAGGCTCTCGCCGAGCCGACTCGTAATGCTGTAGATGTCGTCATACTAAACTGGATATTTCAGCGTGAAAATGGCAAAAACTGAAAGTAACATTTGTTTCTACCATACACCATTAAAGTGAAAATTTTGTTCCGAGGTTTTGTTTGGAAGTTAAAGAGGCGGATGTAGCGAATATGACAATAACACAATATGCTCCAATTTAGGTCAAAATATCTTCTCTACGCGAACCACCACTTCTTTAGTTTTAGTAGGTTTTTCGTGACGCTAGATGCACAAGGTACATCATATTTTACCTAAAATGTACATCTCAGCACGAAAAAGGCCAGAACTAAGTGTGGTTCGCTTGTAGGACAATCAATGGATGTCGTAAGTATAACACATATCTACATACATAAAGTAGATATTTAAGGCTTGAAAAGGGCCAAAAATAGTTAAATCAATAGTAAAACAGGCATGGGCCTCTGGTCAACCCAGTATTTTAGTAAACTTTAGGTACTTTATTATGTTTAGGCAGGAAGTATCCAACATGAGAAATTTCCAACCGCTACCACGCTTAAAAAAGTATTTCCGATTGACCGATTCAGAAATTCTGTTTACTAGAACAATGAATATTCGAAAAATATAAGTAGGCATGACCCTAATGTGCCCTAATTGCCCTCATTTCTCTGCCATTTAGATGAAAATCTCTACCAGCACTCTCCTACTATTGAATCTTGAAATTAAATAGCCGAAAAAAGTCAAAGATGTGAAGTCTGGTCTCATAGTCTCGAGACCAAAGTGGTACATCACCAAAAACACAGCATCAAATTTCACAGGAACACTTGCGTTTAGTTAAAATATATAGTTAAGTTAATATTCAAATGTCTTGACAACGACGAAGGAATTATCGGATTAATAAAAGCTGTATCCGGAGTTTTGCAGCTTCAAAATAATAAACAGAACTTATTTAATACTTGTGAAAGCTTCTGGCTAACTCCTCGCAGGAATCGCTCGCAGGAAATCTCTGATGAATTCTTCCAGTCATGGCAGCGCAGTATTCACAGTGAGAGTCAGAATGACTCCACACATTGTATCTATGATAGGGCTTCTATACCTGCCCGCAATGACGATGCAAACTGCCGTGTTTCTAGCCGTGAGCCTCAAAAACCCCTTCTGACTGCTGCTGTGTGATATCTCTAGGGTATTTTTTCTTATCAATTTACGTCAAATAACGTTGCCGCTTAATTGGGTTTCTCTTGACACATGCTTTGGCTCATATTCATGTAACAACCGGGATAATGAGCGGCCGGCTTTTATCAAACGGTACTGACAAATAAATACCATTACTCTTCGGGTATCAATGATTTTTATTGTGTTGTTACAACTAGTTCAAGACTCAACAACAGGTACGCTACAATAAAAAACTAACATTTTAAAAAAATTAATCTGTCCGATGTAACTTATGAAATTTAGTAGTTCAATTCATTGATGCCTTTGCTTATAACTAGGCTCGTTTGCACAAGTTTTATTTCATCTCGTTGTAGAGGTAAAATATAACTGGCTTTTCCGAGTTAGTACGTTACAAAAATAGCAGAACTCACACTGGTGGATTTATTAATAAGTTGGAATTGATTGTTTTCTTTCTTTTTGACAGAGACTGCAGACCATTGACATCATAAGAGCTTATTATCAACACTCAGGACCTGAGGTCTGTCATCTGCTGAGGTGCGCATAGATAATCGCCCCCTTTCTCACCTGCTGTATCGAAGCGCTCCTTGGTCTTTCTGCTGTAGAAATACTCGTTCCGCCCTTCTCATTTCAAGTATTCATTCGGAAGATGCACTGGTAATGAAGGTTGTAATGCATTCACCGATATGAGGGCCTATGTTAATAGTCGATGATCTTTTGTTACCAATCGTGTAAGTGGCACGATACTCAAGGACTGCAGTGTCTCCACCTATTAATGTTGTTCAACAAAGTGATCGGAGTAAACCCAGAAATAATAAGTTGTAAGTAACTAACCATGCATTGAAGGTTCCGAACCCCTGAACTGCACTGAGTGGAACAGTATGTGCTCGAATTCGAATTTTTTCGACGAACCGAGAAGGACCATTTCGTGTAGCCAATTAACGCACTCACCTGTAGAGTAACATATTCAAAAAACGTGCTCTGTGTCATAGCAGCGGGAATCTGCTAGTGGGTCTGGGATTTCCTGTTGAGTCTTCAACGAGATCGGAAACTGTTGTAACGTCAGAATCCTAAGACCGTAGCTGCAAAATAGCATTTTGCCGCGGTTGTATTCAAAGTAAACGGACAAATCTTCAGTTGGAGCTACTGTATGAATCACGTAAGAAAAAAATCACCTCAATAGGATGGATTTGGAGCAGAGTAGAATTGTCCACGTTTTAAACGGTTTTAATTCTATCCTTTGTACACAAATTAGCAATAAGAAATTTAGAGCTCACTTTTGGTCAAGGTACAAGGGAGAATACTTCCCGGAAGAAAAGTCAATCTGACGTCGTAGTGGTGGAAAAAAATAGGTTGATGCTTAAAAAGGTGTGCGTAGAGTGATACTTAAGGTGCAGATAGATATAAGGCTATAGATACATAATCTAATTGCGCACATGCAAATTAATGCGATCAAGAGATTTGTTGATAAAATTACTTACTTTATATATATATATATATATATATATATTTATTATATTATATGCAATTACATTTCAGACTAAACTACTCCAGCATATAAGATGCAGTTGGCAACTATAGCAAGTAGCCTGATATCTTTTATCGCGATCCTGATTACCCCATCTGTTTCCAGGTACAATATTGCTCTAAATAAGAGAGACATGCCCAGCATAGTATTCATTACCACGTCACAATTAGTACCAAAATTTCTTTGAAGAAGTTAAGTTCGGCACTCACTGGGAGTCTTTCTGACGAGGTGAAAAATATTAGCATCATGGATTGCTTTAGGAAAGTAGATTTGTAAAAAGTATATAAAGAGTGGTGATAAGTCACTTCAAACAAAGTGATTTATCAGAATACAAGCTTCTTGTAACCCTTTTTTTGCTGCAGATTCTCTGAAGGGTCACCCGAAAATGATATGAAAGGTCAAGTCGGTACTAACAGCCCAGCAGAGTGGCATCAGCCAGGAGGAGTTCTTGAGATGGCGAGAATTTTTAGCAGGATTCTTGTGGACCAGTATGAAGCCGACTTGGAAGGTCGGCAGTCTACTCAGAACTCTGAAGTGTCGCAGTTTGGTACCGACCGCGGAAAAGCCTATGTAAACAGTACGGTCATGATGCTGGCAAATTTGGTGAGTCTTAAGTTTTGCTAACATGGTCGCACGAATCACAGGAATCAATAATTGGAGATGGAGTACAGCAGTACGTAATATGCACTCTTCAAGGCACAATGATAATGACAGCATTAGAAAACAAAAATGACTAAATGCACATTTTGATATATAACGGAATGACATAACCGAATTTGAGTATAGAGAACCTTTCTGAAGACGGCTAAACTAATTAGTCCCATTAATACTTATTTTTTTCGCAAAGAAATTTATTTCTTTGCTCTTTAACCTCCATTCTTTGTATTTTCATTGTTTGTGCCTGGCGCTCGCCCATTAGCCCATTGTTCTTCGAAGCGTGATAACTTCGCGGTTCCCTCTCGTCGACTCTGCAAATTACGACTATGTTCGGCCCATAGATTCGATTGGGCTTCAAAGACAAACGCATAAAGCTAACAATGATGGGAAGAAGCAATTAGAAGTGACTGATAACAGTAAAGAACGCAAGGAAGAGCAAAAACGATTACCGCAACCACAAGCAAATTTAAGAGGGCGTTCCGCAAAACCTACTACCAAGCCCGATTCTGATGTCGAAGACCTAACTGAACTAGACAATTTCCACCCGCCGCAGGTTTTTTATCCACCTAGTGTGAATAAAAAAACTGCTCCACTAAGTATACACAAACCTTCATTGATAAGCACCGCTGCTATTGGAGGTTCGGTTACTGAGACCATGACACCTGGACAATCTAGTTCGGCGTCTCTATTATCGACAACAATAACCAACCACGAAGGAACTACTGATCAGAGTAAAAAAGCTATGGGTGATCCGACAAGTCTGATTAATAACAGCGATGCAGAATCAGTGGAGTGGTTACCTTTGGCCGACTTAAGGTTAGAACCGGACGCTGCCACAGAAGAATTACCCGCGGATTATAGTAGCGGCAGTGGGCCTATCATGCCGACTCGAAGCGTCGCTGAGGATCAACCGACTATGGCTCCCATCCTTGGAAACATTCCAAACAAAAACTTTGTTCCCGTAACACCGATGGGTGGTAACAATCCGAAAGATAGCGCTGTTCTGCCGACAATCACCGAAGTAACTACTGCAGTTAGTGTAAGTAATGGCAAAACTGTTAGTCAGCGCTGTGTCAAGTACAAGTGAAATAAGCAATTCACAGAGAGGAAAGTGTAAAAGAAGCATTTGCAGATTTATCAATAAACAGATTCTAATTTTCTTCTATATTATAGTATCGGACGGACGGCGGTACAAAAACTGAAACTTCAAATGCAAAAAACGATGCCTTATCGGACGCGAAGGACCCTGACAGGAAACTGACGGATAACGACGTTAAAGCCAATCTTCGAGAATTTTACCTGATGCAGAGAAATCATGTCACAAATCCAATTATGACGGCAACAACTACGACAAAAAGACCAGGTATTTTAATGGTTACGAAATTGCTTTATTAAAAAATCAGCTCAAAACTAGCTTTAGGTACATATTAATGTGAGTCTCCCAAATAATAATAAAAAGGCATCGTCCTTTTATTAACCCTTATTATCGTATAAAATAAAATTTAAGTCAGATCTATTGTTTATTTATTTTAACATAGTAGAAATAAAATGGACTTCCAGGTAAACAAATAATCGAGCTGCGTGCAAACTGTATCAATTATGTTTATAATTAGGTTTTATTTTATTTTAACACACTGAGGATGTATATATAAAAGCTGCAGAAAAAGCTATTTGGGCGAAATACTATACAAATACAGATTCTCTATTCTTTGTAGTTGCGGTGACCGAGGACAGCGAACGGGTTTCGTCGCCGGCTGTAAATCCCGTTGTCGCCCTAGCAGGCGCCGATACTTCTGTCGATCACACGAGTGGCTATAAATTGGCCTGTCCCCCAAAAGACCAAATCCACCCTTGCACATGCACTGAGGTATGACCGTCTTGTTGTCCCATATATATGTGTATATATACACATATTCTAGCTGATTTCCAAACGTCACGATTAATGATGTCGCATAAACGTCAAATTCACGAAGACGTTTATAAAATCAATTTTCGAAAATCGGAATTTTAAATTAAAAGTATTATACAGGAGTAGGTCAACAGTTGGCAAAATCGAAATAAAGGCAACATTCTCCCATCTTTATCGGGACTAATATCAACTCACCGAGCTTGAATGTTAATTATATATTAAAGGATAAGGTGGCTCTCAAGGAAGTCAATGTGGTCAAACGCTCTCCATTAAAAAAATGTCGACTTCGATGCGCTTGCACATAGCTTTATTAACATTATAGATCAAATAGAGCCTATATGAATTGTATTATACATTTCGTCGTCCTTATTTATTATTTACTCATGTTAATAAAATGACCAAGACTCATCCTTATATAGCTAGCATGACTGGAAATTGGTAACATCAATTTTAGTACAGAATAACTTCACAGCGGCCTCTATATTCTAGTTCTTTTATTTATACAAATAATTTATCTAAGTTGCTTCTTTCTCTTTTTTTTGTTTTGTGCAGCATTACGATGAGAGCGAGGACGCAATTGAAACGTTGGGTATGTGCCGCAACATTGCGAATAAACTGACGTTGTTAGAAGCTCTTCGCGGCTTTCGGGGACATCGTTTGTCATATCTAGTTATTGATAAAAGTCACATGCCACCATTTCCTAATAACATGCTCTATCGGATCCATGTTGATTGGATGGAGGTGATTAATTCATCTGTGCAATTTCAACGAGAATACTTACAATGCACAATTAAATGCACGATCAACTAAAACAACGAGAGACTCTCACGAAGTACATTTTTCTTAAATTTTGTATTACGTTCTGTACCTGATAAAGACGCTGAGTCTGTAACTACATAGTGGAATTAAAATATAATAGCACAAGCGAGTTCGGTAGAAACAAAATCCTCGAAACAAGCCTCTCTTGCAGATGATGAAACCTGACCGAAAGAAATAAATAAGCCAAGACATCAGCCGATTTAGTGGGTCGAACGCAATGTTGAATAGCTATTAGGTAAAGTCGCAATGCCGATAATCTGACGAAGTTCAGGTAAATGGCTAATGTCGTGTTCAAACTGGTTGCTAACTCAGAACAGTTAGCACCAGAAAAAGCTGAGGAAATTCTTGCAGTACTAAATGCAAATAAGATAGTTATCTCTTACATATTTTCATGGCATGAGGAACAGCTAAGAAGGAATTAGACCGAAAGCTTATAAATTATGCAACGTGAGTTTACGAATAATTATTCACTACTCCACTCAACGATTTTTAAGGACAGCATTTGTGAAGTTGAAGGAGGACAGTCAGACCGGTCTAATTGAATGGCTGATCTGAAACACTTCGCATCATCCATCTTAGCCTTAGAAATGGGTCTTCCGTATCGGCTCTGTATTGTAGTGATATAAGGGACATGAGCTAGAGCAGTTCCGTGTGTTCCAATGAGACAACAGCTTTTTAGTTTAAGAATGAACTATCGGAATACAAGCGTTCGGAATACGTTGTTCATCAGGTCACACGGTCGAACTTTTTTTTTGTTATAAATATTACTATTTAAGGGCCGTAATGAATAAAGTCAATACAGCACCAGTCGGACGTTAATATATGATATAATGCACATAAATATGACGTCTAGACAAATCAGCAGGATACCTACAGTAAGTGCAAAGGTAGTGGCGTTGTATTTTGTGCATTTGTGATACCGTAGGTATGATGGATGGCCATAATAACGCGCAGTTCGTCTGAGAAAGTTCTCTTAATAAAAATATTTATGTCCCGATCTGAGGCGCACGTACTTCATTTGTCTCTATCCATTCAACAAGAGCCAGAAACGAACGAAGCAACTTTAGCTTCGCTAGTGAAGGCAAACAGGATCAAGCTACCACCCTGAACGCGGCAGTACTGTCATCTTTTGTTAGGTAAGTTGATTAGATAAGTGATTTAGTCTAGCCGCGTGGATGATAGAGCCCTTTCGCATACGCCAGGTACTAATTTGCATTTTGTCCCAGATAAGTCAATTAAGCAAAATCTGAGGCTGTACAATGAGTGTGTATATGTCAATATGTGCACAATGAGCACTAATTAATGAGTTAGGTCATTTCGATCATCAGCTAACAAAGAGATAATAGGAAACAAAGAAGCATAATAAGGGACTGAAACCTACTAGCATTGCGAACTCCGCAAAGGGCAGTGCGTAGGACTACGGCCCGACGGGAATCTATGTGGATTCCATTAAGAAAACTATACCAACCAAAGACGTCGTCGATGGGTGGTCAGCGATAATTATGGGAACGGGCCTGTAATAGAAGTTTACGCAGTTGTTCCCGAAGGAACATGGTGTTAGCGGCGTTGCTAGCTGTTCAGTCTTATGCTAGACGAGATGGAATACCGTGCTCGGCAAGCATAGGTCCGCGTCGGCATTTTAGATAGTTGTTTGGCTGGGCGACCGCTTTGTCTCTTCCTACATTAATCAATTTCGTGTCCTTTAGTGCCGCACTAGTTACATGTTAGAGGGCCATTGGGCGTCCTTCTGTTGCCTTTTAAAAACGCTCTATTTTTCTGGAAATGGTAAGTTTTCAATATGACATTACTCGTTTCTGGGTGCAGTATGGGCTCGACTAGCAAACGGGTAATCGTCTTCGTCTGAAGGATGCTGTGCTCAGTCGAGGTGGAGATACGTGCTCGAAGCGTTAAAAACAACTTCGCCGTTGTCTGTAGTACGATTTTCCCTGGCGCTTTTTACTCTGTTAAATCGTCTGAATCTCGAACTGGGCCTCTGTCGAAAGCTTTTCGCTAAGCTCTTTCAGTGTGTATCGAGCCCCCCGAACAATGAGTGAAGTTCGGTGGCTGGAGAGAAGCCAGTGGATTTGTTCTTTTTCGGCCGCAGATCTCAATAGTATGTGCGGATAATTTAGAAATGCGTTGACACGACGTGCCTATATTTCGGTATGCATTTCGGGGCAGCTTCAACGCTGCATACTAAGCTGCCTCGGCGTCAGCAAAACGCAATTTGAGCATATATAGCTATATAGCACGCTGACAGGCGCAAAGTAGTCTATTGCTAGATTTTGTACAGCTAGTTTAGTGGCGGCAAGCTTCGTTTAGTTATCGAAGTTGTTATGTTCGTCGGCACCTTCGAACTCTTGCAACCATTGCAAGGTATTAGTCCGTCTCGTATACTTGAGTAGGTCCTTGGAAAGCTGTACCATAAGGGACTATGGCTGGTTTGTCCTGGATGTAGTTGTCTTATCCATGATCTAACTGGAACATGCTGTGATTATTGTGTTAAACTTGGACGGTGAAGAGCGATGCGACAGCGGTTGCGGACTTACAAGTTTTTGTTTAGACGGCTTGAGGTTAAGAATTAAATCCCCCACCTCCATTAAGTGTAGCAAATAAACTATAAGATCTCTTACACCAAGAAGCTGGTAACCTTGAGTTAGTCCTTATCTAGCCTATTTATTGCAAATACGATTGATAATTATATATATCCAGTAATATTATGGTTAAAAAGTATGATTTTATCAATTTATATTCAGAGAATACTCAACCATATCTAAAAGATGAGGTCAATTTTGACCAGGCTAGGTTTCTTTAAACAGTTTAATGAGTGTTCGCAAAAAATTGATTTTTACACCAGGTTTCTATTAAGGGACGTTCGTATTTAATTAGCAATTAGCATATGTAAGCACTTACTCAACGACACTACTAATTCCATTCTTCACTCAGTTTTGTAGTCTGCTGGTCCTGAACTTTGTCATGAATGAGTAGTGAGCTTAAGGTCTTGTTATAAAATCTGAGAAAATCAATTTAAACACACCTTTACGAACGCAACTTTAGTCCGAATAATTAGAATTGTTGCGCGCCACAGCGTCCTTATGTAACCAGTGTATGAGATATATACATATACATATAATACACACAAAATCAACAGGGCGTTCTAAAACTCGGTAAGTTCCCGGCGTGCATTTTTTTTGATGAGACTATGGAGCGCCAATATTACAGATAACGTGAGAACTTATGAAAAGGTAACGTAGCAGACATTATTTTGAGAAAAACGTTACTGTGTTAGAAATACCCCTGTTTTGAATGCCTATTGCAATCAATGAAAAAAATCGTACTGAATCAAATGAAGAATTTAAATCACGAATAAGTATGCGGCTGTAAAATGAAATTACAGCATGGAGCAGCTAAATTTTGACTTTTTTTAATGAATTATTTTTATATATATAGTGAAACATATGTCTCAACTATTTTTGCGCATGTTCTAGAAATGTCATTCCTGATAGAAATATTTATTCAGCATAATTATCCTTCAACGCTACTACGTCTTCAATACAAAACCCAAACTACCCACTAGTCATTTTCAAAATATATTTACTTTTATCCGCAGATAACTTTCCCATAGCAACCGCATGTCAAGCGACACTGACGGACGTACACTCGTCAAAGTGTCGTTCAAATACGTTACATACAAACAGTTCGGGTGCGAGAAGATGCATAAAGTCTCAAAAAGGCTGACCTCTGAAGCTTATCTAAACGACTCAAATGGCAATTGATAATTTCCTCTTCAAATCGGCCGGTAAAGGATTTAGGCTTTATCAGCCGAAAGAAGATTAGCAACAATGTAAATTGTCTTTCGTGTAAAAAGAAAATATATAATCCCTGTGAAAATTTGTCACTCGTCGGTATTTTAGATGACAGTTGACACCTGTTCAAATTCCGAGAACTCTCGATTGTTTTTCGTCATAATTGCTTTCTATATAAAGATTAGCGAATGAACGCATACGATAAGCGCCCTGTTAAAGATTGTTCGAATTCGAATACATAACCCAGTATATCAAAGGTTCATGTTATCGCCGAATGAGTATTAGTATCTCTATTAACTTAAAAATCCACTGGCTCTGTTGGAAAGAATTATTTGTAATACGGAAAAAGCAAGACGAGTGTCGAGACTCTTAACTCTTCAGTAAACAACAAAACACAAAAATGAAGAAACATTGATGCTATTTTCCCTAGATTAATGGAATTATCCTCAACTTTCGTGTTCAAATCGTTACACATAGTAACATCTATAAATTCTTAATTAGGACAACTAAGGAATTTCCTATAGAAAACTCGTTTTGATTTTTTTTAATGTGCTGGTAAGCATCCGTTCCACTCTATCTTGGTTACAAATACTTATTATCTTAAAAGCATATGTCGCCCTTTTCCATCTTTCCTATAGGCACATATTCTTACTTTCAGATCAAGGCCTCATTTTTACACGGCCATATACTTCTCGAAGTAATATCAAACAAATAACTTTTTTATTTCAGACTTCAGCTTTGTGCCCTACCGTCTCATTGGTAAAAGATGCCTCCTTTATTAAGCTTTATCACTTTTTAGAGGGCTGATCTTACATTTTTTTTACAACACTTTTTCTACAACATTTTTTTTAAAACACCCTGTACACCCCATTTGATCGGTTGGAGTCAGAAACAGTTAACAGAATCCTAGGTATGTAGAAAAGCTTCGTTTCGGCAAGTAACTACCATGTACGCACTGAGGAGACAACCCTGACAGCTACTGGTAACTAGCTATTTTCGCGCTAAATGCAGATTCTTACTTCTGTTCAAAACAAATAGTTTTTGAGAAATACACAGAATACACTTTCGAGAAAAAACAAAAATCATAAACTCTCATTACCTTGAATAGTGTTTTTGGTATACCTTTTCATTTTTACCAATAAAGCGTGTCAAGTTCTTCGCTCCTTGCAGTTAAAGACGGAAACACCTCTGACTCATATAATTTTGAATACGATTGCTACGCTAGTATAGAATTTATGTAATATCTATCAGCCAAAGAAAGATGTAAGGGTATTATAATTTAAGTCTACCTCGCCCTTCAGCTCATCAGTTTGCTGCAGACTGCTTACAAATCTCTTAGTATTAAAGTTTCCTAAAATATTTTTTCAACGATTCCCTCTAAATAGATAATACCTGCGTAAGATAATAGTAGTTAAAAAAGTTACGCAGAGGGCGTAAAAAGTTATGGTGTAACGCTTACGTTGCTCCTCAAGGTGTGTACCAAGTCTGTAGAAGTTTTTCGAAGGTAAATTAATATTAGCATTGTATTAGAATAGTTATTATTATTTCATTGACTTATTTGACCCACATAATGAACGGCGCTGATACGGTGAATCAAACTACTATATTGTACACTTCTACAAGCTTTGGAGTTATCTCCATGGCAGATTTATAAGCGTACTAGGGTACAGCTGTTGGTTGTAGAAGTGAGAATAGAACTTTTTGTTTCTATATATATTTATATAGTGCAAGTGAGTTCCGCATCATTACTTTTCATTGTTAGTTATGAACAAAATTGCACCAGCATTTGAAGATGAGCAGTAGGATGATGCTTGTCAATAATGTTGTGATATGCTTCATATGTCCCATCTTATTCTATGTAACAAACATCGTAACAGTGAAATAAATTACATTTATCACCGTACTTATTTTCTTAGGTAGTTCAATACTTCGATCAGAAAAAATTCGCAGCGCGGTCTCGTCTGTTACCCTTTTTTGAAATAACAGTTAGACCACGATAGATAGCTTAACTGCTATAATGTTTTCTTGCTGACCTAGCGTGCCTACCAATAAACTCCAGGGCTTAATCTATGAAAAAATATTCATTCAATAATCCAAACGTTTACTCCCTTCTATGATGAAGTTGGTCTTCTATGATGCAAGAAAAGCTTTTACAATGTCATTTAGACTATCGTTAATGAAAGCAAAGTTTTAACATATAGGCCTCCATTCGAAGCTTGCCCTGTTAATTTCAACATTTCATGGAATTCGTTTTCATGTAAACAGTTTTTAAAATCAAGCAACGTTTGATAAAATACTTGATCCTCCATTTTAGTATCCTAGAAGATCGATGAACGTGACTTAAAGGACACTTTCTTTAAAAACGATTAACCTATATATGCAACTTAATAATAAAAATATATATAATTAATTGACATATATGCTAACTGGTATTCGGTATGAAAATGTTTATTTTGTTAGAATAGTGATAAAATATGCATAAACATAAAGAGTAGCGGTTCGGCAATTTTTCAATTAGATAGGTCTATCGACCAAGCTCATTGTCACCAGTACATCAATGCAAAGACAGAAGCGCATACTGTATCTATTGAGGTGATAGGTCTTCGCTCAACTCCCAGGGAATCAAGTCAGTTGTAACTACAATTTGTTTAAACATGTTTAGTTTGTTTAAACAAATATGATTCGTATTTACGCAACAGGCAACCTTAGCGTATCGAGTAACACAGATACAAACTTCTTACACCAACGTCATCTCTACAGTGGCATTCCGCTTGTGTTTCGTCACAAAAAGTTAGCAGAACACCTTGACAGCATTAGAACTCAATCTGAAACTTATTATGTAAAACTCTAAAGATACAGAAATCTCTACTTAATAGATAGTAGTAAAATTACTACTTAATAGACAGTGAAAAAAAAAAAGACTATAGTTTAAATAAATATTTTGAAAATAATCTTTTACAGGAATGTGTATCCTACGTACAGGCACTTCTCCATCTCCAGTTTAGCAGCAAACGCAACAGATGACTTGGCGCGGGATTTCTCAACCTTGCAAGAGTCGCACACATTCTTACCTACAGGCACTGCCACCACAGAGTGGCGAGAAGTAGCCTCCTGTTTCATTCAGCCGCATCGACACTAGAAAAACAATCATTCGTGGTGCCACTATGGAGGATACAGGACAGGGTATGTTACTTATGTTATTTTTCCTGTTAGATTTTCCTTTTTCTAACCATTCGTCAATCAGACATTATTTTCTGACTCTGCAGAGTATTAATCAATTAGGTGCCACAATATCGGAAGTGGCTTAGTTTCTATGATACTCCCAGCGTTATATATGATGAACATGTACTATGTAAGCTATAATGCGATGACCTGTGTCGTAATAATCGTGTAACTCTGTAATCTATTATTATTGATATTCTCCTTTGGTAACCTAATGATCAGCGTTAAGTTACAGTTAATCGTAGATTTTCGTTGTTGAAATAAGAATTTTTTCGGACATCACAAACACCACCTCTTGGCTAGAAGTTTTATCAGATTTGGCCTTCACTCATCGGTTATGTCTGTCTTCTCTAACCTCATTTGCGAGACATCCAATACAAGATTTGCATTTCCTTCCATATGTATCTATAAGTAAAAACCAAACAACTATCGAATCAAGATGTGTCCTTTACAACGACTTGTTTGGGAATCGAAGTAATATAGTTCTATCTATAAGTCAGTAGCGATGCATAGGCTACTGGGAAAATGGGGAGGGAGACTGGGCGTTCTATCGTACAATATACACTGAAAGAGTAAAACGGTTATTAGTTAACAGTGCCTGTTTCGTATTAGCTAAAATGCTGACTGAATGCATTCTAGCAGAGAAACAACTGTTTCAATAGACAAAGTGTGTTCCAGGGAAGCGCCATTTGGATTTTTCAATTTAGCTTTCGGCATGGACACAGTATGGAAGTGATTTTACTTAGTGTGAAAACAAATCGTACACTTGTGTAATAAACATATACTGCAGTTGTGTATAACTGTAATAACCACTAGTAACTAACTTTGTGATTAATCTCCGAGAAACTGGATAAGCTATTCAAATGATCTTATGAAGCAAATATTTGAACAAAGTTGGCTATGCGCCGTTTCCTCAACTATCGTGTTAGACATCTTTTGTATTATTTTCTTTATTATTGTACTAAGATTATTACTAAGACAAATTCCGTATTTTAACAGTTACGGCCTTAATTAAATCCTAGACCCAAACACGCGAATATGTTTATTATCCAAGGCGCACATCAATTTCTTAACAAAATTAGATCAAAGTGTGTTGAAAAGTGGCTCTGGGAGTCACTGTATCGGCACCAAATACTTCTAGACAATCACAGCCAGTAATTATGGTAGGTGCTCGGGTCTGCTGGAAATTATCAAGATGGCTTGTAGCCATCTATACATATGCGCTTAAACTTCTGTAAGCTGTCGCTAACTAATCAATATACTTTTAAACATATTCTTCATAATGTGCAGTTATTCACCAAACTCTGGAAAGTGTGACGACGCACGCAAATACAGCCTCTTTTATAGTTTCGATATTTATCACACACTCTATGACTACGGAGACGCAGAGATACGGTAATAGTCCTGTTAGTTGTTGAGTCAGTTACTGAGCTTTCGGTAGGATTACTGCTAAAAAAGCGTGTGAGTCCACAGTAGTTGAAGACTGGGAAGGTTGGCGAGTCCGGATCACATTTACCATAGGGGTTATTACTGTTGATGGCTATTCTAATAATGCGAACGAGCACCGCATATCCTGCCGTTTGTCGAATAGCTCGTTAAAGACTAATGCTTTCTGAATTATTTGACCAGCTATGTGAATATTGTGAAACTTACATTTGTGTGTGGAAATTCTAAACTACCTGACACTGGTCGTAACAACTCTCAGGAAGTTTCGTAAACTAGGAGTTCCTGGGCGGTTCAGAGACTGGATTAAAAGCTATTTGACTTATCGTAGTTTTTATGTCAAAATAGAGGATTCCTTTAGTTGAGAAAAAGCTTTTTGGGCATGCTCTATGGATTTTCCGGTTGGGGCTCATCATAAGTTTTATGTTGATGATTTGAAACTATATGGTCTGTTTAGTGATGATGCTGGTCGTTCGTTATTTGGACAGGTGGTGGATGTTGTGTCTATGTAATGTATCGCTAGTTGCATGATCATTTTTGTCCAAAAGTATAGGGCTTTATGCTCTCACAAACAGTCGAATGAATACTATTCAAATAATGCCATCATTGCTTTAGTCAGTCTAACGAAAGACCCAGGATTTACGCAATTACGTAAAAACTCGTCTTCGATCCTTACATGAACTAGATTATTAGACTAGGATAATCAGCAAATCAATGCAGTCTATGGACACAAAGATCATGCTGTAATGGGGAATAGTATTTCACTGCAAAACCTGTTCATTATTTTAAGTAATGGCCTCCCATTTTTAGCCAGGATACATGCTTTTAGAAGCGATAATACACCAATTATTGAGTTGAGTGACGACGAAGGCGACAATTTGATTCAAAACATACCTATTAAGATACAGGTCTGGATCGTCATGATTCACATTAGCTGTCTTGTTAAGCTTTTCTATTTACTCGCGAAGCTCAAAAATTGCACATAAGTTAAACCTTATCTCCCTCGAAATTTCAAAATATCCGTACAAAAACGAAGCTGAAAATGATAAGCAATTTTTGCCAAAAAAATAGCACGTCATTATTGTAAGTGAAAGGATATAGAAAATAAACATTTCTAGCTAAGAATTTTCGAATCTCTCCAAAGGGCAGAAATACCCTTGCCGCTGTATCTAATTATTTTTTTACATTCAACATGCAAATGAAGAACAGCACATTCTTTATTTCAACAGCCCAGTTGCTTGAAAAAGAATGCCCGTACTCTTGACGAGTAATTTATTCTATTGATAGCTATAAACAGGCTGCCAGACAATCGTTTTTCATTGTCGAACAGTTTAAAGTTACAGAACTTGTCAGTAGAAATATTGTAAAACACATATTTAAAGTACGGACAAATACGTTATGATATTAGCTTTTGCGGTTATCAAATGCGACTTAAATAAATATTAGACCCACTCGACATACAGGACATTTAGCCACATATATATATATATATATACACTAATCTGAGAACTAAGTTTTTTAAATTCAACGTTAGCTATCAGTTGGCTTTTATTTTTTTCAACCTTTGTCGCATTTCATAGCCTACTCAGATCTGCACATCTGTTGTCTTTCTGTCAGCGACAACCACACCGCACAGGACCAATGTCTCATACTCACTGCCAGGAAAACGTATAAGCAAGGTATAAATTGCTCTCAGAATCAAAGGGCTAAATTAGGTCTACACAATGAAAACAAGAACTCCAACATTAAATCGCTTTCGAATGCTTTTAATGGAAAACCACTGATGTTATACTGCAGATACCTAGTGAGTGATGTCCTTAAGCAGACTGATATTGTTTTCTATTATTGAAAAGTCGGCTTTATAATGAACACATTTTTTGCAGAAAATTTTTTCTTGTCTCTTCTATTAAGGAAAGCGTTGGTTTGAATAGTGAGGGAGGTCCATGTCTTTATTTGCTTCCGTAAAATTCGCCTTCAGGTCCGTTACGTAAATTGAATTGCTATCGCTTTTAAATAATGTCAGCAACCCTTTCGGCAGGCCACGACAGATAGGTTATTTGTGCACGCGTTGTTTATTCCGTAGTCGTATAGCACATGACTGCTAAACTGTTCATATATTTTTTGTGTCCTCAAAGGTACTCGTCTCATGAAAGAATCTAACTTTCGTATGGGAACGATGATTGACCCTTCGAATTAGAAACCATAAACAGCGCTTTCTCTCCTAAACAAAATTATGAAAAAGGTTTTAGTATGGAAAATGACAAAATTCATGGAAAGTGGCCAACTGCTCTCAAGAAGACAATTTAGAATTTTGAAAAGGAGGGTGCAAGAGCTATCTTTTTATAGCTAACAGAAGCGATTCGCTTCTAATTGATTATTGTACGAGGCTTCCAGTGCGATGTGCGTCCGGCAATGCCAGGGTGGATCACTTTTATGGGAGCTGAAACGACTGAGATTTACATATTCTATTTTCAGTTCGACGAATCAAATAGCGATAAATAAAAAAATTGGGTCTCTAGACCTGGGTCTTGAGCCTCGGTCCACACACACTTGATCATTTAGTGATCCATAGATAGGACATTGTTCAGCCTGCTTTTATTCTAACCACTACAATACTACTTAGTTACCTTAGGTATCGCTATTTACTCACTTTATGCAATAGATAGGGTCGGGTACTGGCTGATGTTGACACCATAGATAAACCACTTTTTCGCAGTCCTTAGAAGCACTTTATTGATATTTAATCTTCAGTTCAATCAAAATTATTATGGAATTAAGTTAGCCCTAATGTCTAATAATGTAAATGGTGTCATATGAAAAGTAGGGGACATCTCTACCTAGCTTAACTGTATATAAAACAATTTCTGCACTAGATGCTATACAACTAACTTGGGTGGAAAAATCTTAATGCTGAATTTTTAGATTTCCTTTCTAATTTAGATCATCATTATTTTTATTGGCAATATTATTGATTTCATTAAGTAATATTGCCTTTTTGGGCGGCTTTTTACATCTACCGATATAAATTAATGTACAAAGGTATGATAAATACACTGGACTTTATAATCAGTCAATTCATCGAATCACTCTTCATCTATAATTTATGTTACAGAAATCTGTCGGGTGTGTCGCACGGAAGCAGCAGCCGATCGGCCTTTATATCATCCTTGTATCTGCACAGGCTCCATCAAATTCATTCACCAGGAGTGTCTTGTACAATGGCTTCGGTACTCGAAGAAGGACTACTGCGAGCTCTGCAATCACCATTTCTCATTTATGCCAATCTATTCCGCAGATATGCCAAAGCGGCTGCCAACGCGAGACATTGTTCACGGTCTTCTCGCTTCAGTCGGAGCCGCGCTAAAATGTTGGCTTCATTATACACTGGTTCGTACGATTTAGCAAATGCAGTTTGGTGTTCTGCCAATGTCTGCTAACCATGGAGTACCGTTAAGGTCTCCCAGGCAGTGATAAGATCCAAAAGATGCTTATTAGCAATATGACCTAGTAAATCTCTCAACAAACGTTTTGCAGGCTTTGAATAAATCAATAAAAGGATTCACATAATATACTGAAGAAGCTAGGTCGATAGAGCAATAATAATAGCCTAAAGCAATAATCTCAAACCACGGTCTTAGCTTTCGCATGATCACCTATCAGAAAGCAAGTAATACATTTGTGGAACGCATAGTAGTTGTGATCTCTCTTGTTTTCTATTTGCCTTCATATGATTCCTTTCGATCATCTGATTCGATAGGTATGGATTGCATGGCTGCTGATCGTGCCGTTGATAGCGGCTCGCATTTACAAATGTCTCTTCGCTATGTCGTTTTCATCCCTTCTGTCGTTACCACTCGACATTATGTCGACCGAGAACGTAATGCATGATGGAATGTGCGGTTTCGTCATCGTCATATCGACGCTGTGCTTCTTTATAGCCATTGTGTGGCTGCGCGAACAGATCGTTCATGGCGGAGCCCCGGAATGGCTTGAGCCTCCGTTACCACCCCGAAGAAACCCTGAAAATGGGGGCGGAGGTGGGGAAGCTAGGGAACCTCAGGATTTCTACCTGTACACAGATGAAGAAGAGGCAGGAGAGGAAGACGACGACGATGGTAATGAAGATCAACGAATGATTGAGGAGAATGGCAACGATATCGCGGCGGTACAGATGGCCGCTGAGCAGCGAGCCAACCGTAACGAGATTGGCAATGGCGAACCCCACGTCGGTGGCCCTCAACGCCGAAGAAGGGCGGTATGTTTACTTTCAACTAATGAGATACTCCGAGTCTACGACTTTTAGCATTAATGTAGACAATTTTTGTTAACGCATATGATGATGATATATCACCCAAAATAAAATGTAATCCTGTTCGGTTTTGCAAAGCAATTCTGTGGCGAATTAATAGTTGATTGCATAATTGATCATGTGATGCGATCTACATGATGGTTCTAGCGGCGTGCTGCTGCCGACTTCGCTGTAGAACACGCGGCTGGTGGACCAGCTGACAACGCCGCGGCGGCTGATGCTGCGGTTGAACGAGCTGCGGCCCCCGGTAATGCTGGTCAAATACGAGGAGTCGGAGCGGGCGCTGACGACGTGCTTGAAAACAACAGAGGCGTTATGGGGGTGGCCGCCGTGGCAATAAGGGAGGGTGCAGCTGAAGGCGCTGCAGCCGGTCGTGGTGGGGAGAATTGGCGTGGACTCGATTTGCATGCCGTTGCCAGACAAGCCGGACTGGTCAATAATCCTGACGACGACGATCAGGTAATAGTCGTCTGGTCGTTCTTCATATAACAGGTAGATCCATTGTTACTGTGTAAAGTGGTATCCATCGTTTTCTCCACATTGTTACTTACATCCGTTATTGATACTCTGATGCTTGCATTTAAAGGTCTTATCTCGAAGTTGATAGTAAGCCCACGGTTCTAGTCTGGACATCGGTTTAGGGATGCCGAGGCTTTTTTCGTCTATATTGCAATACAGAATATCTGCATACAGAATCTGAATACAGAATATACAGCCTATCGCAAAGAGAAGTAACCTACAGTGCGTGCTCTCCATACGATTACGAGCATAGTAAATTATGAAGGGTGACTGAATGCATATTTCTAGAAATCACAACTTTCTAATAAGAATTGTGTTAGTGAATACTTTCTATTTTTCTAATATTTCAGGGCCAATGGAACGCTGAATGGGAGCGTGGAGGCGAAGATATTACATGGCAGCGGCTTCTTGGCTTGGATGGGTCTCTCGTATTCCTAGAGCATATGTTTTGGGTTTTGTCGCTTAATACTTTGTTCATGTTTCTTTTTGCTCTAGTTCCTTTTTACTTTGGCGAGTGGCTTGCCGCTCTTATAGGCATCACACAGCACATTGAAGAATTCGAGTTCCGAGGACCTCTAGTTACTTTTATCGGGTGAATGTCTTTAGTTATCCAATTGCGTACTGAATTTATCTTCACCATATTCTTTGTTTTCATATTCTTGGGTACATGAGACCATCATAGTTCAGATTAGATAGCCAATTCGCTATGAAGATAAGTTTTGAATATACTGTATTTTGATCGTGCATATATTTCTATACAAACGCTACATCTCCTTATAGACGTTTAAAAAACGCCTTTATTGACATATTATGTTTTGCAAATTTTAGCTACATTGTTACAGCTTTTATCCTGATGACTTTGTACACTCTGTGCCAAGGAGTCCGTTTTCGCAGGGCACGTCGAATTGTTGGGCTGTGTTATCTTATCATTAAGGTACCTACATATGTAATTAAGCTATTTAATACTTTTGTAAACTAAACATGGATATGAGACAGCAGAGTATTGCAGTTTGAAACGTAGCTTACTACTGACTAAAATATTTCCAATTTTGAGTTTTTTAGTATTTTGAAAAAATGCAATATTGTTTGCCAAACATTTTTGAAAATATCTGTAGCAGAAAAAAATATATGCATTGATTTGTATGTTATACTGGTGTGAGCCATACATATAAAAGGTTCGGAGACATTAATAAAGTAAGACGATTTACGTGCTATTTAGTTCTATGTTAGTATACCAGGTAGATGAGGCGTTGTATTTAAGTTTTTGATTCAAATGTTAAAATCCAACTTGTTATACCTTAGTTAATTGTATGAGTGCAATAGTAATACTAAATCCTTAACATTATGACATTTTATGATTATTGTTTCCTCTAGGTGTCGTTGTTGGCAATAGCAGAAATTGGCCTGTTCCCAATGATGTGCGGAGCCTGGCTAAACATTTGCTCGATGGAACTGTTCGGAAACTCGCTTCCGTTGCTTCATGCTCACCTAAAGGCTGCGCCGGCGACGAACGCATTCCTTCATTGGTTAATCGGGATGATCTTTATTTACTACTTTGCGTTCTTCGTACTTCTTTTACGGGAGGTCCTGCGTCCGGGTGTCCTTTGGTTCTTACAAAATATCAACGATCCTGATTTTCATCCAATTCAGGTAATAAAAAAGATAAAACTAAGAAAATACTGCTGAATGTTGCCTGTTTCAAGACCTTTTTTCGAAAACTGCAACTCAACCATTGGACCACAAAGCTTAAACATCTAGGTCTTATTGTTGCTTATACATCCCTTAGTTTTACCCCAGGTTTTTTGCTCGTGATATCTATTATTTTGCAGGAAATGATCCAAATGTCAGTCATGCTTCACGTGCGGCGGTTCGTGGCTTCTTTGGTAATCTTTGGTTCTGCTATTCTCCTCATGGTTTGGTTGCCTTTGAGGATAATGAAGAGGCTCACGCCATCGTTGATACCCTACAATGTGTCAATGCAAACAGCCGATATGCCGACAACCGAGATATCCATGGAGCTCATGATACTACAGGTAACGCCGAAATGCTTGCAAAATTCGAACTTTTCACCGTTCGCCAGATGATTCTCTCTCATTGCGAAACAAACGTGGAGAAGCGATATGAAATAGGTTCAATAGATTTTCACGTTCTAGAAGTATGTAACTTTTTTCCTCTGTCTGATTGGTGCAGGTTGTCCTCCCGGCCCTTCTGGAGCAGGGTCATACGAAGCAGTTCGTCAAATGGTGCGTCAAGCTTTGGTGTCGTGGCGTGTCTTCGATACTTGGCATTAGAAGCTATTTGCTTGGGGAACCGAATGGCAACGGCGAAAGACGCGATGGTGGAGGAGACGCAGGAGTCGCTCAGGAGAATGAACGGGAAGAAAACGTCCAGCAACAGCCAAGGGAACTGGCGGCGGTGCACCAGGCGCTCGTCAATGCGCATGTGCCTTCGCCGAACGTGCCCTACGTGCGCAGTTCATATTTTCCTCTCAGGGTATAAAATAGCTTAATAATAAAAACTTCATATAAAATAAAAATATATCATGACTTATATCAAAATTAATCGATATATATATATATATATATATGAACGTAAATTATTAAAAGAAGCTCCTGAAAGAATCAAGTGGAGCCGGTCATCATTATTATAATTACCATGAACAAGCCATGCTAACGTTCCTTCTGTAATTTACACGATTGCTACTATATAAAATATTAATATCTTAATTGTGATTAAATTTCAGATTGCCGGATTACTTTTTTGCATTTGTGTAACGTTGACACTTGTCAGCGTAACAGTTCTGGTGGCTCCCGTATCTGTCGGCCGATGGGTGATGTCCATCGCCATACCGAATACGCGTTTACATGAATTCTACACGGTGGGCGCAGGGCTGTATGTCTGTTGGTTAGCAATTCGCGGTGTATCGTTGGCACGAAGTTGGCTTCCCAGAGGGTGGTCTTCAATATATCAGTCGCTGTTAAGCTCGGCTCTCGTTGGGCTCAAAGCCCTTACCGTAGCCATGCTGCTTCTTGGACTCGTGCCACTACTTATCGGTAAGACCAAGCGGTTGTGACAAGGCACCCGTTAGTAATTTTGTTTTTACAGTTATTCTGCAAGATTATCTCTATTATTCACACTTTCCGAATTTACTGGCTAAACTCAAGCTTAATAATCAGTACACCCTATATTGTGTCTTGATGCTGCAGGAATCCATTTCGACCTCATCATCGTCATCCCACTTCGAGTTCCTGTAGACGCCAGCCCAGTTATGTATCTTTTCCATGACTGGGCGCTAGGTGTGCTCCACACAAAAATCATCGGAGCACTCACTCTCATGGGCCCTAACTGGTGGCTTAAGGCTGCGCTTGATCAGGTGCATTTCTTATACGACTAACGGAGTTATTTTATAATTTAAACGCTAGCCAAATTAACTGAATGATTCGACTCTCTAAAGTCACCAGTAACAACTCAAATGATCTTCACCCAGAGACTTATTCTAATGAACATTTCGATAATAATAGTACGAGAGACAAAGCTTGACAACTGTTCCAATACACGGTCATGTTTATTGTGTTTTCATTCATATACGGTTTTGAGTAGTATTAGGACGCTGAACTTCAAAATAGATCAATTTAAATCAACCACGTTCTTATGGTCGTACTTGTCGGTTGTCATCTGATTCTTAGGTGTATCAAGACGGCGTGCGGAATATGAATCTTACACGAATTGTCCGAGATATTGTTCTTCCGTGTGTTGCTATCCTTGGCCTGTCGCTTAGCCTTCCATACATCTTTGTGTACTCAGTGCTCGCGCGATTCGTCTCTGACGCCACTCTGCACCTGTCTGTGAGGAGAATCTATCCAGCGTTACTATTTGGCAGCCTGCTTGCGTGGTATGCTATGTTCCAATGGCGCCAGTTTCGCAGGTTGTATGAGCATATCAAAAACGACAAGTACCTAGTTGGTCGAAGGCTGGTTAACTATGAGCGACAGCAGCAACAACAGCAGCAGCAGCAACAACAACAACAACAATAGCAGCAGCATGCAACGTAAAATGTTTTAGTTAATAATAATTACAAAAAAAAAAAAAGAAACAAAAAAGGGAATGCAAAAGAGAGTGAAGCTGCAATTATGATTGATATTAAAAATCGGAAGTAGCAGGAACTAAAAAGATAGATTATGTAAATGTATGGCAAACCAAGCTGGCAATAGGGGAGGAACGCTCAGCAAGAAAAAAGAACTCTCGTGCAGTAGGGCAACTAGAAGAGAGATCTCAGCTTCTAAGAGGAAAGTAAAGAAAGAGAGAGGCAAGTAAAAATTGAGACAAAGATAGATCCTATGTGACAATTGGGTTGCTGCCATGGTGATTGCGTCTGGTCAAAGATACATGCATACAAATTCGTATAGGCACGAACTGCAACGAACGGAAAGACGACGGTAACGACGACAATGGTAAACTCAACGAGTTAACGGTCATTGGAAGCTGTTAGCGGCTACTGTACGCGTCATTGAGGGTCACCAGTTGGTGCCTGATGGGCCTAATAAAAGGAAGAGGGGCCAGGGAGAAGAAAGTAACGTGGGGCAAGCGAGTCTCATACGCAGGACCTAATGGACAATGTTCTAGAGATGGTTTTTAGGTAGATATATACATATAGGGTAGCAATAGTTATTAAGCGTAAAGTGATGGACAGAAAAGGGCAACGACAGGATATGGAGTTTCTGTTGATAGTATACTTATCGTATTGTATATGTATAGGAGGTGTCATTAAGGGACACGTTAGAGACTTTCACAACATAACGGGGGAAAGCGAGGGGGAGAAGCAACATAAGAATTAACAGTGGCATAATGAAAGTCCGGTAAGATTCTTCATAATGGATATCTACATGATGGTACGATAGTGTTAGATAAGTTTTTTTGGAAACTACTCTTGCTTGATACTGCATGTGACATACGGCAAAAATAATTTACAGAAGCCGAATTATCAATACCCGTGGAGAAGTATTGACAGTGATGGTTATGGCGGTGGATGGGTAGGTAATTCGTATGATGATGATAATATTGGAAATGATATCGGTAAATGACGATGTATCCTTTTGTCTTATTTACTGAACGAAGGTGAGGTTACAGTGATGCACCGAAATATACTAGCGGTCCTCTACCCGGTCGTATCTTTGGGGAAAATGTGCAAAACGAATAGACGACAAGTCGAAAGCCCCAATGTACGAATAGAGGGATGGGGCGGCGAGTGTGATAAACAACAAAAATATCATAGAAAAAAATCTACGACCTTAGCAAAATATGAACGGCGTTCATGTAGAAAATATAAACAAGATACAATAAAATGGAAAAAACAGATGACCAGAATGGCCTAATGTGTGACAGAAGTCAATTGAATCCCCCTATTGGGGTGATGTCAACAGGTAAGCGCCATTGAGAAGTTGTAATAAATCTGCATGAAGCGGCACGAAAAGTGTAAACAAAGCAAAATTAGGTGAGTCAAGATGTTCGATAAGCATCTGATCTTCGATTTCACATATGGTCTGTGTCGTTGATGATTCCGCCATTAATGAAGTGTGTACGGATCAAACCTAAGCACATTCTTTCTGTCCACTTCTTTCTATAGCAAACATGATGGCTGCAGTAAAACGATTTGTTGTAAACATTATTTGTCTATATTCTGGCGTGAAGTACGATATAAAATATATATCCATTTTCCATCGTGATGTTATCTATACCTGTTAATTACTCCGGTTCGAACTGTCTGTTTATTTAATTTTATTAATAAATATACTTGCTCTTTTTGTAGGGTCCGGATTAGGGAACGTAAGCAATTTATATTATACTCAGCGTATTTCTTCGAGAGTAGCTTTACTTATACAAGAATTCATCATAGTAAATAACTGACAAAAACATTCAGCATTGAGAGGAAAATGCATAAGACGCATCTCCTGTAAATCTCTCTTGTGAAAATTGTAAATCTATTATTCACTTATATGCCTTTATAGAAAAAGAAAGTGTTATTTAGAAAGAATCAACCAGTCAACCAAAAAAAGGAACAAATCAAATAACCAAACAAGATTTTTTTGTTGAATAGAGGGACGTTATTCGTTTTTCCCTGTTCTCTTATGTAAATCTTTCTGGCTTACGGAAGAAAAAGTTATAATTATTGAATTAAATCAAAGATCTAATTATTATATATAGATAAGCCTGCGTGTTACGCATGGTCATGTGACAATGGCTCGTTAGCTGAATTTCTCTGAATCCCTGAAGGTAATGTTCTGTTGCGTTATCCTTACATAACCTCGATTTCAGCCACTAAAGCGGCAATAAAAAACGGAAGAGAATATCATGTTGTCATGGTGGATTTCTACAACCTTAGCTACCATAATAGCAGTTGTGATTATGGTCCTGAGAAACCGACAAGCATTACGAAAAGAGAAAGGGGAAAGTAGATCTTTGGCCATAGGGCCTTCTAGTCCATGTTGATTTTGGTAGTTGATTTTTTTAATGGCGTCAAAACAATACATGTAGCAAGTCAACCAAATAAGGTTGCGGTCGTGTGGCGATAAAAGGGGTGGCACGAAAGTGCAATAATAACGATGGGACTCTTTAACGGCATGCTAACGCTTAAGATGAAAAAAATAACGATATGGAAAGGTGGATTTCAACAAACGTGAAGAAATATTCGTACCATCGGTTCCGAATAAACTGTACATAAATATAATAATAGTTGTCCATAGTATTGATGTGTTCATTTTTCTCAACGGTCAGTAACAATTTGCATTTTCTAATGTATTAAATCCTTTAGTATAACAAATGACATAGTGATCTCAAATTTTTTAAACTTTTATTTGTAATAGAAGTATGCGCCTCATTATTTCTCATGACGTTTTGTCATTTAAATGATAACTTAGTTATTCTGCTGCTGTATCAAAATCCAAGGTAAATCCAAGAATTGCAAATCCAAGGTACGAGAGTCTATGACGTCTTAAAAGGTAACTTCAACATTATATTGAGATATGAATACTTTTTTTAATAACAATTGTCGAGATTAAAAAAAGTCCAGCGAGTATTCTGGCCATCGTAAATCTTGCAATAAGCTGAGCGTTATCGTGCAATAGAGGTGTTTTACTTCTAATTACTATTGTTGGCTGCTTTATGCCGAATTTTTCCTACCATCTCCTCCAATTTTGAACAGTACTCCAGCCGTAGTCTACAAACCAGAAATCCTGAGGCTGTAGCGAATAATATCTAAGTTAAACCAGCGAACACTAATTAGTACTGAGTTGACCCAAACTTATATTAGTGTATTCGTCTTCCATTAACATCTACTAAAAATTATATGATATTCTAATGCTTCCTAATTCGAGCGTGTGTTGATAACAACTAATTATATTTGGTGGAACAAACAGCACGAAGAACTAACAAAATTAACGACTCGAACAACAATATCTGCTAAACAAAGTGACAGTAAAGCTGTATTAGCTGCACAAAAAGACTACGTAAGAACTGTCAGTTGTGAAGACTGCAGGTGTGCGTAGCGTTGTCCATAAATATTTTGAACCGAGTTAAAACAGCAGATATCTTTAATTTCATCTTTGTATGATGCTTTATTATATTTCTTTAATAAATCAAGTTTTGAATGCATACGGTTCGTCTTACCACTGCTTATTTAAAAATAATTTGCTTGGATACAGCTGCAAAAACAGCGTACCAGTTAACTTAAAAATAGTGTTTATTCAAGTTAATATATATACAAAATAATATATATATATATATATATATATTTGAGTCGAGGTAATTACAAATACCTATATAAAAAAGAACTACTCAAATTTTCAGTGGCTTGAAAATGGTTCCAAGTGTGAAGGCAACTAGCAGACTCCCAAACGATGGAAACGGACACCCTATTAATTTAATTACTCGTATTGCACCTTTCAACAGTCTACGGCCTTATCCATAAATGCCAAGGCGATAACTCCTTTTGAATGACTATAGTCCCGAACAGCCTCTCCGGTTGGAAGATTCCACAGTCTTACGATATTGTCTGATGAAGCCGTAAAGAGGTTCTGGGAATCCATCGTAAAAGCAACATCCCAGACCCATCGCTGTCCCTCGAACGACAACACCTGAGATGACATTAGAAAACACAGAGATACAATTGTTGTATAGATATACGTTTTCATTAAAAAAATACTTATTGAAGTCACGAAAAACACTTCTAGCAGTGAATAGGATTTATTTGAATTTGATTTATTAATATTTTTACGTACGAGGCGCAACATCAAAAAGCTCCATGCCATCTGGGCTGTATGTGGAGCTCAGCCCGGACAGTTAAACTTCGTTCGGCCGAGGCAACTAGCCACAACTGCTCAATACATTTCTTCTTGGTCTAAAGTCATTCAGCCTATACTAGCTTAAGATCGGCACAGCGTGATTTATAGCACAGCTGCATAGCCTATATAAGAAGACAGCGCAGGTGATGAACGAGACCGTGCGTCTATTAGACAGGATATAGGAAATTGTTAATAAAGAATATAGGTCGATTCATAGAAATTGTATTGAGATGTACCATGCGGCGATATGTAAAAGCTTTCATTTATGCCTTATGTAAAGAAACTGAGCAAGAACAATTAGTCAATCAAAAGATGCCTCCTAGAAGTGCGCATAAAAATATTCATATATATCACAGGAGGTGCTACTTTTAGTAAGGCTCCATTGCGTATGGGTATTCGTTTACCTGGGTAGGTTTGACATCAACCTCTTTGATCTCCATCTCGTCGTGATAATTCGTAAGTTCTTTTTCTAGGAGTTCCTCCAGCTCCAACACACTCCAAAGCTGCAGAGAGAAATGTAGAAGAAATAAGCATCATATTTTACAGAAAATTTATCTAACCATACTGGCCAGATTAGTCCAAAAACAAAGTTATCTGGATATGTGATCATACGTGTTTAATCACTGGTTGTTCATATTCGATTATATATTTAAGTGTGAATACACACTTACGTAAAATATGACAAGTATATTATATAAATCGATCGGTTTAACAACTGCAAGGATGAAATCATTAAAAATTATCAATTGATATTATCGAGGTTTTAGTCGAACTATATACCGTAGTTCAACTATTCGTCGATATTTTTTTGCCCGTGCGACCCCCTTCAGTTATTAATTACATATACCGGTAGTGGCACTGCAGTTTGTCGTTAAGTACATTTGCGCTTTAGTACAAACTACCTAGCTGAATGCCTTTATACTAGTAGAAATCTAGAACAAACTAAAAGAAATTCTAAATATGTACTAATATGATACTAGCGAAATTCGTAATTTCCCTAAAGCCATTTTTGTACGTACATATTTTACGGGTTTAAAATGTGCATATCCTTTCATTATAAAAACTGTCATTATTTCATCATAATTGTAAAGTAGCATATGTTGACGGCGGACATAAACCAGTAACATTCAAACTGGAACATTGAATACAAATTTGAAAAATCCGTAAAAGCCCTTTTTTAGGCAAATACGTAAATATACTTGAATATATAGAAGACATAATGATTTTTCGAAACTGCAATTACCTTAGCGGTTTTGTCAGCGGAACCAGTCACGATCGTGAGTCCATCAGGACTGAATTTACACTTTAAGGCATACCTTGAGTGTGCGGTAAATTTAAGGGCAGCTGGGCATTCATTAAAGAAGGGCGATTTCTCCACCATAGGCTCGTCCAGCCGAAGAAAATATAAGTGACCCTATTCAATTCACCACAACACGTATATAAAGATATGTCTACAAATAAGATTTATTATTAGAGGAGATCATTTTATTTCGTGTAAGAAAAAAGTGTTATGTCCAAGCACCATACTTTTATTTATATAAATAAATAATTGGCACTTGTGATATTTGTAAGTATATTTTTGTGTTTAGCTATAGTTGCAATACGTTTTAAAATAGGTTGTCCCTACAGCACTCTAATTGGTTGGACTAGTTAATCTTTCATTATATCTATGCGCTGAGCACATGATTCAGCTATATTCATAGATTTCTAATCGTCTGCTCCATTGCGACATACCTTAGTATCAACGGCAACAGCATTTTTAGCATGAGAATCAATGTCTATGCTCTGAATGGAACATTCCCTAGCTAAAAGAAGGGACTCATTGAAGTTGTTGCGAAGATCCCACATGTAGATTGAGCCCTGCTGATCCGACAGGAAAAGACACGTCTGATTTGGATGAAGTACACCAGCGTTAAGAGGCGCCTGAAATATATATTAGTCAGAAAGATAGTCAAAAGGTTTAATTAAAGAAGTTGGTTTAGTATAATTGTTATAATAATAGTCGTAAGGGAACTACGGATTTTAAAGGAACTACTGACAGAAAGCATTACCACACGCTGTACCAATTCGGTCCACTAGGTACCTATCATTGATTGCACTCGAATCGTGATAATGGCAATATTATTGCCTTTTATTTTAATGCTTGTAGAGGTAAGTATGACAAAACATGTTTTATTTTCTAGAATATTTTGAACAGGATATCTAAATTATCCGTATTAAAAAGAAAGAACATAATATTTGGTGAAAGATGTCTACCGGTTATTATTGATTATATAAATTGATACGCTCGTTAATAGTCAAGGAACATTATTACCTTGGTTTCAAACATCCTCTGGCACTGACTGCCTCCACGAGAGTCTCTTGCGTCCCAGATCCGCGCACACCCATCTTCGCCTGTTGTGAACATAAAACTGAACGCCTCGTGTGATCCTACGGATGTAACATTTTTCGTGATGCCTTCAAACGTTACCGTTGGATTGCTGTTCTGTGAGGCGATATCGTACAGCCGTACTAACTGATAACCTCCGGCGACAAAATAAGATCTGCATAATCATAATCAGCCGCGTAAAAGTAAGTGAACAAAAAAAAGGCTCTTAGATTTAATAAACTCTAGCCGGTATCTTCATAAGTAATTTACAAAGAAGTATCCTATAAGAAAAATTAAATCCAGTCACGAACAAAGACCCGGAATTAATTCGCGGAACATACTTACCTGTCAGGGGTAATATGAAGACAATTGACTTGTGACTCGCCGTGAGACAGTGATCTCAGGCAACAGTTAGCGTTGTATGCACTCCAGACCTGACATAGGAAACAAGGTTACAAGTCGAACGTTACACTCCGGTGGGCACACATACCGAAAATTCCCTATAATTTGCAGTCGTAAGATTATATAATTTCGTTCTTCAAATATATTCCTATATTATATTATTCTGAGTAACTTACGAACGAAATGGATAAATTTCTATAAAAACGTCCGCGTAATCATAGATAATTGTAAAGCTATGAATGTATTAGGGCAAAGATTATTCTCATCTATGTATTCCTAAAGCTATATATATTGGGAACGAAAAAGAACAAAGAATTTTTTTGCGAAGTGAAGCCATAAAAAACTAATGAGCAGATTCCTTTGGTAATGCGCCTCTCAATTTTTCTGAGTACTACCTTGAAGCTACTATATACCATACCTTAATGACGTTGTCATATCCGCCTGAGCACAGAAGGACACCTTCATCTAAGTTGTTGGTCATGCTCCCAAAAAAACCGCCTCCTCCTCCAACACTAGCTGCCATTTAATTTAGCGCTCTCGTAACGTTTGACAAACGTACACCTCCCCCAACAAGAAACTACGTCGCCTGCAATTAATCTTAATAGAGAGAAATTTACTTTGGAAGCGTAACTAAATTAAAACATTTCTTTTGGTGCGAACGGTGACTTTAATTGTTTTGACCTTTTTCCACTTTGACCACTCAACTACTAAACCATAGAAGTATGCGCAAATGCCATTCGCAGCTAGCTGAGCTTTGAATAATATACATATGTCTTCGAATAGGTCATTTCTAATAAGCTTGGTGGTTTACAAGTAATCAGTGATTATATGGAGTGCATTTCATAAAGATGTTTCCAGCCGGTGAGTTTCTTTTTACATAGTAAAGGATACTATTCAGGACACCCCTAAATTTTATGTTTTACGTAGTCATACAGTGTGTTCGGATACATATTTTCACTTTTAATACATGCTTGTTTGAATAGTAGTCTTTATCTAAAATATAAGCTTTTTTTTTTATGACAAACGAGCAAGCTATCTTCCTGTCGAAAAACAATGTACATATCATTGCTTTTATATTATATATATGTTAATATTATGCATATTATTATATATATGATTAAATTCACCTTCTATTTACGGCTGTTAAAAATAAAGATAGTTTGCATTGCATCTCTTGGAACTAACCGGGACAGCATATTCTAATAAACTTTTCACATACCTGTTCTTTCTTTACCAAACCACATGTACTGCTACTGTGATTTATACCTTTTGTTTGTGAAAATACTTTGCACCCAGATTATTTTTAGAGGACATTGATTTCTTTATTTCTTTCATATTTTTCGCTCACCGATGCTCCGTCAGTAATGTTTTCATGTGATCTTAATCTTCAGAGGTACACATTAAATGCTCGGATGACAAATTTCGCAGAGCTCCAAACACGTACATTCTAGGAATGGGAAAGACTTAATTGATTTTATGCAAGCATGCAATGCTTTTTTTTATGCATGAATCTTCTAATTGCATTTGTAACATTGTTGAGGGAATTTTCAGCGTATCTACTCAACATTCGGCAACGATGGTTTACGACACTCTAATACACAGCTGTGTTTAATTCCATAGCAGACGAAAGGGACTGTTTGAAGTCCACTGGCACTCAAGGGGGCAAATGTCACTATGACTTCGCGTATGATGTGCTAGAACATGTCTGGTATAGTCATTGTCATAAACAACGAATTCTGCTAGTGTGGGTGAGTTTGAAAACACATCGGCAACTCTTAGCCAAAGTAGCGTTTAGCTAATTTTTAGCCGAACGTTTGCTTCTAACGCTGTGAACATGAAGTTCGTATTAGACTGCACGATTTTAATTAAGCGAAATCTTTGTCCAAGCTTTTTATGTAGGGGAAAGTATCAATCCTTGTAATAAAGAGTAATGAGTATGTACCGACGAAAGTAACTAACAGCAAGCATGAGCGTTGATGCTTCCCTCTTGGTACATGATTGATCTATCCTAATATGGATTTCTCCCTTTTAGGATTATTATACGCCATTACGGCACCTAAACTGTCTAACTTGTGCCCCCCGACACAACAAACAGCCGCGGTGGACCAGCTGAAATCAACTTCGATCTAAATACGATCAGTCCAGATTCATTTAAAGGAACTATGTATCAGCATTCAGTCGAATGAAAATCGAGTGACTTTGTGGCTGGTCAGTTTGAGCTCATTTGAAATCTTCGGGTGATGGGCATGGGGCACTGGTTTTCGTTGTGGAATATTAAAATTGTCCTCTCTTAGCTAGAATGTGGCTTTGTCCTTAATAAAATGATCTATAGTAAAACAGATGTGGAATTCGGTCTAAGGATCAGTATAGTTAGGGCTTGTCCAAGCATAAGTATTTGGATTTAGATAAAACAGTCTACAAGTTAATGTCTATATAAACAAACAGGAGACCTAGTAAATTGATGTGGCAATTACCGTTATAACAATTTTGGCCTGGTTTAAACTTGCTAGGAAAATGTCCTTTATGGTGGAAAGATAAACCAATTTCTTGAGATGTTCTTCAAACATCATAGTACCGCAACTTAAATGTCTGGTGCAGCCTTAATGACATTAGGAACTTATACAGGACCACATAAGACAAGGTTAATCTGGGGTCCTTTTTTTATAAACCAAACTATAATTTAATTATATACGTATATACATATTCTATGTGTATACGTTTGTACTATGGATGTGCAACAAAAATGTATGTATAAATTGTGGTTAAATGACTGCTGTTAATGTGATAGCTCTTCCCTGTTCAGTTAATGAAAATAGCTAAACGCATCGAAAAAAATTACCTCCCTCTACAGTGCAATAATCTAAAAAATGTTAAACAAATACAACTTCAAACTAAATCAATGATTTCTGACCTATTCAACAAAAGGTTTAGCTTATTAAAACGATAAGTTCATGAAACCCCATACGTCTAAACTGCGGTCGCTAGCCCACTTTTGCATAGTTCCTCCAAATTCTTATAAGAATTCAGTTACATTTACAGGAACACGACAAACTGTATAAATTAATCAAGCTAGATAAGCTAAAATTTGCTCTTTAGTTGACTTTAAAAATATCCTGGAAGAAGTAAAACCTTAGACAATACATCTCTACTAAGAATACTAAGCAATTCGATTTCAACTATTAGCATCTATAGAGTCGTGCGTCTTTTAGAAACAGCATCGATTAGTCGAATCTTTCAATTGTCATGGTTAGTTGTAAATTGTGGCATTTTTGTTATGTTTTAGTATATTCATGGAGGAACTGAAGCGCTATGAGAACTGCCTCGGCAGACTTCAAGAGGCAGCAGCCCTTTCTGAGACTAGTTCAGTCGAGGCCTTTAGTTACCGAGATTTCCTGCGAAACGTTCAAGAGTTGCGTCGCCATATTGCTTTGCAAACAATGGAAGCCAAAGGTCAACTCGCCTTAATTGAGGCCACGTGCGATCGATTGAGGGACGAGATTCCAGAAGCTTTGTCCCTTGTGGCCCCTCATCGATTAGGAGAATTCCGGAGAGTTTGTCAAAAGTCTTTCGAACCAAAAACTCCAGTTAAAGTGCAAACGCCATTGTCTGGAAGGAAGAAATTGAGTCGAGATGCAATGGCTCATGCTAGAAAGCTAATAGACCGAGAGACTACTGGAAACATGACACCGAAGTCGCCTAAAATCAGGACTCCAGTGTCAGCCCGGAAAGTGGTACTAAACAAATCTTTTCTTCCTCACACTTACCAGTCTATTCACAAAAAGACTTACCTATCTGCCCTTAAGCATAAACTTGTACAAAGTCCGAGCTCAACGCCACAGTTGCCCATGTATAAAAAGCGGTCCAAGATGCCTTTGGAACGTAAGTCTGCGACAAAAACACTGATTGCTTCCTTGAGCAAATTCGTCTCGGCCCCCATGCGTCAGGACACTCACACTGTTCTTAAGGAAGAGTTGAAAACCGATTCTGATACACCCAAAATTCCGAGGTCGAAGCTCTGCAAAGTAGAATCAGTAGATCGACGCGCACCAATACAGATGTGTGAGCCAGTCGTTTCTGAATCTATTTATCCTATGCAACCAACAAACGCCACATTGGGCTCATCCAACATTAACACGGCCACACCAGAAATGAAGCAACGCATCATGTTTTTTAACAACCCGAATGTTGAAAGTATACACCAGCGCTATGTAGCCATTCAGGACTCTGAAGAACTGACATGTTTGCTACCCACAAAAGCAGCTGCTAAACAAAGCACCACCCCTGAACGACCCATAATACGCCCCCGAAAAACGAATATGCCCCTTACCCCACCGCGGCCACTTTTGTTTGATCTAACATCAAAAAAGAGCGTCACCCCCACGATGCCTACTGTCCGAAGGCCTTCTGAGATAGGTTTGAGTACTGGGGGAAAGTCAGCAACCTGTGGCAAGAAGCGAATGACCAAAACTCCTTCTCCACCATGCTGCACTTCACGAGGTGCACGACTCTGTCTTGCCGCCAAGTTAGACAACATTCCAAACGGACAAAACGAGAGAACATTGGAAGCGCTCGCCATTTCGTCTCAGCAAGCCGTTATTCAGAAGACCCTAGTTGCTGAAGACTGCACCCCAGAAATGCCCAGCAGCCGTATGACCTTCAAACCGTCATTGGTAGAACGCAGTGTTATTGCCTCCGATTCTAAAGAATCGAATTTTTCAGAGAATTGCACTGCGATAATTGAAACGGCTGGAGTTCAGGCTGACGAAGTACCATCAGTATGTATGAAAAAGACACCTGAACTGAGGCAGTGTTTTCAAGGCACGCTGCTAAAGACGCCCGTGCTCCAGATTTCTAATAACAATGTGTGTCAACCCAAGGTTTACAAAATCCAGTCAACAGACGTAAAGGGGGTAAAAGTAACTAACAGAGTTGCCCACGAAGTAAAAACTGTTCAAACTAATTCTGTTCAGAAAAAAATGCAACCTCCATCGAAAGACTCTGAAAATAAATTAAAAATCGCAACTAAAACTCCGGTGAAATTTGCCGATAACAGAACTTTGCTAAAAACACCGGCAAAGACACCACGCAATCAAGTGTTAAGCGTTAGCTTAAGAACAAACGAAAAATTGACTCGACCTTCCAAAATGCAACGACAAGCAACAAAATGACTGAACTCTACATTGGGATCTTTAAATGCTGTAAACAATTTCATGCCGGTAGCAACCAGTAGAACTGACTGCTTCTGTATATATGAATTTATGTATGTATAATATATTCACTGCTTTTGTGCATATACAGTGTTTGACATGTAGAAGATTCCGAAATCAAATAAATCTGATGTTTTTGGTACAAATTGAATAAAACTTTATTGTACATCTTCAAAATATTCACAGCATTAGAATGTAATATAATATCACCTATGACGAGGTAAGCATATATTATTTCGGTAGTGATCATAGCATAGTGTGTGTACAATCAGTTTTGGAATTGAAAAATATGTCAGTGATTGCCCTCCTTAAATAATACAGCAACTAGATAATATCATACACACTTTGCAGCTCTTACGATAAGATTTCCAAACGCTTTTACTTGGGCGTTTACCATCTTATTTAAATCAGCACTTCGCGAAGTCCATGAAGAAGCACTATGCGAAAATAAGCAAATATGTTTGTTTCAGTTGTTAGTATTAAATATATATATATATATATATATATATGTTAGAATTATATAGTCGTATATGAACTGCGTCCATCCTAATGTCCGAATATGTACCTTCTCTGTACGAGGAACCAGTAGGCGTCGTTTCGACACGCATATATAATCTGATTATATGAAGGGAAGTAAGATTAGTTAATGAAAGTCTAAAGTTCAGAAAGTGTATTTTACAAAAGTCGGTATAACACGCCCTAAATGACATGATCCTCGTGATAGCGAGCTACCACTGAGTTATTTGAAGATATTTATTTTTAACTTATTTATACGAAGACTTCATCCTACTTCAGATCCTAGTTAAATCCTGGACAGTCTAAGTTCAACGATGAAGTCGTCTCCGAAAGAAGTCCACGTTTTTCTCTTGTGCGGGTTATCTAGGACATCCCGATGAAGGGACAGTGAGTCACCTTCCACAAATGCCGTGTGAAACCAGAAGAAGAACGCACAGTTTTCATAGCCTTTGGGAACCGACATACTTAAGGAGTGGAAGCGAAATTTCACATCGCCGCGAACAACAGGGAAATTCACTGGTGTTACGGTCACGCAATTCTCCTCAGCATCGTGTACCACGCGGCAGTTTCGATACTGACCGAAATTCATATCGAAGACTGCTTGGCGTCCTTCGAATACCTCGCAGCGCAGATCAGATCCATTTCCTTTACCGAAAGTATTTATTCCTCGGATCTTTATATGTGTCACCTGAAGAAGTCGACACGAAAATCAACAACATATCATTCATCGCTATGAAATAGACCTGCAAATTTAAAAAATATAACAATTTTAGAGATCTTTCCAGAAGAATAATATTAAAAAAACGGGAAGCTTTTTAGTATTATCTCTGTCGCTCTCGGAGGTGACGCAGAGGTGATGAAATTGCTTATTACTTTGGCGTAGTGCGGCATAATTCTGCATGCTGTCGAAGACAAAAATCTTCCAGGGCCGATTACTTATATTTGAGTCATCAAGTTATAATACATGCAGCAAGTTCGGCAGATGTCGAAGGATACAGGATACATACAAACAAGACGCATCGTTTTTTGTGTAGCCTAGTTGACCAAAAGGATGGAAAAAGACCATATGAAGGTATCCTGCCGTGCTGAACCGTCGATTGCTGTTTTGGCGTGATGGCATTCAGCCTGTTAAGGCTACGGGTCATCGGGTCTGACTTTTTATTATAAAATTAAGAGTGCTGTATCCCAAAACTCAGTCAGTTTTAATTATTCAGTAGGTTGTTACCTTCATTGCTACAGCTTTGGGAACGATCATATTGAAGTTGTTTTTTATTTGCTCGAAGTACTCGACGTAACGATTCTGTGATGGGGTCTCGACTCCTTGAAACTTCGTCCCGACAGTGAGATCAGTTCGAACTTCACCGAAATATTCAAGTGATTCCTGTAATGTTCAGTGCGTCGACTTCATTACCGCACAATTATTTTTAAGCGAAAAGAATTTCCCTTAAAGTTGAGCTATAAATAAATATATATCTGCAAAGTAGTACAGTTTAATGTAAAAACAATAAAAGATGCATGTAAGAAAAATGTACCTTTATAGCATTATTTCCTGTTGCTTCGTGAAGCACGCGATAAGTAACCCCTACAGAGCTTTGTTTCACAAACTTAAATTTTATATTGATCAAGTGGTTAGGAAACGAAGCTCAAGTTAGCACTGATAGAAAATAAGCACACATATACCTTAGCTGATTCGAAAACATTGTTGTTGATAAGCAGCATGCAGATGAGGGTTCCCGTTCTGCCTTTGCCACCTTTGCAATGTATCGCTATTACATTTGCGGGATCTGCATCCAAAAACATTTGAGCCTCCTGGATGAATTCGATTGCTTCACTGGTCATTCCGACAAACATAAACAATAAACAAAAATGTAATTTAGTGAGTCAGAAGATTTTAGAAAGTGCCTGTAAAGCGCGCCCTTTAACAGCACTAGCAAAATGCAACAATCTTTCTTACGTACGCAAACTCCAGTGAATTATTACAACTTATTATTATCATTTTATGAGCATGATAATATGCATAAAACACAAAAAAAGTTTACCCTTTAAAGTTAATACTGTTACCTTTAAAGTTAATAAAACAGCTATGTCGATAAGTCTGCAACGGCCATTTCTCGTTTACTGTAATCATTAACATATATCAGCTTTTATCTATGGACACTAATTAACTTATTATCAATTTTGTACCATGTAGATTCACTCCACTTATTTTATTATTTCTAATATGACCTAGGGCTAATTTAGATCTTTTTTTTTTTTGAAACTGAACTTATTACAATTATTCTGTCACTCTGTTGTACTGTTTATATTACCCTATGTCTTTTTCATCAAAGTGTTTTTGTGTTAGGCGCATAAAATTACGATAATCGTGAAGACCATTTTCGGGATGGACTATATATATACATGCCATAATTCTTCCAGTCTTCAAAATATGGTTCAAATCAGGCTGTCGGATTAGGCTTGAGCTCGGTCAGCGACCTTCCTATCATTTTTCTTATAGTGTCGAGATGCTTTTTCTTCAGACTTTTTATACAAAGGGAAAAAAGTCTCGGAAGGCTAGATAATACGGGAGTTAAGGCAACACACACACATCGAGTTTCTTTTCAAAAACTATTATGCAAGTAGTGACGTGTGGGCCGGTGTATCGTCATAATGGAGGACTCAGAACTTGTTGTGCTGGAATCGTGGTTTCTTGCATCAGATAGACTCGCGGAATTATGATGAGCGATTTACCGAGGCTCGAATAAAACAGTGAAAAACACCGCGTTCTAGTCCGTGATCGTTGTTACAGACCTCCTACGATGCAGATCGTTTTCGATGGATTTTTGTGGGTCTTCAACATACTTTAATTACCAGTTCACTTTAGCCTCATTCTACGCGTTATGCAACATACGCAGAGTGTCCGTGTAGTTGGTTCTACTTTAGACACAAAAAGCCTAATGCGATGCTACTTGCTTCAGTAAGGAGGAATCGTAGAACGCTCAATGCTTAAGCTAATTCATCGGAAAACTCGAGGTTTCATTAGACTGTTACGAAATTTCTGCTATGTGTTGCAAAAACGCTATTGTTTTTGCCAAAATAAACATGAATCATAGGAGATAATCTATATAGATATATAGCATTAACGTGGTTGACACTGTTCTTCATAAGCCACATGAAACGTTTTATTTCATAGGTCAGCCAATTTTAAAGGGCGCTGCGTTTTCATGACCTAATGCTTCTGGATTGCTTTAGCTATTTTTTGTATAGCATCATTACTGTCACGACGCAATCGCCTTGATGGTGATGGTGAACAGGTGATTCAGTAACTTACGTGAGTAGAGGTACGTTATGATCGTCAATTTTGAGTCGAAGAATTTGTCTTTCGAAGTGCGAATCGTCGTAAGTTCGTTCACTGCACATGTTGCACACCTTGTAGTGTCCCGAATGTTTCGTGACGAAGAATTTCTCTACGTCCTGATACGCAAATGTTAAAGTCAGAAGGGTCATTTAGTGGAGCTCAAAAACAGAAAATTCGGCTAAACTGTTTCGAGCGTTTTTCTAGCTACTGCGAAACCGAATTCAAACAATTGCGATCAGAGCAACTTCGCAGTTCCAATAAAATTGTCGTAATGCAATATTGAGGCCTATATAGCCGCAGAAACTTCTATTACTTTTACCCCAATAAAGGGTTTATTTTTTGATCTGGTATTTTACTCACTTGGATGGGGTTTCTGTACCAAGCCATCCTACCGGATGACGGATAACTCATGGCAATTATTCGGGACGTCACGTACACCAAGTCGAGATCGAAGCCATCTTTCTGGTAACGTCTTTTGTTCTCGGAAATTACATGACGGGCGCCCTTTGCCAGATTATTCTTTTCCGTATAGAACCTCAGAAAGCGGACAAAACCCACAACTCGAACAAGACGTCCAACCACCACTGCCCTACGAATAAAACTAGAAGTGTTAAAGAACAGGCCTTTTGCTTACGCAAGGAAAGTATCCGCCTTAGCCAGCCTAGTTGATCTAGTGTGAAATAGGCGTTTTAACGCATAATAACAAGCAAAACGACACAACTTACTTTGCCACGGTGTGGACCTGCTCGATACGGGGTTCGATCACTGTGATTATGAAGGTGAGCATCACAACGGCAAAGTCCACTTTGTTGTACCATTTACGGAAAAAGTCTGTCGTCCTGAAAAAGGTATGTGCTAGGCAGTTACGTTCAATGGTCAGTCCTTCAAATGGGCCCTCAGTTCAACATTTCCTTTTTTTTAAATAAATCATAGTAAATCACTGTTCAAAATGGACAGAAGCTAGCTGGCACATCAAAAAAAATAAAGTAGGTATGCATGCCGAGATCGAAATTATTCAAAAATGAAACAAAAGGCAGAGCAGATTATTTACTTTAAATGAGCACTGCTTTTATTCGGCGGTAACAAATTCGTTCAGTGTTTAAAATAGAAGACATTTAGAATACTTTTTATTTTTATCCATATCTCACGCGGTGGCTTGTCGAGCTGTTTTAGGCTGCGAAAAATGAGACCTTTGGTTCGAGTCGCGCGATAGGACAAGTACCCTTGTCGGGCTTTGATCTCGTGGACTTGATGTTAGTAGATTAAGTTAGATAAAGATAAAGGGTTAAGCTGGGTGGACAACTTTACATGCATGTCTGCGTTTGATTTATGCACCCGTATTGTTCAATTTGACTATTTCTATGATATTTATAGATTAAGGTGAGTACCATTCGCCTCCGCTAGCGTTTTGCTGGTCTTTATCATCAAGATGCTATTAAACGGTTATTGTCGACCAATGCTATTTCGGCCTTACAACTTTAGCATAAACACCAATGCGCTTAGCGTTATCGAATAACAGCAGTGAATAGAGAAATAGTACGCATTACCTTCCGCCATCATCACCATAATTCGAATGATGTGTATTAGCGGTAGTACTGTTTAATTGTTGCTACAACGATAATTAACTGTACACTAATGAGAAAGGAAAACTTAAGCTGCAGCATAGATAGAGGCGTATACGGAAGCTCGAGGCTATCGACGTAATTCTGCTATCTAATAACGGTGTTGCGGTCCTTTGCCTGTAAATGTTGCTGGCGTATACGAGGAAAAAGCTCTTTACTGTTTTATCGACGCCTTTCTCAATACGAAAACCTAAATTTAAGTATAGCAACATGTATAGCGATCGCTACAGCGTATCGCGACCCCCCTGACTGATATCAAGATCGATCCCCCTTACATGGATTCCCTTCTAAAAAAAAGACGCTATTCAGTTAGGAGAAGGAATCATGGACGAAGATTTCCATCAAAATATTGCGTACTCCAGCAGCTAAAACTCTGCAGGCGGATCCCGAGCAAGTAAAGAACAAAAATCTCTTTCAAAGGACGATTTTAAAAACGGACATCATATCGGACACACACTACCAGCGCTAATAAATATAGTAGATATGTATGGTAGACTATGGGACTCTATGTAACATGTACACAATTAGTTTGATGAGCTGCTATATATATCATAAAAAATATCATGACAAACTACTCACCCGAGAGAATATATTCGCAGTGCTATTTCTAGCACGAATATGACTGAAAAAGCTAGCGCGATATTGTCGTATATTACGAGTTTTTTTGATTCCGGATTTTCGACAAGAGCAACGATTAGAAGGCAGATATCAGTCACAATCAGGAGAAGAGCTACTAAGCGAAACGCCAAATGCTCAACTACACGACGTAGCAAATGATGCCTGAATGAAAAATATAAATAAATCAGCAACGGTTAGTAATCAGCTCCCGGAAAATAAAACAAGGGACGAAGACGTGCACAAAAGTATTCCCTTATATCGTTCCATACAAGCTTATTGTACAGTCGACAAAATTTCATAGGAAACCTGAGGTATAATCACAATTCAGCATATTTTTTATTTCTTATCAAATTGACTTCATTATCCGGTCACTGTAAATATAGACAAAACAGATACACTTTGTCCCGTGAAATAGGCGTTACTTTCCTCATACAGATCTACGGCACCCAAACGAATTGTTCACAAATCGTGTGAGACATACAGCTAGCGATAAACTGTATCAATTGTACATAAACTATTGTTGAATATTGTACCCCATAGTTTTCCCAAATGGGAAATGGAAACGGAATATAATTTAAGAAAAAAATACAGAAAGTAAGTCGAACGTCTGAAACACAAAATGAGACATTTAGAGCACATTGTACTCTCATAAGAAGCTGGAAACCGTGCTACCACTTACTTAATTGGTATCTGGTTGAGAGCTTTGGTATTAAGGTGATGTAAGCCATCGATCTGTGGCGCGTTAGTTCCATTGCTGTGACTACAATTCACGCGACTTGATCCCCTTAAGTCCGAAGCTTCTACTGTGAGCTTCGTTTCCGTGACACCCTTCTGCGGTGGTATATCCGTATTGTTCCTATCGCTACTTGTTGCTAAATCATTGTTGTTGTCAAGGCGGCCGTACGACATCGTCGCTTGCTAAAGTACGACCGTTGTTAAGGCTCAAGGACACAATTCCTTCGAGACCGTTTTTTGCAGCTACGGCCTGTAACTTAATACTAAGAACTATTACGTAAAACCGCAAAGTTGGAAACATTTCATTTTTGCGTTCTTTCGAGCAGCAAGTGATTGCATTAAGCGAGGAAAAAAGTGAGTCCTTTTAGAAGATTGCAATCGTTAACCGGCCTTTTCATCGCCTCGGCGGAGTAGAAGTCCTGAGATCAACCTGAAAGTCTATGTGTAGCAAAACGAGAACTTCAGATATGGCATAAATAGGTTAATCATCACTTTACAGCTTTATATTGTGATAAATCAAAGCTATCCAGCAGCTCTATACTTAGATGCCTTAGATGCCTCTATACTTAGGTATAGTGTCGGCTCCTGATGTTAAGGTCAGTACAGAAAAAAAAAAGCTATAGAACGACGAGGGGTTACAAAGTAGAACACTCATTTACATCTTGAAGTTGTTACTATGTTTATAGGTAAGTTTACTCCATAAATATATGGATGACCTGCACCAGGATAAATGTGCATTTGTTGTAAGCGAGCGATATCTTCCAAAGGCAGATTTCAGGTATAACAATGCACATATCAATCGAGAAGATGTTGGGTTACATTCTCTGCTAGTGCTTTGAAAAAGAATTGATCTGTTTATGCACAATAGCACATGGTCAGTATAAATTATGCTCAATTTCTTTGAACTAAAGGACAATTTAAAGAACGAGGCCTTGTCCTCATGTGTACTGATGTTTTAAGAATAGCTTGTATATGATTACTACTCACTACGGTAATGTAATTGTTTAAAAAAAAGTCGCCAAAAAGATATCCTAGTAAGAATAAATCTGCAAAAGTGGTCTAGGCTTAAGCTTGCGACTAGGGAACCATTGACCGCACCTATGTAAATAATAATGAGTTACAGTGGCTAGCTAGATATTTAGCTAATAAATACGACATTCTGTAGCGACTAGTATTAGAAGTTGTTGAAGAAGGCTTTACTTGTTAACAGGAAATGCCAAATCTGCAGTGCGCAATATCATAGAAATTTAGTTGTACCTATGAAACAAGCAACCTACGGAAATGCTATCATTCCTAAAATGGTTGCTTCACAGGAAATAGAGCTACAATTGTGTTCTGCGTATATTCCACAAGATCTCTATAAAGCGAAATATATCTCCACGTGGATTTAAGACGCTGCGAATCAACTCAGATGAAAAGCTAAGCACTCGTATCGAACGCGTTTTATCTTTCACTTCAATCATGTGAACGTTGTACGTTTCTACTGCAGATCAAGTCAAGCTAGAAGCCATGCGAGTACGAGCCGAATGGTCATTTGGCAAGTTTTTTTCTTCTGAGTTATTATACTTTTTGTCGATATAAAGGTACTCTCAATGATAGTCACCCTTGCTTAAACCCTCCAGATCAGCTTTCAGAACGTCGTTTCAGTTGACTGACTATCTTAGTAAGTAGAATCCCTCTCTCTAGGTTTATCGCATTACATTATAACATCCGGCTTTTGAGAACTCTGACGAAAGCGCGGAGACGGTTACCGGCAAATGGTACCAACCATTCGTTTAGGTGTCAAGAAGCGTGTTTGCATAGGATATCGTACACCGTTTATAACTCAGAGAGCTCACGTTTTAGCTCGATATAACTAAAGATGTCGCATATTTACTTGTCCGTATATGAAAAAGAAAAATCTACACCTTACCTTTATAATAAGGGTGGTTAGAACAATCTATTACTCTCATAGTACATATAGGGCATGTCCTGTGTGAGTCGCAGTTCTATTTCAGGCATTCGGATAGATCGGCTAATCTGTTCGCCAAAGCTAGATCCCAGTCGGTGTATGCGCTGGTAACTTTGCCATTAAAGCGGTCTAGTACGCAAAAATAAAAGCAGTAGTAAAATTTTTGCGTTTATCTATTGACATAACCTGTTACTTCGTTTCATAGATTTGAATTAACTACGAATGAATGTGAAACACCAAAATGGTGCTGCTTTCACCATCTCTTGTGTGCTCGTGAAGGATTAAAATATGCTATGCGTCGGTTGACGATATCCAACGGAAATGGCCTTATTGACTACGTGGATGTATGAGTGCGTGAGTGTATCTTTGAGACGTCTACGCTAGCTCTCGCAGAAAAACCCTAAGCAGATGTTCTTTCGTCGACACAACAATGAATCCATATATCCTTACCTATACATAAATACATCGATATTAGCGCAAACATATTGCTTGTTGTGAGACGCAGCTTTGAAGCAGGCGTAACAAAAAAAAAGCCACATAGCCACGAATTATCACAGACATTGTTCAGTTAACATTCGCACATAAAGACGGGCAATTGAGCTTCGGTCGTGGCGATCGTTGTCACTGATTCTGGACTTTGTCACTTCGGCTATTTATTGCTAGTTTCTACGGGACACTGAACTGAACTGGCGTAGTTTTTCATAGGAACGCTGATTGAAATGTTGAACCGGGCTGATGTTGATGGCACCAGTGAATCCCTAGCAAACAGGAGAGAACGTTAGCGAAATGATGATTATTGGCCGCCGTTGCTGCCGACGAGGAGAGGTGGGATGGAGAGCTGAAAATGTCAGAAAGTCGTCGACCTTTCGTGCAACCGTTTGCGGTCACACTGCTGCAATGGGGAAAAGCTCACGGGCCGTTATTCAAAATCCAATTTTTCTCTCTTCAGCTATGTTTGACACAATACCTATTCAGACGAGTGATGTGTACTGATGCTGTTGACGCTCAGGGTTCACGGCTGTTTGTCGTCTTTTTTTCAAATAGGCCTGTCATTTGCGCTATTCGACTTGTACTCAAACGCGTCCAAGCCAGCATTTTGGTTGAATGAACAGAGGAAAAAAAGGTCGATTGTTCCACTTGTTAATTAATGGAGCTTACAGATAATTTGTAACGTCACCGAAATGAGTTCTATATTAGTGGTGCATGTGGATAGGAAAAGTGAGACAGGCTAGCGTGCGCTTCTGTTGCCAATCGAAATCCTCTCCATTGCTTTCCGTCAAAGTTGACACAATATGACCTTGTCTTTTTAGTTGCTACGCTTTTCTAAAGAAACTGTCCTATTTTGCCAGAGCATGAGGCATCCGATTCTAGTGATAGTCCCTTCTGCATTAAGTATTTAAACACTCATGGACTTTGAGAATGCTCAAATAGTTTTTTGGGCCATTTAATGGAATAGGAACTCATGCTCGCTAAGCGTGTAAGTTGTTTGTTTATTTTTCCAATAATAATGAATCTTTTTTTACAATCGAGGCAGAATTGCGGAATATTAGGCCGAACGTAAGGTCTCTGCATTTCTCAAGGTCAAGAATTTAGTTACTGCATCCAACCTAGGACGATTCCTTTATATGATCAATAATTAATAAACCCGTTTCTGAATAGAAGTACACCTCAAGTTCGTACGTGTCGTATGTTGGTTGATATAGGTTTTTGCCCACAAAAACTTTGAGAAAGTTAAGGTAGCATTTAATATAATATCATAAATAGAACGATAACCACGTGATTCCTTGATCCTTTACATGCAGCCAACCGTGACGATCCAGGTATATGATGATGCCGTAGGAAAACAAAAATCCACAGAGTTATGCACAGAATCACTGAAATCTTTCTGTATATCTGTAAAAGCTAGGGCAGCGTGCTCACATTTCTGAGACTCACTGAAGAAAGTGAACACTAGCGCCCTAGTAACACAGTTATGGCAGAGCAACAACTTTCACGTAGCAACACAAAAAATATTTGAAACTCGATTAACTCAACTTTATTTCGCTCATTAAGCTCGTATAAAGCTATCCAGCGACGCCGTCAAACATTCACATAAGCTGAACAGTTGCTTCAACCTACCATCGTTGTATCGAACATGCTCTATTTGTCGCTGATTTGCAATCAGTTTTGCTAAATAGCCCCTAGCCCCTATGCGTTAGATCTCCTTAGAATTCCTACCTCTAGGTTATAGGCTCAGGTAGTTGGGTGTACTAAAAAGCTAAGTGATATGCATAGGACTGCTTTGCTTCGGGACGAAAATATTGAAAATAAAAAAATGAAGACAAAATGATTTCGGCTGCTCTCTTTCTCGGACCGGGCATTGCTGCACTTTAAAGCTCACGGCGAGAGGAATCCAAATGATAGTCACGTATTCGTAAATGTATCGGCTACTGTTATTTTCATTATTGTATCAGTTCGAAATAGGAGAACGAATGGGCGAACATCTGCTTGGTAGACTGGGTGGCTAACTCGTTAGCCACGAAAAGCTGGAAGTTTTTAAGTTTGCCCCTAGAGCACGGTGTGAACCTTTTTTAAGTAGAAAGACCTCCTAACATAACAACTTCAACAAAGAACAAATTCAACTTTTTTTTTTTTTTTTTTAATAAATAGCTCAAAAGGTAAGGAATTGAATCGACAATAGAGATTTCTTTATGTGAAAGCCTTCGGTATTGGCATATAGGATTTGCCGAATTATTCTGCTTCGGTAAGCCCATAGAGCTCACGATGACTTGAATTTTTTTGTCCAATGCTTGTAATTTTCGCCTATGCGTCCTAACCCATACACATATATCCTATCGGTATGACAAAGTCGATGCCATACCATACAAAGGCATCTCAGTGTAAATGTTCAAGGTATTCGTCTCTCTTCAACTAAACCAAAATACTATAGATAATTTATTATATTAAAATCAATAGATTTATATCTAAAGGTACAACGTAGCTCGAATACAAGTTGTCGCAGATTCAGCTTACCCCTCATTCTTCGTTACTAGATTTATTAAATTAATTAATTAATTAAGAAATTAAACAAAAACTCGTTTTCAACACCGCTCGAACTCGTCACATTTATTGGTGTTATCTCGAATTGAAATTGTGACCAGTCCGAGAGTGAATTAATAACGATTATAGACCGTTTATTAACTAGGAAAATTATTTAAACAGCAACAGTGGAAGGTTTGAAAAGACATAGTAAGTCTCCTATTGCTGATTTAAAAAAAAACAACTCGTTTATTAGAAAATAGATGACGAGTTATATGATGTGTCGCTACTGTTAGAAGGTATCATTACCCAACTCAACGTTAAACACAGAAACTGCCGCCTCATTCCGAATGTATTTAATACACTAATCCGGTTATATTCTATCGATCCGGAAACATGAGATATTATGAGCTTAAAAGTGCTCCGATACGATCAATCTCATCCGAACTATGAATACAAAACGACACCCTTTTGAGTTGCACATCGCCCAAAAGTAATCAATTAGCTCGTATTTACCTATCAATATCAGACAAAAAATGGACTCCGCGAGTGTACACAACTTATTACATTGGCTATTCAATAACTAGCACTAAAGATATTGTTTAGCGGACGCCGCATACACAGATGTTGCATAGCACGTTGGATAGAGATCATCAAAAAAAAAAAAAAGAAAAATGGTGGGAAATAGCTTACCCCCAACACACAACGACTATTGCTAATGTAATGTGAATAAAGTAATCGCTATGTGCTTCCCCTTATATATAGATGACTTCTTTTAATTTTACGCTAACTAACTGACTAATTTTTCAAGCGTGTCTAATATATATATAGGTATTTGGGTAACTCAAGTGACGACTTTGCAAAATGTCGTTCTAGACCGTAGCGTTCTTTTTGTTTTATGACCGTTAGACTACGACGAATACAGGTTACGAACTTCTGAAGTGAACATCATTATAGTGCGCCGGCACCAATTTAGGCACTTTCAATTTCCCGTCTGTTGTCACTTTTTCGTTGGAAGGTACCACTTCTATTATACACGTACGTATCCTCGAAGACAGACATCTGTGGCTAAATGGACGCGTTCCCATTTAACACCTTCCTTTTTGTTCTATAATAGTCTATTCTACAGTCAAGCTCCTTACCTACGTTATACCGCGGCAACAATCGTAAAATTAACATACGTCTACAGATACACAGATAAACTAGTTTTTTTTTTAATTATTTCGAAACAAAGCCAGTCCTATGAACGGAATATAGAAAATTCCCTGGGAGAATAGAATAGAGATTTCGGGCGAGAGGTAACGTCGATCGCTACCTTCGACCCGTAGAGTTCCAGCGGTAACGCTAAAAAAAAGAAGCCATCCAACCAATTCTGACATATTTATATACAATGTCTCATTGTTTGACAATTCTGCTAGTTGTGCTGCCTTCAAAGCGAAGACGTGTGTCGTTGAAGTTCTGAATGCTTTCCCTATGTCCTGTTATTCGCGTACTGAAAAACTTATAACGTCTCCCATGAGACTCGAGGAATACAAGCGAATCATTCATGAGTGTTGGGCCGGGCTAACAAACAGATAAACAACAAGCAAATGTATATCTTGGTATCAAAATATTAGTAATTAGAAGCAAGCCCGAGCCAGACGTCTAGGGAAAGCTATGTAATTAACTAGACTCATATGTGAAGCTTACACTAGTAGCGTATGATCGTTGGGTGTACGAATCGTCGAGTAGTTTTATTTAAAAGATCGAATATTTGTCAGCATCTTGCTAGCTGACATCCATATGAAGCCAAATCGAATTAAATACCTTGTAATGTCCTCTTTGTATAGTTATATGACATATCACGTATATATTCATTAGCGATCAATAATCTTATGCATAATCATTGTCTTCAGGTGTGGCTCGTATTCCGTTTATATTATACCGTTGTTTGGCGTGTGTTTCATGCACATCGAACGTAACTGAGCGTGTTTTTTCGTTTCTATCGTTAGAATTTTCCGGGAACCCGTTAGCTGGATGGAATACCTAGACGAACCGCTGCATCACCTCACGCACACAAAGACCATCTATTATACTCATCCACCAAAACAACCGCTGTGCCCATTTCGGGACTGAGCGACCAATGCAACTAGCAAAGAAGTTGAAGTTGATCACCAAATCGCGTTACAGCGTCGTGACGAGCTTTCGGTAAAGGAAAATAGGAAGCATGGGCCATTGTCCTGAAGCGTCTACTTTCAAAGAACCGGACTGAAGATCGATGATGGCAGCAATACCACTTCAACCAATAATCTTTATAGTCCACCTCATAACCTGCTTATTATATATATATCCACCTACAGTAGCAAAAGGCAGAGGCTAAGTCAACTTACCCTGTTTCGTAAGCTGGCAGTAAATAATGCTGCGTACTACTCCGGTAGTTCTCTGTCATTCTCCAATGCGTCAACTGTCGTTGACGCTTTCAAACGCTGTTAGGTTTTTGCTAACACGGGCACTCTCTGTGTATGCATCAAATCAAAGAAATATGATCCTTTCGCATAAACGTAATACCTCCTACTCCTGCCAATTGTAGCTTTGTTGAATCGGCGTCAGCGATTTCCTGGGGTACCTTGCGGTACTCCACTCTCCAGTCACCGGCACCCCCCACTACTGCCTGCTTCTGGCCGTCGCAGCCTCAACAGTGTCAGCGACAACATCAATACCAACTCGAACATCATCAGGAACACTTCTTTGCTTCTAGTTCCACTGACAGGCACGGCCGCTTTAAATGGTGTTTGGCCGCTGCTAGTCCATCCCGGCCACTGCTATAACCACCGTCATCGGCATCGCAGCCGCAGCTGTAGTTGTCGTTGGCACCGTCCAACGTACTGGTTTCCCTAGGACAGCAGCAGCTGGAGTCGCGGCGCCGCACACACTATTGCTGACACACGCATACACACAACCCCCACTCACATGCATTTACGCAGATAAACGGGAAAGGGTAAAGGAGCGAAGAAACCGCATAGACAAGGGGGAATCAAATGCGGCGTATACTGCTGCGACTTCTACATCCGCGACTGGTGGCTTTTGTTATCTACAAATGAACGAACAACGATCGATAACGACTGCCGACTGATAGGGAAACCAACAGACGGCAACGGGATGGACAAGGGGTGCATACAGAACTAACGGAAACGTTATTGTCATGGCGCTAGTTGTGTTGGCTGCCACCAGATGGCGCCACGGTATTAGCATGAAACAACATGTGATAATAAGCTCAATAATTGTTAACGGTGGTGGCGGCGGCAACGATAATGATCGGTTAGGCAATTCGAAGTGGAGGAGCAAATGAAGTCGGCTAAGTTGCAATGAGACACAAATTGAGAGAATTTGAGGACGGAAAACGCCAAGCATCGAGGGTGATATTTTTCCAATAAAGACTTGTTACGCGTAGAATTTCGTGTTGAAGCCAAATGCATAAAACGCGATGACAGGACATATACGGCTGTAGCCAATTGCTAGACTTGATGGCGTGGTCGTATTGTGAAGCGCATACGTTGCTCTTTTTTTATGAGACTCTGGCACAAAACATGACAGATACTAAAATCAATGGTCTTGTCATTAGACAATGTTCACAACTGATCCCCCGAGTGGGGCATCAGAAAATATGATTTAAAAAAATATATATATGTAAGAAATAAGGAACCGCCATTTAAAAAAGTCAAGAATGTGGAAAGGATGGTGGAAGTGTGCCCGACAGGCATTCCAACCTAATCATGATGTCGTCGCTACCTAAAGACGATGCACAGAAATCCCATCAACAAATTACACTTGACCTTTTACGCTGACAAGCTCAATATTTCTAATAGTTGCTTCAGCATTTCTGGATTCTGACAAATAAATACTATGCTTTGCAGTTGAACCGTACTAAACAATTTATAGGGAAAAGGTTAGATCCAGCTTTACTACGTCGCTTTGTCGATTAAGTCAGTCATTTTATATGCATTTTAGATACGTATAGACATTTCTGCAGGGTCGGTATATTTCAAAAAGCTCCGAACTTTAAGCAAATGCAGGGCTATCAACGTCAGCCCTTCGACGGTCATCTCCAGCATCGAGCGTTTCATATTCCACAATGGTTTCATTCTTCGGCATTTGGGGAATTTCTCTATAACGTTGCCTGGTATCATTGTTTAGCACATTCAACGGCTGCTGCACTATGCAAATGACACAGCCTGTCATGAAACATTGAAGTGGACACTCATCGACACGTGTCAATAACGCGCTTAATTTCGAACATCGCTCACGATCACGATTATTCATTAATTTTTAGAACTCAGTACGAGGTATACAGTCAATATATTTTTGAGACGGCTTCAATTTCATGGACGCAGGCACGCACCTACACACATGGTAACTTTGCAAGTTCAATTCTCGCTGGGTCATTTGATATAGGAAGCAGCTTCTGTCACCGTTTAGTGACGACAAATATTGGCAGTGAAAAAAATGTTGTTCGAGTTTAGACGACACGATGTATGTCACATTTTTTAGTAGTATCTTGCGTCGTTCTTTGTCGTCATAGATAAATTTAAATTCTGTCTAATTCTGCCTCCGCTACTTGTTAGATTACTCATAGAGTAATTTCAATACAGCCATTTTTTTTAACGGTGAATAGATGAGATTTCCGGCTCGAAAATATTAAATGGGCAAATTTTGCTTATATCCAATGAGAGGGCAGGTAAGTTTTGAAAATCAGTGATTGCGTCCAAAACGTTTATGCAGTGATTGTAAAATTATGCCGGTGAATTCAATCTATATCCGTTTAGTATATCATCTAAATTGCTGCGAATGACATATACTGAAAAAGTAAATTCATAGAATCTACTAACGCATCAACTGAAAGTGCCTATAAAGGAAGAGAATAAAAATCTTAGGATCATCTAGATGATTAAAATCCAGGATGATCGTCGCTAGAATTTTTATACCAGTTGAGAAAACAGAGCTATATTGTTAAAATCATTTCGCGCCTGAAAAACAACAGGGTATCTAGACTGATAAAAAATTCTCGATCGTCTAGCATTAGTAAACCAAGCGAATAGGAATAGGGAATTGAAAGATTAGCGCATAAAGCTCTTGTCAATTAGAAAGTACTCGAACACGATAGGACGCCCCGTTTTAAACGCAACCAAACATTTTACTAACCTGACTATAACGTCGTGGAAGTTATATTATAGCCTTATATATACAAAGATAGCGGTTTTATGCACATAGCTCGTTTTCTGATCTGCGTATGAGGCCATTTCCTCAAGCGACTATCGGCTTTCTCAAGCTTGAGGATTACTTGGCCGCCATTTGCCTGCTAACTTTTTAATGCTCTTAAAAATAACAGTTGAAGTTGTTTCCGCAGCGTCGCCACGCCCAACCCCGTTCCCCGCGTGTGTTAGATCTCTATCACTGCGTCCCTAAGCAACACAATCTTTGAGCACAGCAATGACAAGCTGCATTGAAAAAATCGTACAATGATAGCCGACATATTGAATATGTATGCGACATTTGTAAAGGATAGCGATACTCGGTTTTTGTGAGTTATTCATCATATCATTTAACTGGCCACGGTCACATCACGTACCCATGTCAAAATGATGCCCTACAGAATACACGTTGCACAGTATCACTTATTTACATGCATATTCTTCCGACGGCAGTCTCGTGGTGTGCGGTGCTGAGACCAATTGTGTATTAAGAGGAAGAGTTTACTTCTTCGATTAACTTACGTACGCAGGAAGCACTCACCCGTTCTGACTCAATCTGCTTGGTAAGAGGGTTCAAAGGAACCGTGTTTTCTTCATAAATTGCCTACGAGATTCCCGATGTACGGGATAGTGCGAACGTTCGCTGAACTGTTCGAGATCACGTAGTTACCAAAGAAAAAAGCCAGCTTTATCAACTACACATTTTGTTGTTAACAGCTTAGTTATTGTCGTACGACTGGTTCTCATGAAGCCTGAAGCACGAAGGCTTTATACTGGCCTTTGATGAAGACCTCCTTTTTCCTTACTCGAGTTCCATCGAGTTCTCGAGGGCAAAGTGCGGTAAATAAGCGACTTTTTTGACACATGCCTTTTTCAGATAGCTGATTATCAGAGACCCGCCTCGTCATGAATACTGCAGAGACTTTGGTGAATGTGATTAAGGACTGTACCGTTGCAGAGACCAGCGATACTGCCTTATCGCTACTGGATTTTCGACTTCATAAAGACATTGAAGGTACGATCACTACGATGTTCAGAACGCAATTTTTGAGCGCATCCATTTGCTATTCATAGTCGAGTTGTCACTGCCCAGTTTTAGCACCTATCGATTATCACTAACTGATGGAATTTGCTAAAAAACAAGTCACCGAGTTAAGCGACTAATAAGTTTTTATGCTTCACGCAGGGTAATTAAGGCGTCAGCCATTGCTTCACACGGCTGGCTTCCAGCTTGAAACAAGTGTGTGTGCACCTGAATTTGAACCTAGACTTTAACCTATCCCTGTGTTTTCTCCCATACATCACCACTTTGCTACTACGGAAATTGACGGGATGAAGGGACTAATAGTCCTGAAGTGGCTGTATGGCAATTTGCCCATTATCAGCATACTAACAAAAACTTCAGCTATATTAAGTATATCTAATGTGTGAACGGATCATTCCAATAAAACTAAAAGCTGTTGGGGTTTAACGCTTGATTATTCAGTGACAGTTTAACCTATTATACTCCTACGAAGTAATACCGTTTCTTGTAACTACAATGACCATTCAATGATGACCGTTCAAGTTTACTATTCTATATCTATACACTTGTCGAACGTGCTTGTAGAGATCGAAGTTCGTATGCTCACATGCATATTACATGAGCACATGCGTAACATTAAACTTGGTATTGGTAAGTGATAAATGGGGCAAAGTCGAAAATCGTAGTGAATGAGCTCAGCGCGTCGATGCTAAACTGCGATCACCGCCGAGAGATGGGCGCGATCCTTTACATAGAAACGTCATTTATCAACAGCCGTCAGATCGACTCATAAACATCACTGTACGATAACGTCACGACTTCGACATATTAATTTCTAACTTTTGTAACCAGCAGTATTCAAATAACACCTAGTAAGTACATAATCTAAGTGTTTAGCAGTACAGGCCCACGCTAAAACGCCCGTAAAGAGTGAGTCAACTTTGAGCACTTTCTCACACATTATCAAAGCAGAATTGCCTCGACTACATTGCAGATTGATTAATCAAAAAAAGATTCGAGGGCGACACGAATTATTATTAAAATTAAATTACTTAATTAAATTAAATTGCTTCCGTAATGAATAAATGCGGCACTTTCTTTTAAGACTATCTGCAATTTTGTACTCAGTGTTTTGACTTCAGTGAGCAGACACAGGCATTATTTAGAATAGTGGCGGCTCTCATCTTCGAGAAAAGTACCAGCGTTTCTAATGAGCAGCACGCTCTGCATCTAACAACAACCTGTTGCCTTTCAGCGAAAACTTCTCAAGTTCATCAAGAAACCTACTATAATATTAACATTTTGAAAAATTTCATTACGTGCATTTCTATGAAGTGCTACCAGCGTTGCCATATTGTTAACGATCAAGATGCTGCTATAAGTACAAAGATGATTCGATCAGTATTCCGAGTTAGAGCTCGATCTATTTTGTATGATCATTGTTATAGCGCTACAGCGCATATAAGGACCAGCCCAATGTACTCAAGCTCATTTTCGAGATGAGATAATGGCCTCATTTTTGTTTAGGCTTGTGGGTCCAATGCGATCGCTGCGATTCGTGGCGTCATGTGCTCTCAGCTAAAGATCCCGTGGTGTACGCTGAGAGGGATTTTTACTGCTCCGAAGGTAAGCACTTGCAAACCTCTTAAACCATGTAAGACAGAGTCTAAAAAACAGTTCGCCTTGCATGGCGAGGAACGCTCGAATGAAGTGCACTTCGTTAATTTAGCTTTTTTGGGTCTACGCTTTATTGGCGCGATACCATTCGTAAGTCTTAATATAGGGAAAGAAGTTCGGGGCCCCTAAAGTAGAACACTTCTGTTAATGATCTGTCAGAGTTTTTGGGACACAATACTTTGTGCTCGTATGTCACTTTCATATAGATTAATCGAATATTCTCTAATCTTATGTAGACGTAATACTTAGCGTAGCATTATCAGAATAAAGAGATTCCATAATTACCGTAGTTATCAGTTGTTGGAATACGCCTTATCATGGCGTCACCCAAAACACTATGTGTGTACGCAAGTCACTGACCAAGTTAATTACATAATTTTAGTCACCTCCAGCTTGGGCGTGGTACCGTGCTTAATGTACCTAAGCAAATTGTGTTTCGATAAGTCGTCTATTATCGAATACCATCTTGCGAGCATCGAGCTGCAAACTCGGCAGAAATTTAATGATCTAGACCACTTATGCAATTATATTTTTCAAGTAGTCGTTATACGAAGCGTATATGGAGCAATAGCCCTACGTGAACTGGATCTGAGAATGTACAAGTTGAATTTCCTTCATCAGCAGAATAAACTAACACGCACCTATCTTATATACATTTAGTAAAGAAACACTGCGGTAGCGCAAGTGATCCAGGTGTGGATGGTCTGTTCTATCACCCGGAGTTCTTCCCCGGAAATATTGTTTGGGCACAAAAAGAAAAAGACTCGATTGGCGTGGGGTTCGTCTGGTGGCCAGCTCTTATAGAAGATGGCCATGACCGACGTTCGCAGTTCTTCTTACTTGACGTCAATCGAAGTTCCGAAAGTAGGCCGGTAAGAACGCTTCATTGCTATATAATGAAGCTTCGGCAAAATGATTCATTATATGCTTTTAAATAAAAACGGCTAGACGAATTGTACGTACACGCATGCTTACTAATCCTTGCTTAGTCTGATTTCTAAGTCTGAGAAATGTTACGAATCTATTGGCCAAGTTGGGCAAGTTTGCGCAAAAAACATAATAGCTATCTTTAAAAACATTTCAGATCGCTTACCACGTCACGTTTTTAGATACGTTTCGAACCGGCGGCTGGGTAAGTGCCAACAAAATTATCCGATTCAAAGACGATCCTTCGGAATTGCTCCGATACCAGCAGCAAAAGTGCGTGAGAAAAGTTCCCAAAAGGGCCCGTCTAATGACGGAAGCGATCGAGCGTGCTCGAAACGCACTTCGAACGGGCGATATCAGAGATCGATTAGAGCTTTTCTCCTTCGTTGCGTACGTTGTAAGTGACAAATAGTTTAACATACACAAAGTAATGAAAGCCGATGTTTTACTATGCTCGGGGAAATTAATTGAGATTAGTACTCGGTAATATTCCATTGTTGTGCGGTTGTATTTTTCAAGAAATCGGCTATCTGCTTGAGAATCAACTTCGTTTAGCTTTCGAATCTATTGTTACGCAAGCCAGTTATGCCAGACGATACAAAGCATTTCAGAGAACGGCTTGTAAACGACCAGCATGAAGTGTACGAAGTTTTCCTTAAAGTATGCCCAGGGCTGACATGTTCTCCACGTGACTATATTTAACATAACAGGCGTTTTTAGCATCATTATATACAATCTAGCTTGACACTTACTACTTCTAGTGCCTTCATAAAAATATGCAATCCTTTGGCCTATTGTTTACTTAAGCCTTAGTTCTTTCTATTTATTTAACACATAGTTTTAACATAGCCCCATTTTTTTTATCGAAGGCTCGTCAACGTGGTTTATTGGAAATGTCAGACAGTGCCGATTACATCGCGAATGGAGCTTCCAATGGAGCACCTATTGAGTTATCATTGAGTTCTTCAGAACGTATGTTTCCACTTTAAACATTGAGATATATATATATATATATATATAGATAGGGAGAGAGAGAGAGAGAGAGAGAGAGAGAGAGAGAGAGAGAGAGAGAGAGAGAGAGAGAGAGAGATGAACACAATGCTTTACTACTTATTAAGCAATGTTCTTCACAGTTCTCGTCCTTCTATGAAGCACACAACCATCAAAAGGGGATACGCCTCATTAAGCTTATGATATTTCTTTGTCTTGATTTCGATGAAATCCGCGAAACAGAAACGGTCCAAACAAAGTCTCAGCTGCCAGCTAAAAAGCGACCGCGTCTAGCGACTTTCAAGGAAATAGAAAAACCTAAGCAGATAAGAAAGAACGTATCCACCGTCAGCCAAACTAAAAGGAAGGCATTCCGTAACTCCAAGGAGCTTGTACGACAACAACAGCCCAGTTTTGTACATCACTTAACAGAAGGTCGGTGGATAGTGACACTGATCTGCATATACCCATAGGAAGAAATGAGATAATCTTCAGATCATTAGCAGTTTTTAGCAACAACGTTTGTCTAACAGGTGCATTATTCATATCAGATGTATTTGCCGGAACAAACAAAGGAAAAGATCTAACGTATTGATTTAATTGTTGTTTATTAAATGTTTAAATGGTTTTTGTTCTCTAAAATCTAATCATAAACATGATAAGTAATTATTTAATGGGTGACTTTCGTGCCATATATTTTAAAAACTATTACAATCGATATCGACTTTTCATCTTTAAGTGGAACAAGTCTTAGGCTTCGCATTTTATCAATTTCTCGAGCAAAAAATAGTTAATGTACTTGGAAATAGAACAGTTAGTTAAGTACTTATAGATGAGCAATTACTGAGTAGATGTATGAGAGTCAACGTTATGATGAGGATGCAATGCGACTTTTCTTGAATAATCTATGCTCGTGAATGTTAACCAAAAGCTTTTATATGTACCTTTGTGGCATAACAGGAGTAACAAAGCACCTTAATACTCTCGATCAGAGAATGGGGAAACCTCAGGTTGTACAATCTGCCCACGAGGGTGCCAAAAAAATTGCCGCGACAGAACTGAGATGTCAATGCGTACCTCCCGATGAGAAAATACCACCCAAGGTTGATAAACTGACCCTAAAGGTTCAAAATTTACACAAAAAGGCGATTGTCTTTGAAAGCGGCAGTGTAAGAGAGATTCCTACCCATGTGGGTACCAAGAAAGCTCCTGCGATAGCACTGAAACCTATGAAATCTCAATATGCACCCCTCGATCGGGATATACTATCTGAAGTTGATGAAGAGACATCAATAATTCAGAAGCTAGCCAAAGAGGTGATCGACTCTAATACTTACAACGAAGAAGAAGCTCGTGCACATGCGGCTCTGAAGAAAACTGCTACAGTGGCCCAGAAATCCATGAAATCTCAAAATATGCCGCCCAGCCAAAAGGCATTATCTGAAGTTGATAACGAGACCCAAAAGGTCCAAAAGCGACTGAAAAAGTCGCTCCCTTCCGAATCTTGCAGTGTAAAAGAGGCTCCTCCAACTGCGGAAAATTTTCCAGAAATAAAAAGAACTGATACTCCACAAACACAAGAAGGTGAGGTGTTTTAGTGCGTCAGCTACATCGAAATGTTTATATACTAATTAGTGTAAGAGCAATAGCCAATTATGCACTTTGGTAACTGCGATATAAGATCATCAGACCGATGCTACACATGAAGATGACACGTATTCTTGTACGAAGGACCAAATACATATTTGTGCAGACTACCGCTCCTCACTCGATTATTTTAATTTTGCTATAAATGGCACCGCTTACAGTGAATCCCATATTTATCTGAAGGAGGGTCAAACTAGTTCGATACGACTGAAGTGTCATGCAGTTTAAAAAATAATTCATTATCACATACCAGGTTTATTATAATGTTTGGTTTATTTGCACGTATTAGCTCATATTCACGAGCGCGATGCTCTGTATGAAGCACTCTGGCATCTTTTTGCTTCAAAAAAAAAGCTGAGCTCCCTATAACCTACAATACAACACCTTGACCTAAAACACGCGTTCATACATCCTTACTATAAAGTTTGAAACAATCTCACATTTTGCTTCAACTTGCTTCGGAGTCATCTTGCCTATAATAATTATTAAGTGGAAGGTCAACTATATATACTCGAATCACTTTTTGCTTTCTGATTTTAGGTGAGCTAAAAGGAGTGATAAAACGGCCTGCTAATCCGATGCCCCGAAACAAGAAATCGCTATTTGTAGCTCCCACCAAACAAACTTTTCATAGAATTATTCGAGATTCCGAGAAGTCACCCAAGAAGGCAATCCAAGATGAACCCATACAACCGGTACTCGCCGAAAATCGGGCCCCAAAAATGCCGTTTCGAGTTGAGACAGACCCGCCAGTTAGACAGCCGATGCCTCCTCAACAGCCACAAAAAGGTATAAGATATTGTTGCAACAACTCTAGGATTGTTTTATAAGCCTTTTTATGTGGGTCAATTTGTATTCAGTCGCATCACACCAATTCGCTAGGTGTTAGATATGTAACTTGAAGACGATGAACAAAAGGCATGAAAAACAAGTACAAGGCATCAACTGAACGCTTGTAGGTGGCATGCCTTCAATTAAATCTCTAATACACACGGCATGACGTAACTCCAATCAGTCTACGGACATTATCAGTATCAATACTGAGCTGAACCAGTGTTCAAAAAAGCTTTTAAATGCCGCAGATGTGCGCATGCTCACTTCCAGAAAGATGGGTTGCTATTTTTATATTGAACTCAAGGGCCCTTAAGGTGCTTCGAGCCCAAAAAATTCGCGGCCGTCCACTGCGCTGCAAAACGCCAAACGTAATTATATTTCTAATTTAATTTTCAGTAGTCCGACGCACGTCACAAGGTGGTCGACGAAGCCCATCCCCATATACCGTTGACTGGTTGGAAGCAACATTTGAATCAAAATGTGCTCAACTGATGACGGACTCCGACTGCGACTCCGGTAAGCTAATCTGTAGTATGCTGTTCATGAAGCTATAAACAAGGAACCAAACGACGTCAACTGCAAGACGAACTTCGTAACAAAATTGATATTTGTTTTAAGGAGAACCACATAATGTTACGATTCAATTACATTGATTAGTGTTTTAGCACGTTGCCTCGGCTAATTGTGGATGTTTGTAAAATCGCTTTTGCAAATACCTGCACAATTTTCCGTATCTGTTGTTTAGAAAAAAAGAAACATGTATGTATAAAATTTCTATATTTTCAGTGGATTATACTTTTCGAATAACTCTCGATTTAAGGTATAGTTGATTCTCTCGGACGGAGCGACGAATACAGCCCTCCTAAAGCTGCACAGAAGTCTGCTGTAGCTGCTCCGAAACAGATTCAAGCGAATATAGATCAAGTCAATGCAAGCCATAAGAAGCCGAAAACATTAACGGCCCACGCCCCGATACGTCCAAAACCAACATTTTCGGTTCCTGCCCGAAGGCCATTTAAGCCGTCATTTCAGGAAGGTATATATATATATATATATATATATATACAATTTTTAAGATTTCTATTCAGTACGCAATTATGCGTATGTACTTATATATACAAGTATATATATAGGTAAGGATGTTATCATTTTAGTTAATTCAAATAATTGAAATTAATTGAATTAGAAGTTATTTTCATGGTCAAGTAATTTCTTCGCTGTATTCTTTCAATTGTTGATATTTTTTGACGTGAAGTATTCACAATGTTAGCGCAATAGATCTTGTTGGTTCTTTCTACGTTGTCGAGGTTCAGGATTCCAAAGTCTACCACAACCCACCACCTCGTTGAGTCAGCCAAATAGCCAAAGCTCCTGGGGATTTCAGGGAAGCCAGGATTGTCACGGACGTTCACCGGAGTCTCAAAACTAATAAAAAGTCCGTTACAACGACTACTCGTAGGCCAGCTGACTGATAATCATGGAATTAATTATAGTTCCGCTAGAGTTTACCTTTTCAGAATTATGTAGCTTTAGGATCCCGACCTGGAACTCAACTACCATGTAACATTCGATGAACGTGTACAAATATTTTCTTTGTTGTTTCTTCACAACTTGAAAATGAATTGGTTGATTATTAGACTTCACTCTTGATTAAACGCTTCGTCCTGATCGGCTACGAGGAAGATACGAAGGAAATTATATATTTGTTCCAGCTAAAATCACTCAAATTAAAATTACCTTTAATTTAAAAAACTCAGCCTCTGCTTGTTGCTTCTTTGTCTCGGCTTGTCATTATCAAAGAAGAATAACTCAGTCGTGTGCTCGCAACTTTGATGTGGAGCTATTGTACGACTAATACACATGTAACTGGCGAGACGCTATTGTCAAAATAACAGCACAATTTAAATCCTAATTAACAAAACTTAATTTAAGCCTATAAATAAAAAGAAAGAAATACGTGTCTTTTTTATCAGATATATTTCAAAGCGATAGGTAGTTCGAGTGATTACCGTTAGGAATTAATGTCGCTTGAGTGCGCGAGAGGTACAGGCAGATAGACGAGAGATAAGCGCTTGATCAGACATTGCATAATGACAATATTAGAATTTAGCGTTAACATTAAAATTAGCCTTGGACAACTGTGTTGTCTTCGTCATTTATTCACAAGGCAGCGATCGTAGAAGAGGGGAGTTGAACAAATAATAGTCTCGATGTCTCTGCTTCCGGACGGGCGTAAAATAAGCGTAATACCTGCCACTTGTTCACACTTTCCGTTAAAGCAAAATATGATTTAGATATATAGCTATGTGCGTTAACAGCTCACTGGTACTTAAACACGCTACATCTCTCTAAACAACAGTATAATGCTTACGTTGATACTAATAGTAATAACGATTCTTGTAATTTGCAAAAAGTCAAAATTTAACGAAGTTCATAGACTGAGAATAGAATAGTTAAGTTGACTTTAAGTCAATATTACAGCTGGCTTAATCATGGCCAACTCAAAATTGGGTAAACTTTTCGAGCGTAATACTCCATACTTCTGAAAACGTATTTAACGCATTTGAGATATGATCCATGACTAGTTACTATGCTCTCCGGTCCTTGTGTTCTATTAGAGCGACAAAGAAATTTTGAATGCGCGCGCGCTTTGAAGACACTGTCTGCAACGTGTTCAACATTTCTGGCTCATTGTGAAAACTGCCGGGTACTTTCAGGGCTGAAAGCTGTTTGCTCTGACGAGTCGGACGCCGCATTCGAATCAACCAGCTGTGTCCCGGACAATGTAAAGTGATAAATAATTGGCGAAGATAGTGACGCGTAAATCAACGTAAGATTGGATAATACAAACAGTAATTCAGTTCAATCCGAACGTTCTGTTTTGTGCGACCAAATGGCAACCGTAGAATTTCTTCAAGCTCAGGTGGCTTCGTTGGAAAAGAAGCTGGCTCAGTATGAACAGAAAGAAGGTCCAACTCGACAAAAAATCGAACAAATGAGTTCCGAGGTAGTCGACTCTAATCCATACAGGTGAGTATCAATGTTGGCGCCGCAGAGTCAAGCACTGTTAAAAGTGAGCGCTGGCTCAAATCTATATTTGTTTTGAAAATTGAATTTAATACAGATTAACTACATACTTGTATATACAATGCAGTCGTATTCAGATGCGCATTATTCCGTGCACGAATCACGCTGGTATTTTCTATCTGTATGCAGTAACAGCTGTTTAACGCATAACACAGTTCTGCAATACACTTGTGTACCAAAACATTCCCACCTTCTTTGTACTCGGCCACTTCGTCGAGGCCTTTCATGATTTCAGTATCGATATGCAATTTATAAAATTGCTTACTAACTCCAATGGGTGCAACCTGTTGGAGCTTTGTTACTGAACGTACAACGTTCAGAGTTTACTGTTTACCATATGGAAACCAAACACTTTATTGTTTGGCTTTTTGTTGTATAATGCTACACAACATTGCATAGTTGTTCTCCTGATTATCAATCAATTCAATATATACAATGATAGAAGGTAAATGTAGTGACTCGAAAGCATGGTTGTGTAGAATTTCCAGTTATCACCATATGAATCAATTTCATTTACTGGATTTTCAAATTTAGCAAACCCCTGTTTTCAGACAGCACTCCTATCAACGACCTATCTCGCATTTCAAACGCCCAAAAACATTAATTTTATTTTTCAAACATAACGACAGTGGTGTATGAAACTAGAAAGCAGTACTCCATAGTTTTTTTTATATAATGTTGTCATTGGTTTACAGACTTCTAAAATAGACGGATCATCAATATATTATGAAGTAAGAATAATGATGAGATTTCTTTGCTCTGCAAAAAAAGCGCAAGCTGTTTGGCGCTAAATCAGCTAACTTTAGGTACAACATGATTATAAGCTTCCTGATTTAAATGTGAAAATCGAAGCACGAATTATATAATAGAAAACTGAAGCGCTGGAACGGACTGTTTACGATGAAAGCTTTCCGCCTTGGATCCTGTCTTGAAGCAGTTGGTAAAAATTACTTTATTGGAATTTTGTTTCGTATAAACAACTTTGAATAACGTTAGCGTTGTTTATCTGAATGAAAGGGACATGTGAGACAAAAGACAATTGACAGGTCCCCATCGGCAATATTACATTAATCGTTTCCTTGTCCTTTTCATGGACTTCTAGTCGTCTTATGGCTCTTAAGCGAATGGGTATTGTGGATAACTACGAGGCAATTCGAAGTTACACGGTCGTCGTTGCAGGCGTTGGGGGAGTTGGTAGCGTAACTGCAGAAATGCTCACCAGATGTGGTATCGGAAAGGTGGGTGTGTTCAGCTGCTAAAAGCCACTGAAAAATAGTTAAAACATATATTGAACGTATTGCAAAATTTCAGTTCTGGTGGGAAACGACCAGTCGTAATTCATAAAAGAGAAAGGCCATCTTTTATTTCTTTACGAATGTTATCCATGAGGTTAGCAAACCGTTATACGATCCTCAATTTTCCCATTTTTCATCATTTTTACAGAAGTATACATGCTTACACGTCTGAGTTCTATATTGCAGCTAATCCTGTTCGACTACGACAGAGTAGAGATGGCAAATATGAACCGGTTGTTCTTCCAACCATATCAAGCTGGAATGTCGAAGGTGCGAACAATATCAGTATTTAGTATCAGTAGTATTCAGCGGGCAATTAAAACAAACACGTATCTGACGTAGGAGCACGTGGTAATCAACGAATGTATGGCAAATACTGACCTGACGTGCGTATTGCTTTTTATTTGCAATCAAACAATGAATATACATATCACACGCATACATAAATAAAATACTTTTCTTGTTGTACTATCCTTAAACTTTGCGTCAGTACATTGGTGTGGGGCGCTTTTGGAACGTGGATTCTCTACGCAGCTTCGGACTGCCACAGTCTATATAATATGTTGTAACAGAAAATACTCAAGGATGTGACACAGATTTGGCATAAGATATTAAATGTAACAAATAGAAAGGCCTTAATTGCCACTATTGTTTTTTTTCCAATATCCCCATTGTACGCATGTCTAGATTGTTGCACTTGAACGTAAGCAGCTTACAGGATTGTGTTGCTTGAAATTAACCGTATCCTGTTTTATGGATAAGCGTTTCAATTAAGAAGTCCAGATCATGTGACACCCAACAGCGCACAAAGAGCCTGTTGGTACTCGGGTAGCAACTGTCTAAATGGTATCTTTGATTATCCTGTGTTAGCATCTTTGTTTCGCTGTAGTTCGGAGCGATTCCGTTAACCCATCGTTTTATAGAATACCATAATTTAATTCGTTTACCTATCACAAACAGGATTAATAATTAGGTTGGTAACTCAGTAAGTTACTCAATGCCGTGGAAATAATATTCCCTAGCAAATTTGACGAATAAACGACTCGCCTTACCGTTATTTTCGTAATTTTTTTTCGCCCTGAAGCTTTTCTCAGGATAAGTAGTTAATGGTTTATGACACATAAGCACAACTGACATACAATTTAGTTAAACGGTTAGTTTTTTTCACGTATTCTAAAAATATCGTTTTCTTCATTTGTTTACTATGTACACAGACACAAATAAATTATATCTTTGGCACTGATACTATGTAAGTCCATATGTAAACGGGTCGAAAAATTGATGTTTGTAAATCATACACAACTCAAAAATTTATTACATTTTCTTCGTGCAGTCTAGAAATAACCTATCAATAACCATCGTTTTCAGGTAGACGCAGCTGCCCGAACTCTCCAGTCGATTAACCCTGATGTGGTAATAAAGACTCACAACTATAATATCACAACAGTCGACAACTTTAATCATTTCATGGAAGTCCTGCGAACCGGCGGACTTGTTGAGGGAAAGCCCGTTGACCTTGTACTCAGTTGCGTAGACAATTTTGAAGCCCGAATGGCCATTAACACTGTACGTGTGAACAACGTATATAGTACATATGTTTTGCTGTACACCTTATGTTAAGTATATATACGTAACGAATACACCCAGTTCGGTTATTCATTTGAGTCATCGAAAGGTCCGCAAGGCCCTCATCAACTTATGCATAATAGTTTTCCCGAAAAGTACGCTTTTCTGTGTTCTGAAAAGGTCCAGTGCTAATGCATGATATATATATCATTATTCTGCTATTTCAGGCTTGCAATGAATTAGGTCAAACATGGATGGAAAGTGGAGTTTCCGAGAATGCGGTATCTGGCCACATTCAGTTGGTAATTCCGGGCGAAACTGCTTGTTTTGCCTGTGCGCCTCCGCTTGTCGTGGCTGCCCAGATCGACGAGAAAACACTTAAGCGGGAAGGAGTTTGTGCCGCGAGTTTACCGACGACGATGGGTATTGTCGCAGGAATGCTTGTTCAGAACACTCTCAAGTGAGCCATTCAACGGAATAGTCGGTTATTAACGTATAAAATTATATGAACGTCACATCTTATACCACTGCGCACTTCATACATCAGCATAACTACTTTTTATTTCCAAATCATATGACCTACTTTTATTAATGTGATGTCCCCTCTGGAAAGATCCGTGGTGTCTAAAAAAACCGTAGAGTAGAATTTATGCTGATATATATTTATTTTCGATCATACAACTCAAGTTCAGGAATGCATATTCCCTTAGGTATTTATTTCGTAACGAAAATTAAAAACGGTTGGCGCGGGATATAGGACGATTTGTACGTACCTATTCTGCTTTTATCTCATTGAATCTCATTGGATTTGCTGCTATGTACAATTGTTATCTACTATTTTTCATTTCTTTCGCAGAAGTGACCATCGCCATTATGTTTTTTCTTTACATGCAACGTTAGATTTCTTCTCAAGTTCGGAACAGTATCACATTATCTGGGCTATAATGCCCTTCAAGATTTCTTCCCAACGATGGCGATGAAGGCCAATCCGCATTGCGACGATTCGTTCTGCAGGAGCCGCCAGCGAGACTACGAGAAAAGTAATCGTGACGATAAACAAACTCAGGTAATGGTACAGAGCCGCTAGTTAAAGAGATTAGGTCTACGTTTAACCAGGCTCTCCATATCAAGTGCTAATTCAACCATAGCATCGGTACTTTTAGATTTAAAAAATTAAATTCATTTTACAATTCTTCACCAGCCAGATAATAAAAGATAAAATATATATTGAGAATAAATTTATCGTATTTAGAATAAACTATACATCATTATTCAAGGAAGTGCAAAAGGATGTGAAAACGAGTGCCTAATGTAGTATCTGAAGGAAAGTGTATGTTATCATGAAAGAGTAATCGTCCCGGTGCTTCTGTGTAGCTGGTAATGCATCCTTTTTAATCTCAATTTAATCACTGGCAACGATTGCATGACTTCTGTGATGTCATAATGTGTGCGAGTTAGCGTCTTAGCTTTAATGGCTTTGATTTAAATAACGGCTAATACAATTTCGTGAGTTGATTTAATAGCTCGAAAGATAAACGATTTAAGCACCTTATAAAGTAAATAGAAAATATATCAATTAACGCTGCAACATTTCTGGAAAGCAACATATAATCTGTCATTTGAGTGCTATACGCAATACATTAATAGTAATTATAATTTACATTCATTGCAATAGTTCGATCGCAAATCAAAACAGGGTTCAAATATGCCGGTAAAAATTAAATAATATAGCCTGGTAACCTTGATGCGATTGAATGAACGTGGTGTATTTTCTCAATACACACTGCCCCAGTATGTGATGTGAAATTGGTGCATCATTTTTCGAACCTTGTTCCCCTTTTGGACTTTAAAGGCGGCGTCAGCTCCAACTGAGCAGGAGGTTATTGTCCATGAGAACAACGAATGGGGTATCTGTTTGGTTGATGAAGATGTTGAGGACAAACAGGAAGATGCCACTGCCCCACAGCTCACACAAGGTGTCCAACTCGCTTACACGGTTCCGAAGCAACAACATGAGGTAAGATTAACTTATTTGTCTACTTAGGTTAGTAGATACGGCAATCATTGTTTACACGAAGAACATGTAAAACGTACTGCTGTTTTTTTTCTATACATGAATTCGTCTCAAATTAGGGTCCGACTGTTTCGCAACGTAAACTAAATAAAATGTGCCATGAAACGTTAACGTCGCAACAGTTCCGGAAAACACTTGTCAACTATGCGCTCGCTTTAATGTTCGATGTTATTTCTTTTCATTTCTTTTCACCTCTTCAGACGTCAACGAGCGCCAGCAGCTTCGGCAATGAGGTGGCCGTCTCGGATGACACGAGCCTCGACGAGCTAATGAAGCAAATGAAGTCCCTCTAATTAGATTAGGCGAGATAATATGCACTTATAATTTTTGCTTTGTTTAGACAAAACAATAAAGCAATATTTTATTTTGAAGTACTTTTTTATGGAAAAAAAATTATAACGAAGGATATGGCATTCATATTCATGTCTCAAGGAATGACAACAATCAATGTCTTTTAAGACCTTTTCCTACACACGGGTGTGCATGTGGCTCTCCAGAGCTTTCAATATAGACATTCATCTGGCGATGAATGTCTATATTGAAATTACAACAAACAATCCACCTTCAAAGATAAATGGTCGCTTTCGCGTTGACGACTGCTGTAATATTACTGCGCTGAATCATCAAAGGGACAAAATTGTCTATACAAAAACGTGGATTGACTACGCGCATAAATAAGCTATAATGGTACTCCAATCTATATATTCATTTTTAATTGCGTTATCAGATCATCTGTGTTTAGTACCCAATGGAATGAAATTAAAAAAATACTTTTAAGAAGACTCAGTACTACTATTGCTCTTATGATTTGTTAAAAAATATGATCTATTTTGCTTTCACTAATTGCGTCATCACTCATTTGCCAACTATTAAAATAGGTGCTATGTAGTTGTCAAACTACGCCAAACTGGTGGCGGTCTGTACAAAATGTATTTTCACTATAGAAATCATAAACGATATATATATAATTTACCACAAATACTTGTTCTCAATAAATAAACCCTTATCGTACAGAGGTTAATGGAAACCAAGCAATTAATGCATTTAATTTTTTTCATACCTTGTTATTGTTTCAATAATAATCTGCAAAAATACCGAAGAACAATCGAAAAAAAACGATTGTTAATAACTACTGTTGTTAATAGCATTATCTATTTAAGCGTTAAATTTTATCTACATGAAGCGCGCAAATACAGTGTGAAACCCTTGGTTTACTAGGACTCTTTGTAAAATACAAAAAACGGCAAAACCTACACAAATTCTACTGTATTGCATATTTAGGTATGTTTTCACAAATGGGTGTACACTAAAGTAAAAAAAGCTTCTAGCTTTCTTTTTATCGTTATTTTTTCAATCGGCGAATATTTCAGCAGACCAGTTTCGGGCAACAAACTGACCTAAATTCCGACCGAATATGCACTTCTGTGATAAGGACTATATGGAATGACCCTTGACTTCAAACACAATTCCATCCAAGCCAAAGCTAGATTTCCCGAAACGATCTTATAAAGTTTCCATCAACTGCTCAGCATGTATTCACAACAAACTCCTCTGAAGTGAAATAAAGTACTGTGCTTTATAATACTAACTTTAAATAATTTTATAACTTCAAATACAGCTACGTTCGCTTCTGTATAAACATGTAAAAATAGCAATTACTATCTCGGATTTAGTTCTCAGTATCAAAAAACATATGCCTTTGCAATGCACCGTGCAGGATTGGTAAGTTTCTTCCTAGCAGGGTCTATTACAATTATATTATCTACGTTTCTTTTGTAACGGGTGTATCCAATATATGTATGTTCCTTATTTAATATATATATTATATGTGTCTCTATTATTTGTGCATAGTTTTTCATTGTGCTTGTTTGCAAGCATTGCCTGGCGCTATATATATATATATATAGTAATCTCGGTGCTGCTCATCTGGTGCGATGTATGGTGTCCCTCACTCCATGTGATCTTTAATCTCGCAATGGTCTCCAAGTGCCGAGGCTTCCATAGTTTTCGTTCCTTTGTGGTTGTTGCGCACTTTTTTTAAGAGCGCTGGAAGAAGGGCCGCAATCGCCAGAAGCGCCATTTTGGCAGCGACGGCTGGAGTCAGAATATCTGATGTCGATTGGATTTCGCTTAGAAGCGAGCCCGCTTGCACACACATTAAATTGTAGGGCATCAAACCTGGAATAATGATTATGTTATGAATAAAACAAAAACAACATTCTGCACATTTACCTATTAGTCATCTCAAGTCGACAAACAGATACATGGAACACCTCTAGACTCTGGAATAACATAACAATAGATCTTTACGACTAAAAGAACGGAATTCTTACGCATGTGCTCATTCTTCATTGATTGCCCATTCACCTCTGTATAGCATTCAAGTGCACAAACCTATGAAGACAGAAACAAAAAACAGATGAATGGGTATTCCGATTATAGGTGACGCCATATTCAGGAACCAGTTCGGTGTAATCGGAAACAGTCGTAGGAACAGCAGGAAATAGATGAGTTCGTCTTCATTCTCGTTGATTTTTCTTTCGAGGTATGAAATCTTCTCAGCGTCAGTAAACAATAGTAGTACAGACAATTATGTTTAAATTAGTCACAAAATCAAGTTCGAATTTGTATTTCATCGGTTGCTTTTGCTATGGCGATAGCTGTGTTCGCTTTTATTTTTCGATAAAACAGTGGCTCTTGCAATAGCATAACCCATAAGTACCTACTGATTATTTCATTATAAAGATACAACCTTTGAAGCGAAGAATTTTTTGACTAGATGCCGGCCGCATAAATACGAAAGAAGGTAGCAGAAGGTTGCTCCCGTAGCCGATAAAAAACATGCCAACAAAAAACCCGGTATAACACCAAACAGGGCGCCCCCAAGAAGATTCTGAAATATCATCATTTGAATTACCAAAAATACAGTGTTGCTTGTGTAAATCGATTGCATACTTGAAGGGCAACTATTACGTGATACTTTGTTGGTCAGTACTCGTTTCAAAGAAGCATAATGCGCAGGTACAATTAACAGAATAAGTGAGTACTATCCTCAAATGAAAGTAAATAACGCGTACGTAAACATAATAAACTTTAAATGCATTTCATACAGATATACTTAATGATGTGCGCCGATAGTTTCTTTATCAAAATTCCGGTGCCGATGGGTTGTTCTCAGTGTACATGCTTTCATTTTTCTCGTTTCTAAAAAATGCTTTGCAAAGATGTTACAAAAAAAAGCTCTTTGTATCCGCGAGTATTGGTGAATAGAATCTGAATGACCTAATGGCGTCATTACCCGATGTTACGAGCTCACCATAAATACGGATCCAGGAATTGCGAATGTCTGCTTATAAAGGTAGGCTGAACAAAAGAAGACGTAAACAAAATTTGGATGAGACGAGTAATACTCCTGGAGGAGGCCCGACAGCGCATGCAGTTCCTCAAATGACGATGGAAACTTAAGTGCGTTCCTGTGCGTTAACACCCCCACATCATACAACAGTGGATTTTGTTAGATAAAAGTTGAAAACGATTTCTCTTATAAATAGTGATTTTTACCCTCGGCTAATATTGGCTGTATCTACCAGGATGTTTGGAAAAGTGTTACGGTAGCTTTACATTTTATTCAACAATTGATTTCCAACAGTCTATAACGATCATGTCTGAAAAAAGCAAAATATTGAATAAGAAATACTTCTTGGCTAATTATGCTCTTGGTGGAGCCTCTTAGGTAAAATCAAAAGGGTTGGTTGCTTCCTGCACGTGACCCTTTCAAAATATATCTGTGCAAGTACTGGGGAGATTACAATCCTTAACCAGATGTAGTTCGATTATATCTCTTTGTATTTTTTGAACGAGACTTTGCATTGAAACAAGACTACGAGGATAATAGCAAGAGATATATATTTTTTCCGACGTTGAATCAGTATGTAAACTGTATAGCATAATTTTGTTTTACGTATATCTTGGTAACAGAAAGATAGAAATCGAATGATTGCGTACGTTTCATTTGCAGTCCTCTGAAGTTTCGGCGCTGACTTGGAGAGCATATAAAGCCATCCACTGGCTGCTGCAAAGAACAGCGGAACGAGTAATATGCGTGTCGAAGACATTGTCTCTGTTGTTTACTTTCCTATCTGTTTGTGTAATATATAATAAGCCGTTGTAACTTAATATATTGTATGCAGTAGTGTAGAAAATGAAAGTAGAACAGATATCTCGCCCCGGTGTACCGCGCGGCTGTTGTAGTCGTCTGAAGTAAACAAACTTGCATTGAGTTCACTATCACATCACTGGCTGCTGCCGAAACATCTCCTGTCACCCGATAACTTGTATGAATTCGATTACAACTAGCTACGAGTACACCAGGAGGAAATAAGCTAGATTGTATGGTAGATTTTGTTGTCTCTGTGCGAGGACGGCTGTTTAGAGTAAATGGTGCTCTCGTTTCGTTCGGCAGCATCCAATTCAGCTGCTCTGCTGTTACTAGCCTATGGACGTCGCCATCTTGGCCACAAGTACGACTGGCACGATAGCTCGACATAGATTAACAAATATAGCGTCCTAGCATAGTTCGTATATTAGCATACTAATACAGTATATTAGTATTTCAGGTGAAGATTATCACCCCTTCATTGACGTTGCGTTCCAGTCATCTCGTTCTGGGAGAATACAATACGGGGCATTGTGAAAGTAGTGATACTTTATGTTGCATCCGTGTTTGCAGGTCTGACTTTTGTTAGTCCTCTCCAGACCATATCTAATTAAACCTTAATATCATGTGCGCATTTCTATGGCTTATCTACTCCATGAAAGTACTCAGAACATGTTCTTAAACATTTTTGAAAGTTGGCGCGCTTGTACACAGCGCTATGACAAGATGGGAGAGCGCGCGATCTTTGAACCCCTTATCATCCTCCCTTTTTCGCGCTCCCCCTGGAGTCAGCTTCTATTTTAAAGAACTTTTTCACCCTGTCCCAATCAGTTCGTAGCACTGAGACTCCTAACTTTAGGTAAAAACACTTGAGAGAACTATTGCACCAGTTGAGCTTGAGAAAGAGTAAGCGATATCGAGTTCATCATCAAAGCGACTGGTAAATAGCAGACAGGAGGGGCCTCCTGAGTAAAAGCCACTACGATAAACATATCAGTTCCCGCTGTTGATTTTCTTATTGTTGTTGTCGCCGGCATCGTCGGCGTTTGGCCGTCCGAACAGAGTGCTATATGGATTAGCGGTGGCGGGGGCGTCGGTAAAAAGCGGCAGCTGCTAGCTGAGGTCTATCTAACTGACTGACTAGCTTTGTTGATTGGTAGTGATGGTATCTAGTATCTTTGTCATAGCGAAATAACGCAAAATGCAACGTATCGCGTTGCGTAGAGAACAAGCGAACAGGGTGCAGACAGCGCCAAGCGGCGACAACGACGATCAGCAGTAACACGCAAATTCGTTGTTGTTGTGACTACCACTGAAGCTAGCGAGGTGAGATCCTCGGTTTTTTAGGGAAAGAACTGGTTCTTTTTCACTCTTCTACTACTTCTACAACGACTGCTGCAATATTGAGGGATGCAAAGAGGAAAAGGCAACCGTTGTTAAACCGCTGCCGCTACTGTTGTTGCTGTAGTTCTGATAGTGTCATATCGTTTTGCCTGTATTAATATTGGGGGTGTCGTTACTACTGTTACTGCAGCTTTTGCTGTTGGCTGTTACGAGTGGATGCGCGTTCGTTGTTCTCGCGTTGCGCTTGCTACCGCGGCAGCCGATTGAAAGCTGTTCCAATGCTCCCATTACTACAAAAGCTGCCATAATAATGCGAGCCTAGAACGCGACGATTGAAAACGACGATGAGTATAACTGAAGTGCAATAGCTTCGTCTTCTGCTATGCTGAGAACTGGGCTCTGTTCCAGCCGGTGACAGAGTTAAGAGCGTTACGAAGAGTTTTGTTGTTGTTGACTGTTTTTATGTCGCGCCGCTACTTCTTAGGGAGAAAGTTGTTGTCATCGTTATCATGACTGAGGTAGTACGTCGACGAAGTAGTCTGCTGAACGTTATGACCTATTGTATGTTGAAGTGTGACTAATATGCTGAAACGCCGGGATCAATAGTTGAAGAAAGACGCAATCAGCATTTTTACAAAAAAGTTATCAGTCTCAGTGCGTAGCAGCGGCGTAGCTCGCTCAGTTAGCATGGCTTCTCCTTCTCCTGGCGCTCTCTCCCTCTAAACACACAGTGAGTAGCACAACAGTGACAGGAGGCTGTTTGCGAAGTGCAGTGCCATTACCGCAGTCGAGCGACATCAGACCGGGCACCAGATCAGGAGATCATCGACATCATCCTTGTTCTACTCATCGTTGGTTTTCTTCTGGACAGCCCAACAACTACAACAGAACACGACGAACTGGCAAAACAGGCCTTGAACAGTGTTCTGAAAAGGCTGAACATCTTTGGTGAGTACCCTCAAACTTTTCTAGGTATCCTTAAGATTTTTTATAGCTCCGGTGAAACTTTACGGCGTGGCGACGTTTTGAGCTGATGGGAGCAGTTTGAAGTTTGATCTTAAATACATAGTTACTGCTATGCGAATAGGAAATCTGTAATGTTCAGAGTACGTCGGGAAATGGGTGGTCAATGCCGTTTTACATGGAAGTCTGCGCATGATACACATACCATTATAGGGTCATTGAGCAACTGTAAAAAAGCAATGAGGTTTTGTATAATCGATTTGTAGAGGCTGTCGCCGCGCGTGAAACTTTGAAACGCATGCGTGAATGCGCCAAAATGTCTACTGGACACCCGGAAAAATCAAGAAATTGATTAACTGACTTCTTGCAGCAGTCGATAGTCAGCATCTACATGCTTGTAGTAACTTGCTCGATTGAACAGAATAGAGCATTGAAGTGGGAAAAAAAACTCGCGAACCCGATACAATCATACCGCGCTGACATATATATATATTGCTTCCATCTTATTTGATATGGCTATACATAGCTCAGCGGTAAATCAACGGTAAACCCCTGTTTACACTCGCGCCTAGTAAAGTTAGGGGAGGTGAGGGGAGCTCACCCATAGTGGCAATTAACTCTGGGAACGATTTTATCTTTTTTTAATGGAGAATGGAGAGGTGATTATGCAAAGATTAGGGATTTTCGAAAGAGCACGCAATGTCGAACGTAAGCTTAGGCAGCGGATGTAACTAACTGACTGAAAGAGCAAATAATAAAGGTGTTAAAAAAACGATTGATTACATTCGACGTTTACTTATATGTTCTACACAAGAAAACTCAAACTTCGAATTCCACTATAATGTAAGCTATTTTCCATGAAGTGAAATAGTCGGAAAAGCTGTTTTCCCTTATTAGACGGAGACTGGTTTCACCAACCTAAAAATTTAGGTCATTGCAGCCCTCATTGATCGACGAAGGCTTTGAAAAGGATCAGATTCATTTCGCAAAGCTTAACATGTTAGTTTTACACAGAAGCATTACCTACACATTTCTTGACACTTTTGGTTGTTCCTACTGTATGAACAATTACCTCTTAGAAATAGCATCTTTACCCCCCACTCCACCCCCCACTAGAGTATCAATCAAAGGTGAGGCTTGCTGGACTTCTCTTTAGCCGATCTATGAAATGGCACTGTGACCAACTCCTAAACTTAAAGCACCGAAGCATATTCATAGTTACTATGGCAATGCACTCAACGAAATGCGCTTAACTTAACTCGAGTATTACTTGTGCACAGTTCGTTGCCTGCATGTATAACAGCATGGTCTTTTGTGCTGCGCACCTATATTTGCTTCTGGTATCACTTATAGTGAAGCTGCGGAAGCCTGAGGCCAGTTAGTTTCTATGCCATTTCACGATTTGCCCTAGCTGGCAGATAAAAGAGGGGTTTAGTAACTTTAATAGAGTCATGAGGCCGAAGGCGACTTCTTTTAAGGAAACAGCTTATAAGAAGTCAAACAATTTGGCGAGGACAGCTGGGAACATGTTTCGAGTGAAGCAGTCTATCAAAATCTCCAGTTAGCACTAGTAATGAAGAAATATATGGACACGTCGTTTTTATTCATCCGATAGATAGAGCCAGGTTTATATTTGCTGAAGACGCTTTATTGCACTTCACGTTTTAGGATCTTAAAGGCTGGCCATAAAATTATCACTCGTGTGTTTATTTAGATATCCACAACTACGATAGCGAAAAGAGGCTGAAGTGAACCGCCCACGCTTCTATGAATATTCTCTCCCTTCCTTTTTATTTTTCTGCAGTGAAGCTCAATACTGGTATGGCGAAACCGTTCTAAACATTTCTAAATTAATACAGCGGCAAGAGAAATCGCCGGCTGCTTGCCAACGGCGTCCTTTGTAATTGGAATTTGCTTGACAAATGTTTAGGAGCATTTTTGCGATGAGAGACACACATTTATAACTAATCATTTATTCATGACATAGAGACGGAGGAAAAGACGGTGGTAATAACAGCAGAGAGCAATAATCTTGTTCGCTTCAGGATGTTGATTACTCCTGAACCCCTCATGTACTACTAGAACGGATTAACGAGCAATACCGTGCGAAGTCAAATACGAGCTGGCTGTTCGTCACCACTCTGTCAATGGGCGTATTCAGAAAAGGAAAAAAACTGTGTATGCAACAATTAAACGATTTTTTGCTGGTCAGTACGAAGCGAATTCGTGTTCTAAATTAGAGGACAAATAGGAAAAATCTCCCTCATGCTTTGAATTTTACAATTCGAATGTCTTGGTTGAAACTATCTAGAACTCTCTCACTTGGAACCATACGAAATAATAAGCCACTTCAGCTGGATATTGAATTAGTGCAAATTGAATTGGAATAAATTTACTATTAAGTATATGGTAGTTCATATTGGACCTGAAGAGACATTGAGATACTACACTCCACTGTAGTATTATTCGTTTCTATCCCTATTAATGAATTTTCGAATCTGGCTAATCGTTTTGCGTAGAGCTATATCTTGGCACCAATTTCGGTAGCGTTTTTTTTCTCATTGGTTCGTTCAGTTATACCTAAAAAAACTCAATGTTAAGGGCACTTTTGTAAGCAGCTCATAACGGTATGACATAGATTATGTTAATCGACTTTAATTAAGTAAACAGTTAAACCACCGAAAAAAAGTGCAGCTTTTTAAAAAACCTCATCGTCGATTTTACCAATAGCAAAATATCTACTTCATCCGATAGTTCCGGAATCAATCCGAAGTTGAAAATGAGCATCATCGCTCTAATTCCACATCCTGTTCGACTGTACAAAGAGCGTTCGTATTCATCGATTGTTATGCAGGTGTCACAAAAGAGAGAAAAACACGCCCGTATCATGGCACGCTTGTCATTAATTAGCGGATATTGCACTGATCATTTTGCTAGCGCTCACTTCTTTTGTTGTGGTAATTTTGTGGGACAAATGGATTTAGATTTCTCTCGCGTATTCTTGAGCAGGTCGCAAGACAAATACTTAGGCATGTCATTTTCATGGAGTCAGAATAAGTTTGCAATTTACAATTAATAGCACCTTAGCCAAAAGTAATTGATAGTTTCAAGATTTGTCACTTGTTTATACTAATAGCAAAAAGTAGAATATATAATAAAATTATGGCTATACGGGTGTTTTCCAATCGCTAAAAATGATTCCTCAAATTCTAAGTTACTTCGTGTAACTTCCTTCATTATTTTATATGATTTTTAAAAAAATACCATTATATGACTTTTAAAAAGGTGTCTGGATATAAGGATGTGAGAGGCAGATTCATTGTGTTATGTAAGTTCGATGCTAATTCCGAGCTTCCGAGTACGTACGCTGAACAACTTGTGTCAAACCATTTAATAGTATGTAATATAATGATACTGTAACATAAATATACAGTATCATAATATACAGTATCATCTACAAGATGTTGTAAAGTAGACATATGTTATGTTGACAGAACACGGGCTCCTTCTGTATAATTCAACATATCCACATTTCAGAACTGATGTGTATTGTTAAATCCTGCGGTGACACGTGTTTGGATAACTATGCGGCAGGCACAGCTAGGGTTAATCTATAGGACTAATTAAATGTATTGATTACTAGCACTTAAAGCCGTTGTTTATATGTTAAAAACTGCTTGGATATCTAAGCTGTACTTTGCTGCCATCGGGCTTCCGTATAGGGTATTTAAGACGCTAGCTAAAGATAAACATAAAAAATAAAAAGTGCTAGGCTTACGCAAAAAATAACTTACTGTCTAACCTAATGATCTAAAATAAACCTCACAATATTCAATAACCTTGAGTTTACTTATATAATATTGATGTGTGCGCCTTGAAATATCATGTAGATAATTTCAATTCATCGTTTTATTCTTTTGATTTGTAACTGGGATTTTAAACGAATTTTCAAACAATAGCTTCACCAACCTCTCAACGTGACTCGCTAGACTTCATTGAATTTGTGGCATCGGTTCTTTGTTTACATTTTTATAAATTTTTTTGCATAGTAATTTTAATTTATGGAGTCACTCTTAGGATAAACTTTTTTGTTTTCTAGTTGCCTATTACGCACGTATAAAAATATTTTTGAGACGACTTTCTAGCTTTCGCCGATGATCCTTGAAGGGCGCTAAGCAAACGTGCAGAGACCGAATAAACTTACTAGTGTTTTGTTTGGTGGAAATTGCGTACCTTAAATTTAGCATTTAACTGAATTCCTAAGCCTAATATGTACTTATAAATAATAGTCTGAGACGTAAAGATGCCTTTTAATGTATGGTCTCATGTCTACGCCGAAAAAGGCCTTAAATGTGTACAGCCGAGAAGACGCGTACATAGATGTTCAAGCTTCTGTACTTCTCAAGTCTACAACTAAAATTCTTTCTCATTTGCTAATCTATGAGGAATTTCCGACCCTAGCGTTTATAATAATGTCAATACAAAAGACGAAAGGATATGCTCCGAAGTCGTTATATGAGTTGCAATAAAGAACAGTGAAGAACGACGGTCGTTAGCAAGATTAAATTGCTGTTAAATAATCTGATCAATCGACCGAATCTAAGCCATTCGTAATCAATGCCAAAATTAGCTTATCGAACTTATTCTGAAGGAGAGATTCTACTGTGTTCATTGTCTCACCCGAAAACATTTCTTTTCACATGGTGTAGGCTGTAACTCGACGGCAGTGATCGATGTTCGTGTGCTCTTTTTACGGGCTGGTTATTCAATAAATTTATAGTCAAATTCGGGTATCGGAAAGTGTACTGCAGCAACCGGCTCGAATAACTAAATTTGCCTTCGGAGTAAAGACTTCGGTAGTAAAAAGCTTACTTCAAGCTCAATTACATACATTCTTTCATAACTGTTAAATTATAGCAGTTTGGCGGAAGATGTGCAACTCGATTTTGTGTGTTTTTCAGCCATACAGCAAAGTATTTAACGAC